GACAGTTCCATCAGCATAGTTCCTGGAGATAGAAGGTTGCAAGAGATATCTGGGGAAACAAGTGTCTGAGCTCAGGCCTACTCTTACAAACTTAAGAGTCAGGGCTCTGGAGAGATGGTTCAGTGGTTAAGAGTATTAGCTGCTCTTGCAGAGGACTCAGGTTTGATTTCAGCACCCACATGATGGCTAACAACTGTTTGTTCGTAACTCCAGTTCCAGGGGATCAGATACCCTTTTCTGACTTCCTTAGGCATTGCATGACATGGGTACACTTACATACACACAGGCAATACACTCATACACATAATTGTTTTCAAAAAAAAAGAGTAAGGGATTTTTGTTCAGGCAATTTTAATGTTGGCATAGTAATGCCTCAGTGCAAGAGTTCCATTTTTGCTGTATCTTCACCAACATTTATCTTTTTTTTGATAATAGCTATTCTTTTTCCCTATGTATTTGGCACTTAATAACATACAAGAAATTTTTTTAAATGTGTATGAGTATTTTGCCTGCATGTATGTAAGTGCACCTGTGTCACACAGTGCCCAAGGAGGTCAGAAGAGGGCATTGGATCCCCTGATACTGGACAGTTGCTGGCTGCCATGTGGATGCTGGGAATCAAACCTCTAGGTTCTCTGCAAGAACAGCCAGTGTTCTTAACCACTGAGCCATCTCTTCAGCCCAGGACTAATGACTTTTAATAAACCCCAACAAAATCATGAGCTCTTGGTCTTGTGACCTGGCCACCTGATCCTGTTTCCTTGGAAGCCTAAATTTGGTACTCCACCCAAAAAGATAATGAATGTGGGTATGCTTGAGAATTAACATACTAAAGTGCTGAAAGCAAGTGCATCTGTCTTCATTGCAACGATGAAGATTGGGATGGATGAGTGACCTTAGGTGAATGAGATATTCTAGAACTAGGGATGGGAAGACAGGATAGTCTCTTAAGATGAGGGTGGAGCCAAACTTGTACTTCCCCAGTTGAAGCTGGTGAAACCATTTTGAATAAAATTATGGGTGGGTCCTGATTTGGGGACAGTTTTGGAGACAAGGGTTCCAGCAAGACAGTGCCATCAGTATATTTCCAGGAGATAGACCATTCCAAGAGATACCTGGAGGAATGAGTGTCCTCTTCAGATTCACTCTTTAAAACTAAATTTAAGAGTCCAGGTAAATCATAATGTTGGAGTAGCAATGCCACATTGAAGCAGAACTGGACGAGTTAATGTGCTGCACACAGAACCTCAGGCAGAACTCAAATCCCAGACAAACACCCAAATTCTCCAGTCAGTAATGAGACTGCATCCAGCCCACCAGTTTCTGTCACAAGAATCATCTTCCAGGATACCAAATGCTTGCCGCCGCACAAAATGAGGCGATACTGCACAGCATGCAGGTTGAATTCAGTGAAGGCATGCCCACTCAACGGAAAGCTGTTTCTGATGATCACACAGTCGGTGCCTCACTACAGAAATGGAGATCTCCCACTATGCCAGGAGCCAAGAGCCAGGCCTTCCTCCCTGCTCAGGTGCCTACAATTCAAGAGGAGAGTCCCTGGTTCTTTTTCAAGCCTCAGAGACCATTTAGAAGGGTTTGACTGCCACCTTGTGGTCACCAGGCACAACTTCCCACAGCAAGTCAAAAACTAAGCAAACTGTTCGCTTTTTCCCCCTCGATAATGATAACCACATCTTTTGACATGCCTCAGTAAACTAAGAGAGAAGAATGGCCTTCGTATATTCTATAAACATCCTACTCTTGGGGGAGGTTGGGATGTTTTGTTGTTTATGGCATTTTTTTTGAGATAGTTTCATGTAGCTCAGACTGGCCTCAAACTTACTATGTAGCTGAGAATAACCTTGATCTTTTGATCGTCCTGCCTACACCTCTAAGGGCTAGAATCACAGGCATACTCAGTTTTATGAGACATTCAACCCAGGTCTTGATGCATGCTAGGCAAGCATTCTACCAGCTGAGCTACAGCCCCAGTACTCAGGAGAATGTCTTAAATAATTGGTGCTACTTCCAGGACCATTGTGATGGTTCATCTTCATTTAGAATAACCATGGAAACAGACTTCTAGGTATGTCTATTAGAATGATCCTGGTAATGATTGTTACAATATGGACATAGTCTGGACAAATGACTTTTACATAACTTTACAACCCAAAATTTAATCTTGCCTTAGCTTGTTCATAATGTAGACAAGCTCACTGAGTCTGGCACTTCTCTGACCTGGGCATATGGTCTTGATCCCTTATTGACCCAAAACAATGTATGAATGTATGTGTATATTTTTCATACTTGCTGGAAACAATGAAGATTATCCTATTTGTAGTGCAAGCAACAGAGATTAAATTGATAACATCTTGTTTTTGTATGCATACTATTCTAGGTCAAGGTCAATAGGGGTCTGTTATGGCTAATGCTGGGTGTCAACTTGACTGTATCTGGAATTAATTAAAATGAGAGAGACCTTCTTGTTTGGATCATTTGAAGCTGGAAGACCCACCCTAAATGTGAGTGTTACCTTCGGATGGCAGCCCATATAAAAGGCTATGGCAGAAGGAAGCGCTGTGAATTCGTCTTGCTGGTGTGACTAACTTCTTCAGATTTGAACATAGACTGAAGACTAGCAGATCTCCAGGAATCCATCACCAGTTTGAGACTGCTGAGACATCCAGCCTCTTGGACTAAGAAACTACTGGATTCTCAGCCTCTCCAGTGTGATGAAGTCATTGTTGGACACATTTAGAGAATCCTAATACAGGGTCAGAAAGGGCAAATTTCCTAACAAGATAAATCCTTCTGCTTTTTCCTTCCCCCAACTACACGGAGTTGCCCTGCCCAATTTCCCCCTGCTCTCCACAACTATCCCACCACTCGCAGATCCTAGGACCTCCTGCTTCTATTGGGACTGCTCTGAAAGATCACCTGTGTGTCTGTGTCCCCTGGAGCCCTCCTCTGCTACTACACTGCAGCTGATTCCTCCCTCTGTCCAGTCCTTGCCTCTTATGGATCCCCTGCCTGCTTCCCACATTGTGCTGATCATGAGAACCTTGCCCCCAATAAAGGTTCTCATGATTACAACACTTCATCCCAGAGTCTGTTATCCAGAGAACGTGATGTGACATAAGAAATCTCTCCACAATCTGCCCTCAGCATGACTGTTAAAGAGTTACCCTGTTCAAAGGAAAGCCAGGTCCCCATCCCTGTCTAGATCCATTCAATGATTTCCCACCTCATTAGAATGAAAGGACAAGAGCCTTGTCACTGACACGGTGGCATTATCTCTCTGACCTCCCTTCCTCCTCTACCTCACCAGCTACACTGCTCTCTTGCCATTTCTCAAACATACCACACATATTTCTTCCTCGGGGCCTTTGCCCTTGCTGTTCTGTCTTCCTGATATGCTTTGTCAGATTTTCTGCTGATCTCCATCCCTTGCCTCCTTCCAGTCCTGACTCAACTGTCACCTTCTCAATGAGGACCCCATACTTAAGCAACTCCACATAAATCTAGACTCCATACCCTCTTACTTTAGCTTTCTCCATGACATGCAGTAGGATCTGGAATACTGTATTTATCTATACAGATGTGGCTAAATGCCCCTCTCCTCCATCGTGACCTAAGCTCCATGAAGACAACATCTTTGCTCCAGCTACCGCTCTCCAGTACCAGCTGGTCCAATGTTGTCTGCATGGGCCAGTGAAGGAAGCAATGAAGACGGTATGGAATGACAGGCCTGGGATCTCCAGAGCTGTCCCTCAGCACCATCCCTCTTGCTCCTGAAAAAGCAGGAATCATCATTCGCTGATCATTGATAAAGTTTATGCAGGACCACATTTACAGAAGCACTGGATAAACAGCTAGTAAATAAATGCAAGGTATAATTTGTGGGGAGGTTGTTTTGGTTTTTCTGAGACAGAGTCTCCTTATGGCCCCCACTGACCTGGAACTCAGTATACAGACCAGGCTGGCCTCAATCTCAGAGAGCCACCTGCCTCGAGTGCTGGGAATAAAAGGCAAATGCTACCAGCAACTTTTGAGCTTCTTAATTTTTATAGTCTAAACAAGCTACCAGACTTTAAATACTCCTGAAGATGTTTAGATATTTAAATGAAATATAAAAACTTTTATTCCAAGGCCATACCCCATACATACAAATGAAATGCATCCCTTTACACTTACTAAAAGGAATTGTTTTTACATTTGTAATTTTACAACAATTTGAACATCTTTCTCTCCCACAGTTTGACAAAGCCTTAAATGACTTTCTTGTTTGTATAAAGTATATTCTTTCCAAATGCAAAATATTCAAATGTAGCTTTAATATGAAACAGTTCTTGATTTCTGAAATTCTCAATAGTCTACAGAAGCACAGTTCCCTGTGTTTTTAAAAATGAGGTAAGAGGGTGAAGATTAAAATGTTTTTCCAGAAGCAGTCTTCAGATGTTTACACCGCACAGGCTCACAACAAGTTGGTCTTTACAGTTCTTTTCCTGTGAAACAGTCTTCCAGTGGTTACTTGTTATTCTGAACAGAGGACAGTATCAGTGCCTATCATTTCCAAATTTATAATGTTACAATTCTTTAAACAATTTTAACATCTAATTTTTAAAAAATTTATGTGTACGAGTGTTTTGCCTGCATGTATGTAAGTACACCAGCTGTGTGCAATGCCCCCGGAGGCCAGAAGAGGGCACTGGATTCCCTGGAACTGGAGTTATAGATGGTTGTTAGTTACCATGTGGATGCTAGAAACTGAACCCAGGTCCTCTGCAAGAGCAGTCAGTGCTTTTAACCACTGAGCCATCATCTCTCCAGCCCCAATTTTAACATTTAAATAGAAGTTTTGGCTATAGTGGCTCATTATTTTCTTTATACATACTTTAATAAATATGACTAAAAGTCTTTAAGTCTGTTCATAAGCCTCAAAAGCAAACTTCTATGCAGGCCCAGATGTCAATATTTTGCTTTGTGGGTTTTCTGGGTCACTTCTCTACAGCATTTTTTTTTTTTTTTGGTTTGTTTGTTTATAACTCAAATTTTGTTTAAGTATTTAGCTTTGGTGTGATCCATTAACTCCACTGTAAATTAAAACTAGTTTCTAAATTAGATGACTCAATGTTAACAAAACATAAATCTCATTGTACAATAAAACAAACCCAGGGTTTCTGCTTGCTGAGCTTGAAATTCATCAAATGAAGCCCATCTAGGATGTGGTCCAGGTATCCCTTTTAATCAACAGCTCTTTCTCAGGTCTTTGTATTTTGATTGGGTAATCCACACACCTACTATGTTTTTAAAGGTCTTACTTTTCTATGGGAAAGAGTCTTCATGTGTTTACAATGAAGACCAGGTCACTTTCATGTTACCAGAGATAGATGCACCCACTCTGTATGTACTTAAAAGACTTGCATAGAAACCATTATGCACAAGTTCAATATGAATGCTCCCCATGGCTGACCAGTGGGTGGAAATCACAGTTCACAAAACAGTAAAACAGAATGCCCTGATTGGTTTTTAGCAACGTAGTTGTTACATTTGAGAAAACTTGGTTTAAATGAGAAATAGGAATACAAATTTGTATAATGGAATGATTTATTCAGGTTCCTGATGCATATAACCTGGAGTTAACCAAGTATTGGTCTATAACATGGCTCTTTAGCTTGATATTGTGAATCACAAGTGTGTGTGTGTGTGTGTGTGTGTGTGTGTGTATGTGTGTGTGTGTGTGTGTGTATAGAGCGGGGGGTGTCTATTTTCTCTACTATTGTTTTTTTGTTGTTTGTTGTGATCGTTTTTCTTTTTGTAGTACTAGGGACTGAACCCAGGGCCTCATCCATGCAAGGCCAGCCATCAACCAACTGAGCAATGTCTCCAGGCCTCACAATCATTATGAACAGACTATGACAAAGTAAAAAAAATAAAATAAGACAGTTCTGAATTTACCTAAGTATATAAACAAGTTGGAACACTCTGGAATTATATTTTATGAAAATACTTATAAATCTAAAGCTGGAAAAGTTGAAAACTTTGGTATTTCCAACAAGAAAGTTCAGTTATACCAGTGGACATCCACCCTGTTTTTAACCATAAAAAGTTTTTTTTTCAGTGCAAAAAATATTATTGCTATTGGTAAATAGCAATGGCACAATAACCACACAAAACACAGACATGAAATATCCTGAAGTTATGTTTTCATATGGAAGTCATTTTGCAGCAAGGCATGGTGATACACACCTGTAAGCCCAGTACTCAGAAGGCTGAGAGGCAAGAGGATCATGCGTTCAAGGCCCAGCTACATTCCAAAGTAAAAGATCCTGTTTTTCTTCTTAGACTAGGATATAACAGGTTGTTTCATTTGATTGTGAGTCTGGGTGTGGGAGTGTTTAAAACTCCTCTTCTTGTAAACTAATTTGACACATCTATAGCTCATCATGTGTGTTCTTAAATGGCCACTGTGGATGTTTCATTACGTGGTCTGCAGCCTGAAGGACAAGGTTCATGAATTCTTCTACATCAAAAGAGTAGTTGGTAAACTTCGGGTGTTCCCCCAGAGTCGGATGGTGGCCCTGCAACAACAAAACACAGCACAAACCCCTAGGTCACCAAGCATGTAACTTCTACTCAAAGGAAATCATTTTGGCTAAAACAACTATCTTAACTTGCACTGTACAACAGCAGTTGGCAAGATTTTTCCACTGAGGGACAGGTAATAAATAGTCTCTGCTCTGCCAATGATGTGCTCTCAGCTTTGCCAAGGAAGTGCCCAAGCAGCCACAGACAATATATAGACAAGTATGGATGCTCCCATAAAACTTTGCTTACAAAAACAATTGGCGACCCAGATTTGCACCATAGAGCTGCACTTTTCTGATTGCTATTATATACAATCTGATCTTTCTATGCTCAAATTTCACAAAGCTGTCTTAACAATGTTGAAGTTTCCTCCAATTTGCAAATATAAAATGTAGCTCAGTCAGTATTCAAGAGAAAAACCTTGTTTTCTTGAGGCTCGATGATGGCTTTCATTTTAATACTTGGAGCTCCAAATCATTTTAAACTCTAGCCAGGTGAGTTCTGCGATTGAACGTTACCTTATCTTGAGGAAAGACTTTGTTTGGCCTCTTCCAGGTGATATAGTAGATGCCTCTCAGCCTAGCCAGGTCTAAGTAACAGCGTTCATCCTCACAGTTGTACCTATGAACACAAGGGTGTCATGATATGGCTTCAAGACAGAAGAAGATCAAGGAATAGAATAGGCTTACCTATTCAACGGGTCCTACTGCTTATGAATTTGGTATTATTTCATAAGATATTATTATCTTGACATAAATAGAAATAGAGTTAGAGAGAAACACATTCAAGGAATGAAATCCCATCCCAGGGCTAAGGGGCTCCAGCATCCCAGCTGCATTCACCCCACTTTCTCCTGCCTTCTATCCTTTCCTCTCTTCCTCTAGGAGAAATGGATTAAGACAATTCACAATTATCTAGCTGCATTGCTAACAGAGTTTTAGTTTTTTATTTTATTTATTATTTTTATTTTATGCGTATGAGTGTATTGCCTGCATGTATGTGAGTGCACCTGTGCCGTGCAATGCCTACAGAGGTAAGAAGACAGCATCAGATCCCCTGGATGGTTGTAAGCCACTATATGGGTGCTGGGGATTGAACCCACTTCCTCTACAAGAGCAGTCAGTGCTCTTAACTGCAGAGCCATCTCTCCAGTCCCAAGAGCTTTACAATGTTGTGCTGAGTATTGGAAGTTTGCAACAACTTTTTATTCAACAGTCTCTTTACCGGCTCCTATCCTTGCCATGTAGTTGAATCCAGGGCCTCATACTCGCAGGGTAAGCGATCTGCCTTCAGAGATACTGCCTGTGCTGGATAGCTTTAGCTGTCAACTTGACACACCTGGGTAAAGGGGGCCCTCAATTGGGAAATCGACTCCATTAGACTGACCTGTGGCCATGTCTGTGGGGCATTTTCTTGATTATTGAGTGATCTGGGAGGGCCCAGCCCACAGTGGGTGGTGCCACCCCTGGGCAGGTGGGCCTGTATTGTATAAGAAAGCAGGTTATGCATGGGCCAGGGCAGCAAGTCAATAAGCAGTTATCTTCCATAGCCTGTGCTCTAGCTCCTGCCTGCAGGCTCCTGCCCTGAGTTCCTACCTTGGGCTCCCTCAGTGATGAACTGCGACCTGGGAGATGTAAGCTGAATAAACCCCTTCCTCCCCATGTTGGTATTGGTCAGAGTGTTTTGTCACAGCAATTGAAGGCAAACTAGAACACTGTCTCAGCTTCAAGGTTCTCTTTGAGCACAGTAATTATACTGGTTGCAGGGAGGTTGGTGCTCAGAGTTTGAGAAGCAAACAGTAATGGACTTTGAATAAGGAAACAAACCACACATTCACATCTTCCCAATCATGCTGAGGCTGTAGAGGAGTGTTTGCTTTAGATGCCTTAGCTCAAGTTTGCTTTACTTTCTAGATACCTTCATGATGTATCTTGACTGTATTATATAGACCCTCTAATTCCCAGAATGAAAGTCTTAGCTTATACTCTGTCCCTGCTAGCTCTCCATGGAAAGCTGCCCTTAAACACTTACAGTTCAAATACAGCAGCCCAGTCTGGAAGGAAAAGTAAATGGGTGAGGCCAGCTCCGTGCATTCCAATAAATATGTCCGTGTTGTGTGTGATCCTCAGCTGATCTAAAAACCTGAGTTCTCTGTAATGTGGGGGACAATATAAGAGAAATGGGAAGAGGGAAAAGCCTTGGTTTATTTCATGGCTTATGGTGAAATTATTTATACATGTGCATCACATCCCACACCTGCACTTTTCATGCCAAGGTTAAGTACACTCCCGTACCTAACAACTTATTCCCTTAACATTTTCTATAGGCACACTTTCATATTTGTTTTTCAAGGGAACATTAATAATAGCTGTTTTAGACGGAAAACCAATGTTACAGGATATCAACACAATTATGAAAATGAATGTAATCAAAATAAAAGGTACCAACAAGCATAGGTATACAAAGCTCTTGAGTGGGAGACCCTGCTCGCCTCTCTTTATGAAAAAGGGAAATGAGAAGTCTTATGAGATATTATGACATGCCAGCACCAAACAGAAAAGTACTTCCTTAAAGTAATAAAAGGACTTTTAAAAAAACATTCTATTTTTTTGTGTGTACGAATATATTGCCTGCATGTATGTGAGTGCACCCATGTCATGCAAGGCTGTGGAAGTCAGAAGAGAGCTTCGGATTCCCTTGGAACTGGAGTTAAGGATTGTTCTTAGCTGCCATGTGAGTACTGAGACTCAAACCCGGGTCCTCTGCAAGAGCAGTCAGTGCTCTTAACCACTCTTAACCATACAAGGACTTTTTCACAATGTGACTATCTGGGTGTGGTGGTGCATGCCTTTAATCCCAGCACTCAGAAGGCAGAGGTAGGAGATCTCTGTGAATTAAAGGCCAGCCAGTGCTACATAGTGCAACCCTCCCTCAAAAATAAATAAAATAGAAATGAGAACAAATTCTCTCATGCCACCAGAATACACCTAAAATGACTTCACCCCCGCAGCCACCCATCACCTGCCTTTGCAGCACACAGGTATTCTTTAAAGCCAGATAACCAGTGAGATGGCAGATTCGAAAGCTGTGGAGGACGAGGGTCTAGAGATTAGCATGAAAAGCCAGCAGCAGATAAAGGCTGGCAGCCCTTAGTCTACCTGAGCTTCATTCAGCTAAGGGGATGCTCTAAAAAGCCCCACGGTGAACTTTTGAGAGGTGGGTACTAAGCTAATGATCCAAAAAGGTCATTGCAGACCCTCCTTTCTCTCTTTGTGGTCACTGGGGACCCTCTTTCTCACCCTCTTGGAGTCAAGTCAGACCTCTGTACCTCTCCCATCATAGACTATTATTTCCTTTCCTATAACCATGTGTCTCTGTACAATCTGTTGTAAAGAGGCACAAGAACCTAAACATTGCAGCGCCCTGTGCCTGCAGCACGAGCAGATGGGAAAACCTTTACTGAAAATCAGGCCACAAAAATGCACTGAAGAGAGGCTAGGAATGAATGCTGGAATAAGGAGACATGGGATAGTCACAGCAGAGTACTCTCCCAGGCCCACTTTACCCACAATGAGAAAAATAAAGGCTACTTTGTATCTAAGAAGGAAAGGGAATTCCTTCTTCAATGCACTAAAAAAAATAAAACCAAGAAACATAGGAAAAAGGAAGACAGTGACTTTTATGTGTGTCTCACACCAGGGTAAAGTGCCTCACTTTGCCCCGGAACGTGTGCTGGTGCCAAAGATGGCGTGATGGTTACTTTCGGTAATTTAACCCCACCTAGAATCACCTAGGAAGGGAGTCTTAAGGAGTTGTCTAGATTGGACTGGCATGTGGGTGTGCTTGTGAGGGATTTTCTTAATTGGGTTGAGGTAAGAAAAGCTGCCCTGAAATGTAGGCAGCACCACTCCATGGGCTGTCTGGAACAAAAAGGAGAGTGCAAGCCGAGCACTGGTGTGCGTGCATTGACGCACTGCTCTCTGCACTTGACAGTGGATGTAACGTGAGCAGCTGCTTCAAGTCTGTCCTGCCTTATCTTCCCCGCAGCATGAACCCTGACCTGGAACTGTGAGCAAATAAACCCTTTCTCCCTGAAGCTGATTTTATCAGGGCGTTTTATCACAACAGGAAACAAAAGTAAGACTGATGTCATTTGCACAGACGAACAGACTCTTTGGAATTGCCAGTCGCGGAACCACCTGTGGACTGACAGTCACAAATCTCCATGCTAACTGGTGGTTTAATGTTTGCCTCAGGCTGCCACAGTACAGATTTACTGTCCTTGTTTCATCAGGAAACCTCCCACACGGCCTTAAAAAACAGGCAAGGATACAGCCTCAGAGGTGCCTCTCAGAGGGCTCCTTCAGGTTGATGTGGAACTCCATCTTGGCCCACGTATGTCCTTTGTGTGCCAGTGAAAGAGGTCACCACAGCACAGTGTGATTTGTAAACAGAAAAGCTTTGCCAGCCTCAAAGGACCATTAAAAGTGCAAAATGAGGAAAAGCCTATGGAGCATTAGTACGAAGTCTCAACACACAGACACTATTCTGACAACTGCGATTTTTCTCTACGCTGTGTCTGAGGTCCTCAGTACAAGAGCTGCGCCATTCTCCACAGATCCCATCTGTGAAGCCTGTTGGCCACATCCCTGAGGATCCATCCTCTAAGGAACCACAGGCTGATGAGCCCCTAAGCTTATGTGGCTGAAGAAAGCAAGTGCATCTGTGTTAGGTACCTGTTTTCAGGGTTTGTGTATGTCTTTTTTTAAATATAGGGAAAAAACGAAACGAAACAACAACAAAAAGTCATCACTTTGGAAAACAGGATTGTGATTATGGGTGGATGAGGGTAGAGACAAAACTTCACTTTTTCTTTGAAGATACTTTTCCTTTTGATCTTTCCTATGCTATTGAGGTTTTTCCATCATTCTCATGTACTACCATAATAGTTTGATTGTTCTTAAGCTAACAGGAAATTAACTATACAGTGGATGAAAGGCATAAACTCAGAATTTCTAAGTCTTTTGGTTATACCAGAATTTTAAAAGAAATCTAAATATTTTAATATTTTGTTTCTAGCTTTTTTTTTTTTTTTTTTTTTTTTTTTTTTTAGTCTTTTTGAGATAGGGTTTCCCTGTAGCCCCAGTTCTCCTGGAAATCTCTGTGTAGACCAAGCTGGCCTCCATTTCACAGAGATCCACCTGCCTCTGCCTCCCAAGTGCTGGGATTAAAGGTATGCGCCACCATGCCTGACAGAAATCTAAATATTTTGTAAGTTTGTTTTTAAAAAATCCATGACCCTCAAACTATTTTCGTAGAAATAATTTTAGGTCAGTAGTTGAAACCTGGTAGCCGGCAGGGTAAATTAGGATGGACACACAGGCACGTGCGCACGTGCGCATACACACACACACACACACACACGTTAAAATTTAGAACTACTTGCCAACTCATAAAAATTCAGAAATTCCAAATAAAAATCTGGATTCATTATTCACCCTGAATAATAATATGGTATCAGCTAAGACCCCAGAAAGCTGAACAGCAGCACACTCAGCTAGAGGCCCCTGTCTCTGAATTCTGTTCACTGACAGTGACTGTCACTTCCTGGTATACACAAGTGCTAAGAGTTCCCACTGCAAAAATGCTCGTTACACACCAGTGAGTCACTGAAGCAAAAGATAAGAGTCTGCCTAGGCGTGGCCTTAACTCACCTATACTTGTAGTCAACAATACGGACTTCAAATGTAGAGATTGTTTTCAGTGCATTCACCAGCTGGAAAAGAAAAGGCAACATGTGGAATTACTCTTCCTTTCCTCTTTGCTACTTTCCTTTATGAATCTGAAAGTTTCTTTTCATATGTGTGTACATGTTCATGTGTATGAGAGTGCATGTGTATGCAAGTGTGTGTGGAAGCAAGAGGACAATCTTGGGTTGTGCCTCAGAAATACTGTCGCTCTTATATTTGAGACAGGGTCTCTCATTGGCCTGGAGCTAGCCCATTATGTGAGGCTGACCCTTGAGCCCAGCCCCAGTGATCCACCTGTCTCACTCTCCCCAGTATGGGATTGCAATCACATGCTGTCATGCCTGCTCTGTGTGTGTGTGTGTGTGTGTGTGTGTGTGTGTGTGTGTGGTGTATGCGCACATGTGTTCAGGTGCAGGCACCCATATGCTTGCATACAAGTCAGAGGATAACATCAGGTGTCTTCTATCACTCGCCACCTTATTTTTGTGCGTGTGTGATGTCTGTACTTGTACTTTCTAGTGTGGATATGTGCAAATGTGCCTGTGGGTTCCAAGGCCTGGAGGCTCAGGGACAACATCACGTCTTTCTTCCATTGCTCTCCAGCTTTATTTGTGGAGATGAATCTGAAGCTCACTGATTCAGTGAGGCGGGCTGGTCAGTGAGCTTGAGAGATCCACCTGTCTCCACCTGTCAGTGCTGGGTTACAGCAGAGCACCACCATCCTCAGCATTTTTTTTTTTTTTTTGCCTGGGTTCAGGTGATCCAAACTCAGGTCCTCCAGGCACTTTACAGACTGAGCCACCTCCCCAGTTCCTTTCCACCTTATTGTTCTGAGACAGGGCCTCTCACTGAACTGAAGTTTCTTGTTCTGGCTAGGCTGGCTGGTGAGTGAGCACCTAGGAATCTGTCTCTAACCACAACACGGAGGTTACGGGAACAGTCAACCTCACTGGGCTTTTTCGTGGGTGTTGGGGATTTGAACTCAGGTCCTCTTGCTTTCACAGCAAGCACTCTTACCCACCAATCCATCTCCTTGGCCCCTCACTCCTGGCTTTTTTTAATGTGGGTTCTGGGGATCAAACTTGGGTCCTCATGCTTGCGCAGCAAGCACTTTATCCACTGAGCCATCTCCCCAAGTTTATTCTTTTCATATACATTTTTATGTATTACATAGCCTTGAGGTCTATTGTTTTGAACCATATTTGAATTCAAATCCTGGCCCTACCCCTTGAACACATCACTCTACTTTCCAAAAGTTTGAGAGCCCTGAGTGCCTTGAGAGTGAGAAGACACTGTATTCTAGACACCATGCTGACACGTCTTTCCAACCACTGTCTCATTTGACATGAACCATGAGCACTTTGAGCCCTATCCTCTGAAAATAATGAAGTACCGGTAGAAATACACGTTTTACACACTGACTCTACATAATTTCTAAGATCATTTTAATTATTCTTCAAACAAATTAACAGCATGATTAATGTGTTATCAAAAGAACCATTGTGGCTCGGCACCATGTGTGCAAAACAACGACATCAAGGGTTATAGAAAGTACTGATCTGGGTGGGGGTGTGGCTCGGAGGTGAGGAGTTTATCTGACATGCAGAAGGCCCTTGGTTTAACCCAAGGAAGGGAGGAAGAGAGAAAGGAAGGGAGGAAGGAAGAGAGAGAGGGAGGGAAGAAAGGAGGAAAGTAGGAAAGAAGAAAAGAAGGAGAAGGAGAAGGGGACGGGAAGGAAAGACTTAGAGAAGTAAAATAACTCTCACAACACCTTCCAGGTGGCAACTGCAGAGCCAAAACCACACCCAAGTCTGACTGCTGAACCTCTGAACTTAACCAGTGCATAGAACTCTCCTGTCACAGAGAGCCACAGGTAATGAGCACAATCTAATTGCTTACCCCATTTTACACTTATGCACATACAAATGCACGAGTATAAATGCACATACACACACATGGTCACAAGATGGAAATTTCTAGACTCACATGAATATACTGCTTACATTAAAGAGCTAAAGGTGTGAAGATAGAAGATCAGAATTCCATTTTTCCAGGAGAGAATTAATTAGATGGCCTGAAGCTTGGTCGTTTAATGAAGTGGGCTTACAAAGGAATCACTTGTACCTGAAAGTCCCACATAGAATGGCCTTTCTCTCAGTTTCCAACCACACTGAAGAAGCATTCATTAGCCTCTGTCTGACATAGTTGTCTAGACAGACCTTGTAATGAGGCAGGTTTGCATTAACCATCATTTAATCAAAGCACCTGGGAGCCAGTCTATAATCCCAGAATTCCTGAAACTGCAGCAGTAGAATTGTGAGTTGCTCAAGACCAGCCTGGGCTACATACTCACCTGAGTCTTATTCTCTGTTCACTAATCAAATTATAATCAAAGTACTATTGCCCCTGCCAAGCACCCTTCACAACTGATACCCTGTCCTTGGGGAAAGGCAGCCTGCAGGGTACTCCCTAGGCTTGCCATTAGGAGCTAAATTACCAATCTTACCTTAAAGCAACACCATTTGGGCAGTCTGCCCACAGAATCTGAATGTGTCAGGCCAGGACTATATATAGCAGGTGCCTATAGGACCAGGGAATGACAGGCCTGCGCACAACAGGCTCCAGTGCTATGCCTCTCCCCTGAACTTCCCAACAGCTTGATGCTGCTGCCTGGCCTTCCCTTTCTCAGAATCAAAGGTCAAAGGTAAATACAGTCTCCTGCATTTGCTGTTAGACAGTGGGGCACTGAGGAAGAAAACAGTCTCAGGCCCAGGTTCCCTTGATCGTATCATCCCCGTATGAAGTTAGATGCAATCCATGACCTGGTGCTGCTGAAATGATTTGGGATGCACAGCAGCAGTTTCTAGGACACATAGTCATGCAAGCAGATGGGGCCTCTGCCAACTGTGTCTACTGCCAGATGCCACAGAAATACCAAGAGCCATCAATCATCTCCCAAAAGACATGCTTCACGATGTTACTAGTTTGCCTAGAGGGAGAATGTTCAACCATCTGTTGCAGTGGAGACAGCACTCAACATTTATGCCATTTCCACTCTGCTTGTGCTCACGCAGATTAATGTCTACAGTAAGGCAAAGCGAGGTGGGTGATAGGAGCTTGGAGGAGTTAAAAATCTAGTAGTTAAAGTAGGTAGAGACCATTAAGTTTTTTCTAGAAACAAATAGTTTCAAATACAAACTTTCACTGTAATATGAGAAAGCACAGTACACTAGCCATGGGAAAGCAGATTCATTACAATAATATTAACAGTGCATACCAAAAACTAACCTCGTTTTGATTTAGTATTTTTCGGTATTCTGTGCTCCGTGAAAGAATAGTGACTCGGATTTTTCCATCCTGTAATCAAAATGAAAAGTTCAAATAATGTCAGATGGACCCTGACCCAATAATGAACCTCTGAACCACAAATGGGATTTATAGAAAGAGGTGAAAACCACTAAGGGATATATTTGTGGAATGACAGGTGTTTAGCCTGACTCTTTAACCATCCTCTCAGAGAATAAAAATAGATCTACTTTACAAGAAAATGTGGTACATATATACAACGGAATATTACTCAAGCATACAAAGGAACAAAGTCCATCAATTTTTGCAGCACAGAGGGAAATGGAGAGCATTATTTTAAATATAAGTCAGGCACAGAAGGACAATGCTGCATGTTCTCCCTCAGATGTGGAAGTTAAGACAGCTGATCTCACAGAAGCGGGGAGCAGCAGAAAACAGTGGATAGTGGACACTGGTAAGGGTGATTGGGAGGAAGGAAACAAAAGAGGGGTTACTGGATGCACATTCCAGCTATGGGAAAATGAAGTTCTGTTCTTCTACAGCAAAGAAGAGTTACTACACTTGTCTATTCCCAAAACATTTTCAATGCTCTCAAAACAAAGACATGATTTACGTTTGGTGATGCAAGCACTTTGATCATCACACATGGTATCAAGTGTCAGAATATCACACTGCACTCCAGAAATATGCACAATTATTAGATGTCAATTATGGACACAGATAAATCTTAGTCATGGAGGATAAAACCTGTTCATCACAGTACTATTTGCTTGTTGGTTGGTAGGGTAGGTTTTTTATGGCGGGGGGTTACATGAGTTACATGGGGAACCTGGGAGAAGGTAGAGAGATGGGACCAAAGAAACGGGAAGAGGAAAATGAGAATAAAGCATATTCTTACAATAACCTTTAGTTCATCTTCACTGGTTATGAACTCCTGAATTCAGAGGACTACAGATCAGAGCATATGAAGACAGCAAACTCTGTCTCTGGTTATGTTTTGTTTGTTTTTTCTACAAAAGCAGCATTGATTTCATTAGGGGTGAAATATGGAGCCTACCTCAGAGCCTATAATGTATCCATTACCTTGGGTCCCTCTTGAGTGATGTTCAGCCTGTGTAGCACGTGCTGGGAGAAGGCCCTGAATAAACCAGTATTCTGACAGCCAGATATCTACAACAGAAACACAGGTTCACGTTACAACGAAGACTCCTGCACTGCAATGTCAGATGTCTCCAGAAACCAAAATGTTACCTTAGACCCTTACCAGGGGAGTGTTATAAAACAGCCCGTACCGCATGCGGGGCAGCAGTGAAAACACCGCTTCTCTGAAGCATACCTGAGAGTGAAGACATAGAAGACAACGTTCACGCCACACCAAAATGGCAATTCGAACTTGAGAAAGTAAATTTTAATTAATCTCCATTTTTGCAGGAAAAGAGTCTGAATAGCAAACTATTTCAAAAAGAATAAAATCTGCATTTCTGGAAAGGTTATAGAAAGAGAGTTTTAAGGTTAAATAACAAGAATTCTAGCTACAAGAAATGAAACCACAAAGTCATACATCAATGGTAACAGCCAAGAAAAACTCACATAAAATATTCATTTTATGAAAGAGTCCTCTGCATTGACAGTTATTTAAAGACATTTCAAGAAAGTTTCCAGTACCCTTTTGGAATCGTAGGTTTTCAAATGAATAACATCATAATCAGTAAATGCTTTCCAGGTGTCAGAGAACAGGTCGCCATATCCATAAGAACTCTGAAGGTGGAAACAACAGGAGTTAGCACACTAGAGGTACAACACAGCTTTACAGAAATGCAGCAAAGTATCTGAATTTACCTCTTTAGTATTCAATGATATTAGGGTCCTAAATGAGCTCCTAAAACCCACAAAAGATAAACAGATTATCATCTCAGGCCTAAGCAAATGTTAATTTGATGAACTATCAGAAATAGTCGTCACAGGGTTGGTGAGATGACTCAGTGGGTAAAGGTGCTTGCTAACAGGACTGACAACCTATGTTTGATCCCTAGGACCTACATGGTGAAAAGAGAGGACAACTCCTGCAAGTTGTCCACTGATCTTCACCCATACGCACACACACACACACACACACACACACACACACGGGCACACTCACATGCTCATATGTGTGTGTGCACACATACAATAAATAAATAAAACAACAATTTTAAAGAAATAATCATCATGCCAGGTGCAGTGGCACACGCCTTTAATCCCAGCACTCAGGAGGCAGAGACAAGCAGATCTCTGTGAGTTTCAGGCCAGCCTGGTCTCCACAGCAAATCCGGACCAGCTGGGGCTACAGGGAGACCCTGTCTCAAAAAGATCCCCCCCAAAAAAAAAGGAAAAGAAAAGAAAGAAAGAAAAGAAAAAAAGAGAAATAATCATCACAATTATACTGAGTATGTTACCAGTTTTTTTTTTTTTTTAAATCCTGCCCTAACCCCTTTTAGTTTCACATCTTTGAAATTATAGTTGTGGATTTTTCTGTTAAATTTCTGTCCTTGTTCTGCATCCCAGATACCCATAACACAAACATCTGCCACCATTTTACACACTGTGGTATGCTCACTGAGCAACATCCACCATAGTAAATAGATTGTGTTTGGAAAGAAATTTCAAAGCCAGAAAATGGCTTGCAAGCTTAAACATTAAATATGTTATGTTTGCAAGTACTAAATGCTTACCACATTGAATAAGGAATAGCGTGATCATTCCCCATTCATATTAGGCTGGTACTAACACTTATGACAACATTACATAACAACAGCAATACCTCTCATACTTCCCACATCACAGGCATTATTCTAAGCACTATAGATATCAACTCATCAAACAACCCCACATACCTAATGAACTAGCTCATGTCCTTACCCTCATTTTATACAGGAGGAAACGAGGATAGAAATTCAAATAATTTGCCTAAATTGTTAGCTACCATATGGTTGCTGGAAACTGAACCCAGGTCCTCTGCAAGAGCAACCAGTGCTCTTAATCACAGTCATCTTTCCAGCTGCTCAGTTAACTTTACAGAGGTAACTTGGAATGAACTAGTGGTCAGCCAAGAGAGCTAAGAAATATATATTGCAGGCTACCCTCAAAGTCTGCAATCAAGGCTGGGCGTGGTGGCCCACACCACACCTTTGATCCCAGCACTTGGGAAGCAGAGGCAGGCAGGTCTCTGTGAGTTCAAGGCCAGCCTGGTCTACATAGTGAGTTTCAGGCCAGCCGAGGCTACAGGGAGACCCTGTCTCAAAATAAACAAACAAACAAACAAATAAATAAATAACAAAAAACCCCCACAAAATCTGCAATCAACTGTATGCTATGCTTAGACTATTTAAGTCTTTTTATTTTTAAAGCACTCTTAGGTTTTGAAAATTTTATGTTTCACCTACTAAAGGTATTTCAAAGGTATTGAGAATTGTTTCATTTGGTGATAGAAATTTCTTCAGTGTTTCTCCAAAGATGTTCTAATAAGACCTTTCAACACCATCTAAAATGAAACTTCCCTGTTGCAGCTCAATAATAAATAAAGAGCAAGTAAAAGGTGCAATTCTACACAATTCTAGGAATTCTAATTTCTTGAGATAAAATACTTCAGATAAAATTAGAGCTTTGAAAGGAAAGTTAACAGTAAAACAGTGATCCTGACTGATCCTTTCTTAGGGAACTCATGTATTAGAATAATAACTACTTCTAAAATCTTTATCTCTACATTCCCAATTCAAATTATCCAACCCAGTGGAAGGACGGGCTTCCTTGTACCCTCACAGAGAAGAATACTTGGTTGGGTAACCCTCAAGATGATATAACATTTCCTCCTGTACAGGTCTCAAATTCGAACACACCCAAAGCTTAGGACACAAACTCCACTTGTTGGATTCTGTCGACAGAAATAATGAGAGTGTCTGTGAAGACGTGGACACAGTCAGCCCTCTGGATCTGCAGGTTTATCTAGTCTGATAGAAAACAGTCAGAAAATGGGGTCGGAGAGATGGCTCAGTGGTTAAGAGCACTGGCTGCTCTTGTAGAAGACCCAGGTGTGAACCCCAGCACCCACATGGAAGCTAACATCTTAATTTCAGTTCCAAGGGATCCTAAGCCCTCTTCTGTGCTCTGTGGGCACTGCATGACACAGGTGCACTTACATATATGCATGTATAACACTCATATGCATTAAATAAGTAATAAATAAATAAAATTTAAAAATGAGAAATAAAATATTTGGAAAACAAGTGCCTGTATTGAGTATGTATAGCCTTTTTTTTTCCTTAATCACTACAGTATAATGGCTTTTACATTGTACTAGGTTACATGAGTAATCTAGAGGTGATTTTAAAGCATTAGCAGGATATGCATGGGGTATATACAATTCTGCACCACTGAATATAGGGGAGAAGCATCCAAGTATTTGGGTGTCCAGAGTAGGTCTTGGAACTGATCTCCCATAGACACAAGAAGATGACTGGATATGGAAAAGAGCTTTACTACATTTCAGTAAAGAGCACGGAATTAGAAACAAATGAAATGTGTATGTGGGAGGGGGGAGATGAACACATACAAGACATCCATCAAGGGGAGAAAATCTGTCACCACTCAAAAAGGCACAGGTAACTCTAAGTAAGTATACTACCTGGGAACGATGCCCACGTAATATAAGAGCATATTTTCTTTTTCTTTTTTTTTTATGTGTATGAGTGTATCGCCTGCATGTATGTGAGTGCACCCATGTCGTGCAATGCCATGGAGGTCAGAAGAGGGCTTCTAATTCCCCTGGAACTGGAGTCAAGGATGGTTCATAGCCACCATCCCATGTCGTGCAATGCTGTGGAGGTCAGAAGAGGGCTTCAGATTCCCCTGGAACTGGAGTTAAGGACAGTTCGTAACCACAATGTGGGTGCTTGGGAATCAAACCCCAGTCCTCTGCAAGCAGTCAGTGAGTGCTCTTAACCACTGAGCCATCTCTCCAGCCCCAAGAGTATATTTTCTATAAAAATGTGAATATATTCTTATACAAATGATATATGCACATAAAGAGACCCTTATACAAATCCTGTTATACATTTTGTGTAAGGATATATTTACATCTATTAAAAGCCTTGAAGGAATTCAAATACAGGTTAACAGTAGTTACTCTTGGGCCACAATGCAAATAGAAAGAGGAGGAAGAGACTTAAATAAAATTTCGTATACTTCTCTGTGCTCATAGCAATATATCCAGGAAATGAAACTGAAGTAGCAGCAAAACAGTACACAAAGCGGAAATGGAAGCGCACATAGAATAGGAGACAAAGTATCAGGGTGTTAAGAATGCAGAACCAGTTCTCACTGGACTTTGAATCACATCAACATTCTGGGAGGCAGCAATGGCAATGACCATCCTCCCTGCTCTACTGTGAATGTCCTATCTATGAAGTAGGGTCAGCGAATGCTTCCCCCTTGACTGCAGGAGAACCGACTATGAGGCAGATGGCAAGCTCTGCTCTGGGGAAATCCAGATGGCAGGTGCCAGCTGTTTCTAGACAATGTTGCTTCTGATGTATGTATATGTGTGAGATTCACCCTAGATGGTGAGCTGAAAAACAACTTAGCATGAAGCTGGATGTGGCCAGAAGGCTGCTATTAAGTAAAGGCAAAGGCTAGGGATATAGCTCAGGGGTCGAGTGTTTGCTTTTGGTTAGCATGCACAAGACCTTCGGCTCTACCTCCAGAACTGAGGGGTAGAGGGGAGCAAAGACACAATAGATTCAAAAGGACAAAGTAAATAACTCTAACACTACAAGGCACAGAGGCAGAATGATAATCTTCAAAACTCCTGTCTCAGAGGAATGCTAAGATAAAGACAATCTTTGCTCTTGGAACTCTATCACGTCAAAGATGGAGAGGGAGTGACTGCTACTGCTTCACTCTAAAATTCAAAGCACAAAGGATCACATACACGTATGGTCTGGGGTATAGCTCAGTTGGTAGAGGGCTAACTTAGTATGTATGAAGACCTGGGCTCAATCCCAGTAGTGCATAACATCAAGTGTTGTGGTACATGCCTATAATCTCAGCAACTGAGAGGTTGTTGATACAGGAGAATCAGAGGGTCATCCTCAGTTACATACTGAATTTAAGGCCAGCCTGAGCTACATGAGACTCCATCTCAAAAATCAAGCTAAAACAACAAAAGATCTCACACACACACACACACACACACACACACACACACACGTATTTATGCATGTCAATGAACCCATACAGACACATATGAACTCATTAAAATGTATGTGGGTGTATTATGGGTATATATTTAAATGTATATCTTAGAAAACTGTTTCACACAGATTTAATTGTGTATATTAGAAAATTCAGAGCTACACAGGCAGAGCAAGGAGAAAGCAGACCCTTACTTACAGTATCCCACATCACGATGTACACATCTGTACTGAATGAATTGTTAACATGTTGAGTGATATAGAGATTCAGAAAATCACAGAAGTGGTGATACATGTTGACACCTAGTATTGGAAAAAAGAGAGATCCATAATAATCAACCCCAAAGAACACATAATTAAATGCTTTCTATTCTATCCTATCTCCTTACAATTTGCTGAACTTTTAGTTGAAATCAATGAAGAAACACGTTTTTTTTCTAAATATATTCCATACACAGCTACTCATCAATTTATAGAGGTACTGAGTTCAAATTTTCACTTTTTAATTGAATATTTAGAAATTAGGAATGAATGTATTTTCTCATATATACCAAGTAATAAAGGAGTAGTATTAAGTTCCAGAAAGCAACACATAGGACTATTTAACTCAGCATGAGGTAGAACTACATGACCATGAAGACTTTTGGTCATTAATTTTTAAAAAATCAATTTTCAAAAAATCAATTTTTAAAAAATCAATCAAATGTGGCTGGAGATGGCTCAGTAGTTAAGAGCACTGTCTGCTCTTTCAGAAGATTCAGGTTCAGTTCCCAGCACCCATACGGCAGCTAACAACCATCCATAACTCCAGGTCCAGGGGAATTCAACACTGTCTTCTGGACTCTGCAGGCAGTGCATGAGATGGGTGCATGTACATACATGAAGGCAAAACACTTATACACATAAAATAAAAACAAATTTAAAAAGTTAAAAAAAAAAAAGAAAGAAAAAGTAAGAAACAGAGTGGGGTCTAGAAAGACGGCTCAGCAGGTAAGGGCATTTGCCATCAAGCCTGAGGACATAAATTCTATCTCCAGAACCCACATCGTAGAAGGAGTAATCCAAACAGCTTGTCTAGCCAGGCATGGTGGTACATGCCTTTAATCCCTGCACTCAGGAGGCAGAGGTGTGCAGATCTCTGTGAGATGGAGACTAGCCTGGTCTACATAGTGAGTTCCTGGCCAGTTGGGGCTACATAGGAGACCCTATCTCAAAAAACAACCACACAAACAAACAAACAACAAAGAGCTTGTCTTCTGATCCCCATTATGTATGGTAGCATGCTTATGCACACATACACACACAATAAATAAGTAAATACACACATACATAAATATAAAGGAAGTAGGAAGGAAGGAAGGGAGGGAGGAGGGAGGGAAGGAGGGAGGGAGGGAGGGAGGGAAAGAGAAACAGAAAAAGAAGTCATATGATTGTTAGATGAGAAAAGAATATTCCAAGCAAATGGCACTAAGAAGCAAGCAGGGGTTGTAAGTCTAATATTTGACAAAATAGAATTCAAAGAAAAACTGTATACACTCTTAATTTAGGTATGTGGGACCCAAGAGCCAGCCTGGAAATGTGCAAATGTAAACAGGGTAACATTCTGAGAACAAACAAAACACGTACTTTCAAAATGGAAAATGTTGAGTAAAAGAAAACCAGGGACTCTCAAAATCACAAACCATAAAATACCCTGGCATCATTCCCTTAGTAATAATAATATGATATGCCAGAAAATAAGAGGAACAAATACTTGAGTTTTTCTAGCTAGGTTTATCTTAAACATTTGCAAAGGATAATTTCTTTTTTATATAATTACATGTATGTATTGTGTATGTGTGTATGTGCACAAGCACCACGGCACATGTGGAACTCATTGAACAACTTGTAGAAGTTGGTTCTCTCCTTCTACCATGAGAGTCCTGGGAATCGAACCCAGGTTCTCACACTTGACAACAAGTGCCATGACCAGATGAGCCCCATCACCGGTCCTGGAAGGGATCATTTCTTGACCCAGAAAAACTTTAGCAAAAAGCCTCTTTTCAAATTCATAAGAAAAACTTGTATTAGAGCATACCCCCTTATCCTGTGTAAGTTCTGAGCTCACAATAGCTGCCAAGGAACACCAAGTAAGTCCCTAACATTTATTCAGGAAGGCAGTCTACACATGCTAGTGACTGACACCATTAAGTGCTGGGATTATGGGTGTGTGCCACCATGTCCAGTTACCATAGGGTTTAAAAGGAGGAAAAAACACAGGTTTCATCCTGGAGAACAGTGGGGCAGGTGAGTTCTGTTCTGAAGAATGTGTCTTCCCCTCCTCAAGATAAGAGTTAAGTTGAAAAGGAAAACTGGATGATATCATAAGTAGAAGGAAAAGGTAGAGTTATAGATACAGGAAAGAAATGAAGAATGTCTATCTTAGCCCATTAATTCCCACTTTACATTATTGCATATGATCTGCATAAAATTCACAGTTCACACATACCTACCTCTTTTATAGGCAGATCACAGTGTTTTCTCTGCCCCTTTTAAATTTGCATATTTTTAAAAGAAGAATCAGAACCTTCAACATAGCATTTTCAATTCACTTTAATTAAAAAAAAAAAAAAACTAAACTCATCTGACTTCTGAATCCAATATTTTATAATATAAGAATTATGGGTGTGATAGTGCACGCCTTTAGTTCCAGCACCCAGGAGGCAGAGGCAAATAGATCTCTGTGAGTTCAAGACTAGCCTGGTCTACATAGTGAGCTCCAGGTCAGCTGGGGCTACAGGGAGACCCTGCCTTACACAAAAAATTATGACTTCAGATGGTAGAGCACATTGAAACTATGATCAATAATTATGGTAATTCTCAAATAAGGGTGACAGAGGGCTCTGCATATTTACTGTACGCCTCGCCTCTCATGAATTTGGATATGATACAGCACGGTAATCTCCATCTCTCATAATGAGAGAGATAACATGGTATGGTCTGCGTCTCTTCTCCCCAGGGCCACTAGTTCCCAGAGTTAAACTTATCCTTGCAAGCTGAGACTTAGAGGTGAGGAAAAAGAATTCTATTTTTTTTTCCACAAGAATATACTTCAGTGATAGCTTCCAAAAGAATTTTAAGTTCACTTTAATTATGGAAATGACTTTAGAAAGTTTACCTTGGGGCATTTCTTTTCCACTTACAGACTACTCATGGCTGCTGATTTTAAAAAAAACAAAACAAAACTGTAATGAAACATAAATGCGAATCAAATGATAAGAGAAATTAGACTAGGTAAATTTAGTTACAAAAGGTGCGCATAGGCCACTGCCCTTGTCTTTAGATTTTGGTGGAATCACCTGATATAAATGTGAAGGTTTCTTCTAGAATACCAAAGGTACAAAATGACAGGAAGCTAAAATGAGTTCATCAACTTCAGGAAAGAAAGCAAAAAGGACAGCCACTGTCGTTCGGCTTTCAAAATTCATAGAAAATTACCATACATAGGCCGTGTACGAAAAACAAGGTCTCATTAACCAGTGTATAAATAAGAGACAAATTAACTTCTCACCTGCATCTAATTTCATGAAATACGTTGGCTTTTCAATAACAATGTCACACTCAGAGTCTTCTATGGGCCTGAAGTTGAGCTGAGTGTAGCCTTGTAGCTCAGCAAACCTGGAATTACGAATTGTGACATAAGTTAAAAGTGATTCTTTCAAGCTTCCTGTTGCAGCACTGTAGCGTGGAATCTGTTCCTGAGGCAGATTCTACTTCTAGTACACAGGAGCAGGGCTGTGGAGGACCTTCTAAACTTCACTAGTGTTCATGGGATGTGATAGCAACTTTAATATCGAAACAGAACAAAAATGATTTCAAATTTCAGTCCAATGTACAAGACAGTTACATTGGGAGCCTACCACGAAAAGAAGACACTTACATAATAACTTGGCTAAATAATCTAGCAATGAAGTAGGAGATTCTACAAGGTTTCCTGTCATTTGAGAGGCTCAAAGGGAAGGAGGGCTCGGCTAGAGACGCTCATATGGTAGATTTCTTGGACTCTGAGAATGATCACACTCCAAAATGATCTAGTACGTCAGAAAAACAGAAGGCAGGTAAGCTTCTCTGAAGAATGGAAAGTCTGTTTCCCAAGAAATGTCTTTGCAAGCCACGTGGTACAATTTTCATCCAAACAAAGGACAATCAAGCACATGAAGAGGGATGTCCAAGGTTAAGCTAAAAATCATCTGCTGTGCTTTATTCTTGGGATCACAAGTCATGTAAAACATGTCAGACTCGTTTAAAACACAATGTGAAAACACTGGTGGTTTCAAAAATAAGCTTTCTTCCTTTCTTTCTTTAGTGTGTGCTCGGTGTGCTCATTCCATGTCATGTGGAAGCTGGAGGTTGATCCTGGGATGTTTTCTTCAATGGCTTCTCTATTTGTTTTTTTTTTAGACAGAGCCCCTCACTGAACAGAGACATCACAGTTTTAACAAGACTGACTAGCTAGCCAGCAAGGCCACAGAGCATAGCTCTGAGGTTACAGATGTGTGCTACCATGTCCAGCTTTTTATATGTGGACTGGTGCTAGGGGTCTGAACTCAGGTCTCATACTTGTACAGCAAACACTTAACCCACTGAGCCATCTCCCCAGCCACATAGGTTCTTTAGTATGTCTTCCTTCAAGAGGTAGAGTTTAGCTGGACATGATGGCTCATGCCTGTCATCTCAGGACTTGGGAGGCTGACACAGGAGGATCACAAGTTCTAAGTCAGCTTGGGCTACACAGTAAGATTCCATCTCTAAAGAAACAAAAAGAAAGAAAGAAAAAAAGAGGGGAAAATTCATTCCCCTCTCCGCCTTGAGCATGGGCACGCAGCTTCATGGCTCACTTCTAACCAACAGAACACGGCAAAAGTGATAGTATGCCAGCATGGAAATTAGGCCATGAAACACTGAAGCGTCCCTCTTTGGTCCCTCATGTGCACCTAGACCTCAAGCTCCTGAGGAGGCTGGCTGCCCTGCTGTGTGTGAGGGGTAGAATAGAAAGGCCCATATAGTAAGAAAGGAATCTTCTGGTCCACAGCCAGAGAGGAACTAAGGTTCAGGACAACCTGAGCAAGTTTGAAGACAAGTTTTTGGGCCTGCTTGGACCTAGAGTGGCTGTGCCCCCAGCTAACCACTGAGCTGCAACCACATGAGGAGCACCTGAGTTCATCTCAAACTCTGGCACCACAACAGCATAAGATATTAGCCACATTTCAGAGGACTTTGTAGCACAGAAACACCACAACAGAAAATAATATAAATACGCCCTAGAGTACACTTTGGAATAATGTGTAGCCCACCAGTAAATAAGATAATTATACCGTGAGGAGCTGTGATATGGAAGCAGATACCAAAATGAACTAGGAATGAAAATGGCCAGTAGGAGAAGTATCTATTTGTAACAACCTGTTAAGTCATGTAAGCACTACATTGCAAAACTGCCAACTGCCTTATGAACGTAGGTTCGAATATTATTCCTAATGGTCTGCTCAGCATGAATGACTCAGAAAATAACACGGGAAGTGCATGAGCCTCTATGAATGAAAGAAGAATTCTGCACCCTAACTACAGTTGTGGTTACCTATCCCTGGATGTGGAATATAGATTTTCTAAGGAACACATTTTTAAAAACACCACTGAGCTGCAACCACATGAGGAGCACCTGAGTTCATCTCAAACTCTGTGGCTAATATCTGCACCCTAACTACAGTTGTGGTTACCTATCCCTGGATGTGGAATATAGATTTTCTAAGGAACACATTTTTAAAAACACAAGTGTATATGTATGGTTAGCAGACCATAACAGTGAGGTTTTCCTGGCTTTGGGAACTGCGCTACAGTTATGTGAGACACTATCCATCCTTCCAGGAAGCGGGAGTGACAGCACAATGGGAATGCTTGCACTATTTTTAAACTTCCCTGAGTCTAAAACTATTTGCCCAGAGTCTCTGTCCCCCCCATTCCTGAGAAGCTCATGTGTACAAAGTAAGTGGCGTTTTCCATTTTAGCGTCCCTTCCAAAATCTGCAAGTGCCATAAACAAATGCAAATGTTTTAAAAAAATATGTTTTTAGGAAACAAAATCATGTTACCAAGACTGCAGAGGGCTTTTGCGCTGACCTTCAGACATCAAGGCATGACTGTCAAGTTTACAGTGTCCTCCCATTCCACCACCCTGGAGAAAATCTTCCTTGAATCTAGTGTACAATAAAAATAAAGTTAAATTGGGAAATTTTCTCATGACTCAAGTTCCTGGGTTGGATCTAAGAGTACTCATTTCCTAAGTAACTTTTCACTGAATTTATTTATTTATTTTTGAAACAGGGTCTCACAAAACCCAGGCTGACCTTGAACTTACTATATAACCAAAGAGGACCATGAATTTCTTATCTTCCTGCCTCCACTTCCCTAGTGCTGGGATTTCAGGCATGTGCCACCACCTAGTTCATGTAGTGCTGGGGATTGAACCCAGGGCCTTATGCATACAAGGCAAGCACTCTACCAATGAAACCACATCCCTAGCCCCTCACAGGTATTTAACTTACAAGCATGTGTCCTGCATATGTGATAGTGGTCCCAAAATACTCTGTATATAGGGGCTGGAGAAATGGCTCAGTGGTTAAGAGTACTGGCTGCTCTTGCAGAGGACCCAGATTTGGTTCCCACCACCCACATGGTGGCTCATACCCATTCATAACTCCAGAGCCAGGGAATCTGATGCCCTCTTTTGGACTCCATGGGCACCAGACATACATGCAGGCAAATTCTCATACACATGAAATAAAAATAAAATCTTCTAAAAATTATATATGTATATATACATATACGTAGTGACCTTGCAGCTCTTAGTACATACTAAGATGATGTTCCCACACTAATGACATTATTGTATTGCAAAATGTACAGTTGTGGCTCAGAGGTTAAGAGCACTGACTGCTCTTGCAGAGGACCTGGGTTCAATTCTCAGCACCCACATGGCAGCTACAAATTGTCCTTAACTCCAGTTCCAGGGGAATCTGAAGCCCTCTTCTGACCTCTGCAGCATTGCATGACACAGGTACACTCACATATGTGCAGGCAATACACTCATACACATAAAATAATAAAATATTTTTTTAAATGTACCATTGTTAAATGATGCATGACTGTACTTACAATAGAAAAATTATGAAATATACAAAAATGAGAGCATCTTATACGGCACCCAATATATCCATGGCCCAAGTTGGCAATGTGACCAATAGGTAACCAGCTTGGGTCAGTCACTCCTCACCCATCCCCTAACCTTTCAACCATTTTACTACAAAACAAATCAAAGATAGATCTTACACCTGAAAATATTTCACAACTTTTACTAGATTTTCACATCAACCATTTAAGTACCTGTCATGATTCCTCTTGATGTTTCTTAAGTCCAGGTATAGACTGGTGGCTCTGCAATACTGAAGATAACGGGAACATACCAGACTTGAGTCACTCTGAAATAAAATTGAGAAAAGGAAAAAACATCAGCCATGAGTCTTAGCACTTAGAGGACTCACTGAATGTATCAGCCAAGCTGAATGCATAGTGTGTAACCCACACTATGATGGGAGCTCTCCAGACACCCACTCTGTTTCTTTACTGTTTTCTCCTTTCTAACAGAGTTTACCCAGGTATACATCTATAAGTCTCCATACCTTTAGGTTACTATGAAGAATTCCAAATTTTTTGTTGTTGTTTCTTTTTGAGCTAGGGTTTCACTATGTAGTTTAGGCTGGCCTCAAATTAATGATCCCTCTCCTCCCTCAGCCTCTCAGGTGCCACCACATCCACCAGCTCAAGTATTCACATCGAGAGACCACCAGGTATTGGCTCGATAGGCTTTAACAGACTAAGACAGAATGTGTGAAATTCTGTTGATGGGCTATGGCAGGTACAAATAGGGTAAGTCTGAATATGATTAAAATGTATGCAATCCACATAAATTTAATAAAGCTATACATTGAAAATTTTTTTTGTGGGGGGTGGGGTCTTTTTGAGACAGGGTCTCCCTGTAGCCCCAGCTGGCTTGGAACTCACTATGTAAACCAGTCTGGCCTTGAACACACAGAGATCCGCCTGCCTCTGCCTCCTGAGTGCTGGGATTAAAGGCATGTGCTACCATGCCCAGTGAAAAAATATTATTTTTAAATTACATTTACTCATTTATTCATTTAACTGTGTGTTATGTGTGTGAGTTTACATGTGTACACATGCCACAACACAGGTTTGGAGATCAGAGGACAACTTTCAGGGGTCTATTTTCTCCTTCTACTATTTCAGTCCTGGGGACTGAATTCAGATCATCAGGCTTTGCCACAAGCACCTTTATCCGCTGAGCCATTTCACAGACCTGATTTCAAATTTAAAGCCAAGAGCTATATATGTACCTCACTTCTCTTACTTTAAAAAACCAAGCCCTGGAAACCATTTCTATCCCTGGCCATGTGAAAAAGGTTTTTCTATGGGGGAGATAAAGGAAACAAGGAAGAGTACATATGTAAGAGACATTCAAGCACAAGTCTGGGCAGGCAGCTTGCCAATTTCAGTAAGAGGCACTTTCTACAAAATTTCCCATAAACCTTAATGAGAATCTCTGTGTCAACAGTAGGGGAAGGGCAATCTGTTCTAACTGAAACAATTGAGAAGTCAACTATAGCAACCTGTTTCTGTTTCAACCACACCACTGTGTGCTGAGAGACCACTTTGTGAACTCGTGCTCCAGACATTATTTAGGGATTTAAATGCCATTGATTCTTTTTCCTAAAATTTCCGATGAACAAAGGGCCTTAATCTTAACCTGTTTAGCATTTTGGAATCTAGTTAGTAAAATATCATAATGAACTGAATGCTGTGTCATTGTAAAATTCATATGTTGAAAATCCAACTCTTGAACAATGAGATGGCTCAAGGGGAAATGGGGCTTGCCACCAAGGCCTGACGACTTGAGTTCGATTCTGGAACCCACCTGGTAAAAGAAAAGAACCAATTCCCACCAATGGTCCTCTTACACATGCGCGCGTGCGCGCGCACGCGCGCGCGCGCACACACACACACACACACACACACACTAAAGAAATGTAAAAAGAATGAAATCCAACTCTCAACATAGTGGTAGGAAGAGGTGGGGCTTTTGTAGGTGGTTAGGTCATAGGCAGAGGCCTCAAGAATATTAGGACCAGTTGTGGTTTGGATATGTAATGCCTCCCATAGACTCATGCGCTAGAACACTTGGTGCTGTTTGGGAAAACTGTGGACCCTTCTAGAAAATGGAAACTCACTGAATAAAGGGTCCTGTGGGGGATGGGCCTTGAGGTTTTATAGCCCAGCCCCACTTCCTGTTTTCTCTCTGCTTCCTGCCTGCAGATGCCTCCTGCTCCTGATGCCATGCCTTCCCTACCATGATGGGCTATATCCCCTCAACTTGTAAGCCACCACCACCAACCTTTTCCTACTTAGGTTGCTTCTTATTAGGGTTGGTCACAGGAACAAGAAAAAAATAATAATAATACAGTTTTCTAAAAGAGACCACAGAGAGTGTTCCTTCTCTTTCCCCTGGGTACAGATACAATGACAGGCAGCTGTCTGCAGACTGGAGGAGGGCCCTCACCAGAGCCCAGCTGTACTGATACCTTGCTCTTGAACCTTCAGCCTCCACGCCTCCAAATTGTAAAGTACTAACTAAGCAAAAACAGATCCCAATGGTAGGGACCTGTCACCTGTCCTGAACAACCTGAGAAAGAATCTGTAAAGATGTGATGCATTAATTTCACTCCTTTGGCATATGTTGAGGGGGGTTCTAAGTCTAAAAATATTTTTAATTGCCTCAAAATATAACTATCTGATGTGTGTATGTATGTATGTGTGTGTGTGTATGTGTGTGTGTGTGTGTGTGTGTGTAAAGGAGGGCAAGCCTTTCAAAGGAAACAGAAATACTTTGGGAATACTGAATACAATTCTAAGCTGGGTTTCAGGATGCTATAACCGTCCTGGCAGGAATGAAGGTATTCTACTGTTGTGCCCCTTCTTTTGGCTATTATTGAAGATTGCTGAAACAATACTCCCCAAAGATTATTGAAACAATACTCCCCAAAGAACTGGAATATTTACCAAACACCTCATGCTGGGAGAAGGAAAAAAGGCGGAAGCCTGATATCAGCCAATGGAGGAACTTGTCTCCCAGAAAGAGATTTCACACAGTTCTGACAACTTTTCAGACCACCTTGCAGGAGAGACTAGAGCCCAGACAATGATGGGTCAGTGATGGACAGGACCACACCTTGACCAGGACTGATTAGTCACGTATACCTACTGCCTTTTATTTAAACCTAAACTTTATGCCAGGACTCTGAAGACAGACTTGGGAGAAGGGAGAGGGTCACTGAACCACTGTGTTCCACTTCCCAGTGTGGCCACATAAATCTCTCTCTGCATTTCACTATACTTGTCTGCTTAATTGTCCTATTGAGGATGAGTGGGCTGAGCTTAACTTGTCAGGGCCATCAGAGTCCAGGACCTGACCCTAACAACTCCAGTTCCTGCCTATAATTCCAGTACTGAGGATGTGGAAGCAGGAAGAACATGGTTCTAAGGACAGCCTGGTCTACATGGAGACCCTTTATCATTGAGCCATCTTGTTTTTACATTACAACTTAAGCAATAAAACAATAAACAGTAAAAATGAGCAAGCTTATTGAGGAAAGAGCTAAACACCCACTGTTCCCTCTGGCTGACAGAGCACATGTATCTCGTCCAGCCTCTCTCTGGCATATCCAAAGTCAGCTTGTCTCCAGAACAGGTCCTCAGCTGACTCCAGAGTGTCTGTCCTATTTGTAAAGAAAAAGATTTCGTCATTCCTTTTTTCTTTTTTGACCTTTCTTCTAGTCCCTTGCTACTTTAATTTTTAAAGTATGCTTTGTAGTTTTCCCCAAAATTATCACTATGCACATAAAGTTACCAAAATAAGCTATGCACAGACTTTTTCCTTTGTGATAAAACAGAACAGAAACCTATGAAGTTAGGATTATCTGGAACTGAAGAAAACAAAATATTATTTACTATGTTGTCTCTACCCCACTAACAGTGTGTATATTGGAATTGCTAATTAGATTTAATTTTCTCTGGAGTCTATTGTTGCAGACTCTAGAACAACCTACCCATTTATCTTCTCCACATACATGGGGGGAGGGGAGACTTTTTCCGTAGTGCATGCTGTTTTCTCCCTCTTACAAAGGAAAGAACAGATATTGCTCTCAGTGTGAGATAGGTTAAAGTCATGACCGCATAAGGAAATTAACATTTACAGGAATCACTATTTAAAGACAGTCTAGCTGGGAATTAGGCATTGACACGTACTTCAGAGAAAGCAGAGTTAAAGGTGAGGATTCCCTAAGGAGACTCACCATCCGGTGTCCACATAGCTGCAAACAGGATAACCAAATCTAAATTCCGGTTTGCAGGATTTCTCATAACCCCAGCAGGACTTCAGATTTTCTAGATGTTTCTAGAACATAAAATGTGTACATTTCTTTGGATTGTTAGAGAAGACTATTGGACTTTTCCATGAAGAAAACAAGCCTTTATAGAACCTTCACATTTCTATTTCACAATGTTTATTCATGCAACATTTGAAGAGGGGCAGGCTCAAGGCTCTTCACAATGGCCTTTACTCACTGCCCCATATCTATCCCCTAACCAAGTCTAGGCTTCAGTTAGACTACCAAAGACCTCCTGATTTAGAATTTCTTGAGATATCCTAAGAAACTATCTTTCTCAGACAGCAAACTGATTCTATAGTCAGTCACTGAACAACAACAAAACAAAAAACATATCCATTGGAATTTTACCACCCCCAAGAATGGGTCAATGACTTTACTCCTCAATCAATCAGCAGAAACAGCACAAGGTCAACCCTCTCCAGCACTTGAGGCCAGAGCTCTTCTGTTGGTCAGATTCCAGGATCTTCTTTCCCATATGCTTCCTGTGCCAGCACCATGGGAAAGGAAGTGGCTTACAATGCCCAGCTTTGATATCCAAGGCCGACCCGGAGATGTCTTAATGGGCTCTATTTGAGGTCTTTCAAACCCCAGTCTTAATTCTTTGGAGCCAAGGCTGAGGTGTGATTACTGAAGCAAAGTGCTAAGAGACCTCCTAAGTGCAATTGAAGAAAGAAAAGGTGTGATATTCTTTACTTTGAACAAGGTGTTCTTATCAGCCTGAAATCTAATTTGCTCTGTTTCAGAATATGCAGATAGTATGTGCTGCCCATTTATTTCTATTTTAAATTTCATTCCTGTGAATGGGATGTAATTTTAAGCTAACTTTAGTCACTTAGGAGTATTAGATGAAATGAAAATGGAAAGTTAGAAATCTACCTTCCGCTGTGGATTACAAAGCAGAGCTAATAGGTCAGTCTAAACGACATCCTTTTATGAAAGAGAACAAAGTATAATGGCACATATGTATGAAAATTCCACAATGAAGCCCACTACTTTGCATACTAATCTGAAAACTTAATTTAAAAATACAAAGATATACATTTTTAAAAATAGCATGTTAAACAGGGAAAAAAAATGGAGCAGAAATAAGTCCTACCTTATATGGACACCAGGAGTCCTTCTTGCAGATGGTGGCAATATGCCTGTTGTTGTGCAAAAAGAAGGGAATGTGCTCCTCTGGCAGGCGGAGGCTGGTATAGTCAAATAGTTGTTTTCCTAGTATGCTGTCAGCCCCAGGATGAACCTCATCTTGGCCACTCAGCAGGACTTCATGAAGTAATACTCCAAAGATAAGCAGCATTAGCATAGCAACTTGCAGACCTAAAGATCCAGTTGAAAGCATCTTCATTAAGGAATCTCCTTTAAGGAGGTGGACAAGAAGCCCCAGCCCTAGCCTAGGAACTGTGGCAATTGATAACTGCTGAAAAAGGAAATATTTCTTTAGGGATGTGATGCCTGCTAGGTGGAGTAGACTCCAAGGGGTAGACGCATACCCAACAGCACTTAAGGGATGCAGTTCAGGCTAGATAGGCCAAAGAAAAATAAAAGTGGGGACATGAAGTGGGGAGGGGGCACTTAAGGGATGCAGTTCAGGCTAGATAGGCCAAAGAAAAATAAAAGTGGGGACATGAAGTGGGGAGGGGGCAGCAGGGTGGAGGTGGAGATGATGAGGAGGTCTGAATGTAATCACAATACACTGTATGAAATTCTTCAAGTATCAATAAATTTTTTAAAATCCTCTTTAAGGACAGGAAATTGGGAAGTGGGCATAAGATAGGGATCTGGAGGAAGCTGGGGTGTGTGTGATGAATATGACAGAAATACATTGAATGCATGTGTGAAATGCTCAAAGAATAAGTAAAAATATTATATCATTAAAAAAAAATAAAAAGAAATCCCATTTAGGACTGGGTTATAGCTCAGTGGTAGTATACTTGCCTAGCATTCATGAGTCCCTGGGTTCAGTCTCCAATACCACACAATCAATCAATCCCCTTTAAAAGCCAAAGGGCCAAGGGCTATGCGTAATTACCGTTATACTTTGCTACATCAATGAGTCATGTTCCTTTGTTCACCAAATATTTATTGCACACCTGCCAGGCAGTGTGCTAGGAGCAAGGCACACAAGTGTGAGAAATATGTCCCAACCCAACTTGGCACACTTCAGAGTTGTTACTTGGAAAGACTACAGACTTCTTCAGACCTAAGGATGGCTCCAAAACGTTGACCTCTTGTAAAAAGAAATTTGCATTGTTTACGTTGGTAAACAATGGATGCAGACATAGGTGCCACTACCTGATATCCCCCTTGGTGCCCAGAAAAGAGAGGACCAAAGTGGTTATTACCTGGGAGACTTCATCTACGTAGCAAGACGACCCTAGCTAGCAGCTCTTATCCTTTGGCCCCAGCCCACCATAGCAGCCTGAACCATTTTCTAGCCACATAGAAACAAATCCAAGCCCCTAAGCGCCTTCCTTAAAGCTTAACCTAAGGCTCAGCCATCCAGAGTCTTGAGCTGATTAGACATGTAATTAGGTGAGTGTGTGTTTCTTCGTGTTGTCTACTTACTAAACTTCCCCACACAGGAATGAAAAAAGCATTAACACTGTGGAAGCCCATGATGGTCAAGAAGTTACTACATTTCTGCTCACCCACCCAGGAAAGGTTAAATGTCTTGGGTCAATTTTTCCCATACATCCGTGACAAAAATCATGCCATTTCAGCTTGCTTTGTGGACAGCAAAGCTTCTTTTTGCCCCAAGTGTTTCTTCTACAAGATGACTGAGGCCTAAGACACACTGGGTGTTCTGCAGTGAAGTCAGTGACTACCAACCTTCACTGACAACTGGCCTTTACTTACTGACTGCTCTGTTCAAACAAATGATTCATGGGATCTAGCATAGATGCCAGGAAGAAATCCTTTCCCCCATAGAACAGTAATTATAAAGGTTTCTTATTTAGGTGGCCCTGAAGAGTATATTGTTATCCCTTATAACTCCAAATTAATATATTAGCTGGGATTTTGATATAACAGTGAATTGATAGCAATTTCATAAAATTTTAAAACACTGATAGAAACAATGGCTGTACTTATAATGAAAATACCTCTTTAATCCTCAGGATTTCCTAGAAGCTGTTGATGTTCCAGATAGCTTAAAACCTGTAAGAAAGTAAAAGGCATTACCTTAAAAGCAAGCCTCAATAGACTTTATCATTCAGGTGGTATTTTAAGTTAAAGGAACTATTAAGACAGAAAACAAGTTAATCAGAAAAACCTCTAACTAGAAGCCTCTTAAAGCAAAGTCATAGGCACCATGGCACCATGGACCTCCGATACAGTAACTCACAGCTCGGATGCTAATGGTGAGCAGGAGACAGCCCACTTCACACCTATAAGCCAGAGAGGCCAACAGGATACTTAGCAGAGAAAGCATTCCTGGGAACAACGCCTGTTCCTGGTTCTCACTGCAATAATCCTGCGCACCAAATCACAGGGCTGCCTGAGCCAGTGCTGGCCTTTAGGGTCACAGGCAGGCCACCCAATTCTTTGACTCACCCTCTTGCTCATAAAGTCACTGCTATGACTGACTAAGTCTTGAACTTTGGTTATCCAAATCCACTGTTCTGCAGAGTTCTGACAGTTAACTAAACTTACCCCTCCATGGAGAAGAAGTAACCCTCCGGCAGGCGGAAAATCTAAAGAGGAAGATCAGACAGTTGGCTTTTGCAAGGAAGGGCACGTACCCACTTGCATAGGCCTCGTGAGGGCGGCTGCTAGAGCATGAAAGTACAACCTCCGGGCCTGGCACAAAGCCGTCCTGGTGTTGAGTCCTCCTGCCAGGCTTCCCTGGAATGGGTGGATGCTCTGATCCACCAGATGGAAGCTTCAGTGACCTAGGCACAAAGCTGCCAGGCGCCCCCCTCCCACTCCTGGGTGGCTTAACTGGACTTCCAAAGGCCTAAAAAGAGGACAGAGGAAAAAGTCAAAAATCTGAGAGGATGACTGAGACCACATGAATGCCTACGGGGAATGCTCAGCTACAGAGGCAGCACTGGACAGATGAAAAGTTTAGTGCGTCTGGGACTCAAGGACTTAAGTCCCAGGGTAGGGGAGAGACCTGGCTGGCTCAGAGAGGGCTTGGTTGCCTGGGGCGCCAAGGCGGAGGTCCCCCAGCTGTCAACCCCTCCCCGGTGTGGCCAGGTCAGAAGCCAGCGCCTTGCTGCAGCCAGCCCTAGCGGGCACTGCTAGGAAGACGCAGCTGTCCCGGTGGGCGCCCGGGTCCCAGGTGTGCCTGGGACGGTAGCAGAGCGGTTCCGCCCAGGCCTGGGAAGCTAGGCGCAGGCCTGGCGGGGCATCGTCTCTGCCGCGGGTGCGGGGCAGGCTCCCAGGCCCCGGGGCACCCGGGCCCGCCCGGGGAACGAGCTGGAGGCCGCCGGTGCGCGCCAGGATCGGGGTCCGGACGCCAGGCTGCGGGCCGGCTGAGGATGCAGGCGCGGGGAGCGGCGCGGCGGGCCCCAGCACCCGCAGGGAGCGGTGCGGAGCGCGGGTGAGCTGGCAGCTGCTGGGGAGAGGCCGGAGGGTCGCGGGCGAGGCCCACCTGCAGCCCCGGCTCTGGGAGAGAAGCGGCGGCGGCGACGGCGGCTGGGAGCAGCGAGGCGTCACAACCGGCTACAGCCGCGCACCGGAAACCTTGGGCTCCCGAGTCGGGCCAGGGGGCGCCCGGGAGCAGCCGGGACACCTTGGCCTGAGGCTCGGGGGCGGGCTCCAGGACCCGGGCCACACCCAGAGAAGGGGACCGCTGCAGGCCATCATCTGCTTGCCACCCAACTGCCTGGGCCGGAGAAAGCTGGGCCGGGGGGGGCTCTAGCACCGGGGTAGAAAGCCCAGCCGCGGTGCTCTGTTCTGCTTTTTCATTGGGAGCAGAAGTTGTCGCCCTAGATTTCAGTTAAGGAGACTGATTTAAGGGTGTCACACACATTTTTTACCTGTCCGTGAACTGACCAATGGTTTCGTTATTTTACAATTTTATTTGTATTCTAATTGCTTATTTATATGATCATGCTGATTTGAATGTCCATCTCCCATTCTTTTCCACTCCTGGCACCTTGCAGTTCCAGTATGCCTTCTGCAGCATGGCAGAGGTGACCACTGAAAACCGGTTCAAGGGCTGACAAGATGGCTCAGCCAATACAAGAGCCTTGTAGCGCATGCATGACGACTTAGCTGGATCCCAGAAACCCAGGGTGAAAGAAGAGAACTCCCGAGAGTTGTCCTATGACCTCCACACACCTGCTCTGGCCCGTTGCACATCCACGCTCACAACCCACCCACACAATAATAAAAGGTGTTTAATTAAAAAAAATACTAATTGAACTTGTACTATTTAGTAAAGGGCTCTAGCACCGGGGTAGAAAGCCCAGCCGCGGTGCTCTGTTCTGCTTTTTCATTGGGAGCAGAAGTTGTCGCCCTAGATTTCAGTTAAGGAGACTGATTTAAGGGTGTCACACACATTTTTTACCTGTCCGTGAACTGACCAATGGTTTCGTTATTTTACAATTTTATTTGTATTCTAATTGCTTATTTATATGATCATGCTGATTTGAATGTCCATCTCCCATTCTTTTCCACTCCTGGCACCTTGCAGTTCCAGTATGCCTTCTGCAGCATGGCAGAGGTGACCACTGAAAACCGGTTCAAGGGCTGACAAGATGGCTCAGCCAATACAAGAGCCTTGTAGCGCATGCATGACGACTTAGCTGGATCCCAGAAACCCAGGGTGAAAGAAGAGAACTCCCGAGAGTTGTCCTATGACCTCCACACACCTGCTCTGGCCCGTTGCACATCCACGCTCACAACCCACCCACACAATAATAAAAGGTGTTTAATTAAAAAAAATACTAATTGAACTTGTACTATTTAGTAAAGGTTGTGTTAAAATAAACATGCTCAGATAGTCTTTAGTATAAACCAATGTGATCGAAGGGAGTCTTGTTAAAAAATACTTCATGTTTTGTCCTTTGTCAGTAAATTTTAAGAGGTAGTTAGAAGTGTTACAGGTGCAAGAGAAATGCAAGTAAAGGTCAGCCTGGGCTACAGGTGGAGTTTAAGCCTCTGGGGAAGATGAGTGCTTGCCTAGCATATACAAGGCACTGGGTTCAACCCCGCCCCCCCCAAGTTGCACTAGTAACTTGCTGCATTAAGAATATAATGGGGTCTGGAGAGCTGGTGCAGCTTTTAAAAGCTCAGGCTCATAACCAGAAAGAATATAATCTGGGCCCAGCATGGTGGTATTTGTCTTTAATCACAGCACTCAAGAAGCAGAGGCAGGTGTACCTCTGTGAGAATGAAGCCAGTCAGCTGGAGCTCTAGGGAGACTCTTAAAAAAAAACAACCTGGGATGTGTTTTCCAAATACCAGCAAAATCATGCATAGTATTTACATGTGTCAAATTACACTAAAACATGATACAGTGTTAGTTCATGTATTTCTATAGTCAAATGCTCTCCCCCTGAGCTATGTCCCCACCTAGTTCATGTATTTCTATAGAAAAGACTGCCTCTAAGAGGAACTTTATGGCTCTATGGTGTCATATTTATTATGTATTATCATCCACTACTACTACTAATAAGCATGGTGATTTTATTTTGATTTGGTAATGGTAATTGAATCCAGGGCTTTGTGTGCTTGCCCATGGAGACAAAGCCCTAACCACAGTAGCGCTTTTAGAAAATACTTTTTCATCCTGTTTGCCATCATCCTATTTTTGTGTTCAGGAAATGTAGCTTTCCTGATAATACAAAATAAATTACTGTAGTCACTTTAAATAAATTTTCAATGAGCTGGTTTTGAGCCACAATGATATACAATTTAAAACAAACAGGATAGCTGAAAAGGTTTGTAAAGGTAGATTAGTCTGACTGCATTGCAAAGATGCATAAATAGTTAAAATGATAGAACACAGAACATCTACATGGTGCTGTTTTAAATATCTACATATAAAGCAGTCATTGATATTTATAGGAAACAATATGAGATTTTTAAAATGAGATTGGGGTATACATTACTGTAAAACCATTCTCAAATTCATATACTTATATATGAAACTGTTGAAATTTAACTCAAGTTGACAGTAATACAAACTTAAATGCCTACCAATAGGAATTTATAAGCTGTGGTGTTAACTTTCACTTACTGTAACAAATATCTGAGATAATCGACTTGTAATGTTTGTTTTAGCTCAGTTTCTAAAGTGTCAGTTTATGGGCCACCAAGAAGCCTCAGTGGATGCTTGCAAGCCAAGCCTGACAACATGAATTTGATCCCTGGAACCCACTTGGTGGAAGGAGAGAAAGAATTCCGACAAGTTGTCCTCTCATGTCCACATGTGCTGTGCACACAACACACACACAATTTTTTAAATTTATTTTTATTTTATGAGTGTTATGCCTGCATGTACATAAGTGCACCTGTGTTGTGCAATGCCTGTGGCAGCCAGAAGAGGACGTTGGCTCCCCTACAATTGGAGTGAGTTTTAACATTTGGATGCTGGGAATCAAATCTGTGTCCTCTGAAAGAGCAGCCACTGCTCTTAACCACTGAGCCATATCTCTAACTCCAATAAATGTAATTTTTAAAAATATCTGTTCATGACTAGTTGGCCCCATTGCTTTGGGGTCTGTGGTAGGGCAGCACATGGTGAACAAGTGATGGAGTGAACCTCATGGTGAAAGAAATGAAAAAGGAAGAGTGTCTTACTATCCTCTCAAGGACATGTCCCAGTGACTTGAAACTTCCCATAGTCCTGTGTAGGAATGGCTTATAAAATGAACAAAATACTGAACCATGGGCTCTTGTGACCTCAGTACTTGACGGTGATTCCTTCAAACCCCAATTCTCTGCTCTACTCAAGATAATAAATGAATGTGGGTATGCTCGAGAATTAACATATCAAAGCAGTGAAAGGCAGTACCATGCATCTTCATTGAATACAATGAAGACTGGGAAGAACACTTGATGTTGTGTGTATATTTTAGAATTAGGGATGAAAGGGCAAGATTGTTTGATAAGGGTGGATCCAAGCTTGTAGTTCCCCAATTGAAGCTGGAGAAATGGTTTTAAATAAAATTATGAATGAGGCCTAGCTAAATGGCAGTTCCAAGAGACATTTCGGGGAAGAGTTCAGACCCACTCTTCTACCTACAGTTAAGAGCCAGACAGTTTTATTCAAGTATGAATTGTAGTATAGCATGGTAATGTTGTAGTCCCCTATCTTAAGTCTCTACCATCTCTCTACCACCACCCAAGGCAGAAGACCAGGGCTTTAGCACACAGTTCTTTGGAGAACATTCCAGATCCAAATAATCACATATGGTATCTACACAATCTAGAACCATGTAGGTACAAGGAAGAACCAAGAAACATTTCTATAATGTAGCATTACTGAGTAGAAAGAATGCATATTGTGCTATCATTTCTCCAAGGGGGAGTACATACATGTACTTACTAGTGTCTTTTTTTTTTTTTTGAACAGATATAAGAATACTTAAAATGCTTACTGAGAGAGAGGAAGGAATATGGATATAGAGGACAAAAATACAAAAAGAAAGTTTTTATTGAGGACTGACTTTGGAACTATACAAATATAAACCAAAGTTTAAACATTTGTAAAGTAATTCCTGAACACTGAAATGAATCTAAATGCCATCTAGATGAAGATCATACAAAGGAATGACCGCAAGCAACTTTTTATTTATTTTATATGGATGAGTTTTGCTGGCATGTATGTATGCATACCATGTGCATGAAATGACTATGGAGGCTAGAAGAGGGTGTTGGATCCCCTGGAACTGGAGTTACAGACAGTTGCTAGCTGCCATGTGGGTGTTGGGAACCAAACCTGGGTTCTCTGAAAGAGTATCCAGTGCTCTTAACCACTGAGTGACCCCCCCACACACACACCTCAAGCAACTTTGAAACAGTTTCTATATCCTTATTATGAGGTACTTTCTTCAGGACTAGAAGAATTACAAAAACCTGTATCCTATTTTCAGCAACTGTGGGTCAGTGTGATAAACCAAACTGAAGTACTTAAGATGGTTATCTTTGAAGCTGAGAAATGGAAGAAAGCTTAAGGACACATACCCTTCAGTTCTATACTATACTATACAGCAGTATAGTTTGTCTATGAAAACAAATCTCTCCTTTATATCCCTTCACAAAGGTCTCTATACAAAGAATCATATCTCTGAATTAGGTTAAAAATTAAATACATTATCAGTTTTAAAAATCTTTATTCAGCCAGGTGTGGTGGCGCATGCCTTTAATCCCAGCACTCGGGAGGCAGAGGCAGGCAGGTCTCTGTGAGTTCAAGGCCAGCCTGGTCTACATAAGGAGTTCCAGGCCAGCTGGGGCTACTGGGAGACCCTGTCTCAAAAAAGACCAAAAAAAAAAAAATCTTTATTCAAATCAGATCCATGCTTATTTACATTAGCTTTTTAAAATTTTTTATTGAATTTTTTTGTATTTCATACAAAACATATTAATCATCTTTATAGCCCCTCTCCCCAACTGCACCCTCTCATAGCAACCCCCCCCCCGATTTCATGCCTTCTGATATTTATGTTAAGGCCATCAAGTCAACTTAGTGTACCCAGACATCCCTCAGTGCAAGTTCATCATCTAATCAACCTATCTAGAGTCACTCCCTTAAAGAACTCTCCCTCACCCAGCAGTAATCAGCTGCCAATAGATTTTTTGGACAAGATTGGGGACCTGATGATCATTTCCCTAGTTCTATGCTGGGTTTTTGACTGCTTGAGTTTGCAAGGGTCTTGTGCATGCTGACACCATTGCCGTAGATTCATATGAACAAGGTCCCAGGCACCTGTAAGACTGTTTCCATATGGTCATGCACCACCTTCCCTGGCTCTTACAATCTTTCTGCCCCCTTTTCTGCAATGAGCCCTGGGTGGTGGAGTTTAATATAGGAGATGAAATCATAAAATTTGCAGGTAAATGGATGGAACTAGAAACTGTTATACTAAGTGAAGTTACACACTCAGCATAACAACATGACATGTTCTCCCTCATTTCTGGATCTTAGCACTAAATCCTTAATATACAAGTATGCCAGTCACCACTCATCAAACAGAGACTATTACAGAGTTCCATAACTGGTCACACACAGAGAGTGTCTGTGAAATGACCAACCCTAAGTGACACATCTACAATGGAACCTCTGTACCTAAGGCTCACAGAACATAATGGACCAAGGGATAGAGAGAATACTAATGCATGTCTCAACTCTCATTCACAAAGGTCCCTCATGTAATAGAAAGCAATGAACACAAAAGTCCACAAATAGCCAAAGTGAAGAGAATAGGCCTGTAGAGTGTAGGTCCTTGGACAGGACTCCTATGTTATCTTTCTTCTGGAATTAATACCAATCTGTAGTTTGTCATACTTTTTTCTTTTTTCTTTTTTTGTCTTTTTGAGACAGGGTCTCCTTGTAGCCCCAGCTGTCCTGGAACTCACTATGTAGACCAGGCTGGCCTTGAATTCACAAAGATCCGCCTGCCTCTGCCTCCCGAGTGCTAGGATTAAAGGCGTGCACCACCACGCCTGGCTTAAGTCATACTTTTAGCCCTTTACAAATTATGTGGTTAGATTCTTGCAGTTTATAACTGACCTATAAGGAAAAATATAACAGCTTTGTATGAAAATGAGAAATTAAGCACTAGAACATACATGTACATAATACTAAACAGAAAGAAAAATAAAGCATTTACAGTCATTCCTCTTTAATGGGAGGGGGGCTACTGTCTAAATTCTACAAATCATATGCTTTTAAATAAGCATTCAAATAAAACTTTCAGTTACTGAAATGGCAACTTGAGGGATGAGAAAAAAATTTCCTGAACATTCTTTTCATTTATTTAACTGCAAAAACTCATGTTACTCTAAGTCAGAAATCGTCCATATTTAGAGTATTTTTCAGTTACAACACAGATGTATTGGGTATATTCTGCATGCTAAACTCTGTACCAGTAGAAGTTCTCAGAAAAGCAGCAAAGTAGCAGCAGTTTCAATTAAGCCTCCAGGAAGGTGGAAGGGCACCTATCTATGGTCTGTGCTCAACTGCCTAGACATCGCCAAACGCTTGCACTTTTTTACTTTTACTTTTTAAATATCCTTGCAATTACTGTTTGTAGTATCTTTGTTTTCTTTGAATGAAAAATATCTCATTGCAAGCTATTTTACACATTAGAATGTAATATTTTATTAGCATACGGATAGAGAAGTTTTCATGATAAACAGCAAATAAATTTAGTGAGATAGCAATCAATATTTAATAGGTATTCTGTCACTGGAGTATTTTTCATTTTTCCTTAAAATTTGTTTATTTTCAAGAAATTCAGTGCCCTTTATCAACTTACAAATATACTGAAAGATGTAACTGTATACTAGCCAAAGTAAGATCAGTGTGAATATCCACTATTAATTTGTAGATGAAGATCAGTGTGAATATCCACTATTAATTTGTAGATGAAGCATAACAGAGATATTGTATTACTCAGGGTTCTCCAAAGAAACAGAGCCGGTAGAATAAATATATATGTATAGAGATTTATCAGCTTAGCTCACAGGATAGAGTCCGAGTAGTCCAACAATGGCTGTACCACACTGGAGAGGCTGAGAATCCATAGTCGTTCAGTTCACAAGGCTGGATGTCTCAGTAGTCCCAATCTGGCACTGCAGGTCTGACAAATTCCAAAAAATCAGCTAGTCTCAGTCTACAGCAGCAAGATGAACTCACCAGCAAGAGAGAAGGCAAGCAGCAAGAAGCCTGGTGTTCTCCTCTGCCTTAGCCTTTTATACAGACTGTCATCAGAAGGTAACACCCACATTTAGAGTGTGTCTTCCAGCTTCAGATGATCCAATCAAGAAGATCTCTTTCATTTCAGTTAATCCAAGATCCAGTAAAGTTGAAACCCAGGATTAGCCATCACAGATACAGAGTCAGAGACTTAAATAGCTGCTGTCATTTTTTAATTAAGTTGAAAACACCTTAAGATTTATATGAACTGATTTTTATTAATGTTAATGAGGACTAAAATATTTAATATTGTAAAATTGAGTTTAATATAGGAAAATTTCAGATTTTCTGCAACATTTTTTAAACTAATGCTTGTTTAAAAAATATTTCACAATTCCTAAATTATTTGTTTCAAAACACTTGCCCAGAATTTTGAAATTTACGTTTTCCTGTCTTTTCTAACTCTGTACATTTTTATTGCACTCAGTCTTGTTATCCTGCCCCTGAATATTAAAAAGAACATTTTTTAAAGCTGGCAAAAAGCTATCATACAGCTTCCTATTACTAAAATATAAGAAATTAATTCTATGAATGTGACTTTCACTGAAAGATTATTTATTAATGCTACAAATCAGAGCTCCAGGGACAGAAATACTATCTGGAATACAAAAAGAACAAAAACAAGGTTACTTGAGTTACCATTAAAAGCTCTGCAAATTCTTCAAGATGGCTTACTTGTAGCTGTATTTTTTTTTTTCTTAATTTTTATTCATTCTCCATCTATATTTAAGACAGGGTCTCCCTGCTGTCTCTACTGGCCTAAAATTCACTATGTAGACCAGGCTGGCCTCAAACTCAGAGAGATTCACCTGTTTCTGCCTCTGCATCCCAAGTGCTAGGATTAAAGACAAACACTACCACGTCGGGTTGTAGCTGTACTGTTTTAAAATGTAACTAAAGTTTAAGGTTTTTATTTGGAAGTACAATACTCCTACCTTATCGATGGGAGGGAAAGGGATATGCTGCGAGACCCTCCTTGGATGCCTGAGACATTGTGAGCATCAACCTCCAAAAGCATGTTCAATAATGTTCACCATTCCACTTAACAGAAACACTTCATGGTGAATCTTTGACCTTCACTTTGGGGCCATTAAGTACAACAGGTTAGTTGAACACAAGCACTAACTACTGTAACAGTAGATGTGACAGCTGAGATAGCTCAGTGATGGACAGGGAGTGTGAATGTGCTGGACAAATGGATGCCTAAGGCCCGTACAGAATGAAGCCGAACAGCAAGATTCCATCAGGCTATTTCAACAGCATACACCTCAACACTTACAAACTCTTTATTTCTGGAATTTCCATACATATTTCAATTGTTTTTTACTGTAACTAACTAGAACCACAAAAAAAGCAAAACCATACAGGGAGGGACTAATGTAAAGGCAGGTAAGTAACCGTCAATAATAAAATATCAAAATATTTACCAGGTCTAAAACACAACCTGGCTAATTTAAACAGAGTAACACTGGGAAGAGGGCGCAGTGACACTCTAGAGTGACCCATGCCACTTTTGTTATTGTTTAAGCATCCAGAAAAAAATGTCAAACTACACAAAATTTTAAAATCCCCAATTTAAATATACTCCTATAATTTTTGTTTTGCTATGGATATTCTATATCAAAACATTCATTTTTAGTGCCAAAATAAGACTATGAAATTAAATAAGTAGTCTTTAAAGAGTAAACTGAACAATTCTCAAAGAGAAAATTTCGTTACTTTATTACATTTGTTTTATAGGGTCAAAAACACTTCTTCAAAATCATTTGTTACTAAAGCTATCACAACATACTTACTATAAGCAAAAATTTCCATTATCCAATTATGCCTAGATAATTTGGAATATTTATAGCTTTCTTTGGATAAGTACTAAAAGGTACCAAAATCTGTTCATACTTCATTGTGGAAGCTGGAAAGAATAAATTTTCAAGTCAAAAAATATTTAAGTTTAAATTATTCTATAAATTTCAGACAGTATCAGTATGACTTCTCACAGGTTTAATAATCTTTTTACTTGAACATTTAAAACATTTAAGAGATATGTTAAAGATTTAAATGTGAACGATTTCCAGGTTTCAATGTTAATATTACTCTGTAACTCTTCTCAATATATACAAACACATAAATTATAGATACAATTAATTATATATCTACAATAATACAGGACCACCAATTTCCTTTCCTAGCTATATTGATACATGGATGAAGTATTAAATTTCTGTGCTATTCAATGCAAACAAAATTGGATGTTTTAAAAAATAACTTTGTAAAGAATAGTTTCAAAAATAAAGTTCAAATATTGCATGAAATAATTTAACTGCAAATATTACTACATACTATAAAAGATGTGTTTAAAAAATTTTTTACACTTTACAGTAAATCCCATTTTCTAATTCTATAAAAGAATTTATTTGATGTCTGAATTTATATATTAAGTGTCGTTACATTCACTGTGACAGGAATTCAACTTTCACAAGTTAACTGAGCCTTTGTCTTAAAAGTTCATCGATCTGAGTTTTATACATATTTTTGACATCTTCAAGATCCAATCGAAGTTCCTCTGCTTCCTCAGCTTTTTCTCCATACATCTGCAGAATAGTGTTGTATCTTTGATCCAAGTCCTAAAAAAGATTGGTTTATAATTTTTTAAATGACCATATAAACATCTTCAGTTGTACAAATAAGACATTAGTAAGCATATCATAGGTTGGATAAAAATACAAACTCATCTCTTTTAAAAATGAATCTGGTATCTCATTCTATGTTGGAATACAGAACAAAAAAGAGAAACTCCTTTTAAAAGCTAAATGGAAGATTTAAAAGCTGAGGTAATGCTTAGTGGATAAGAATGCTTGCTGAGCAAGCATGAGGGTCTTACCTCTAACCCCAGCACTCACATAAAGAGCCAGGTGACCTTGAAACCCCAGTGCTGTGGGCACAGTGAGATGGGGTAGAGTGGGAAAGGGTAAAGGAGGAGGCTCAAGTTGCTGGCCAGCCAGCCTAGCCTAAGAACAAACAGTATGCTCCAGGCTCAGCAAGAGACCCTAACTTAAGAGTTATAAGGGGGAGTGATAGAGCAGGACTTACTCCTCCAGTCTCCACATATGCACTCAAGCAAGTACCCACATACGCACATGCATGCACATATACTACACGTATATACCACATACACGTGCATACAAGATGGCTATATTAACTATATCTCTTCACTAAATCTACAATTCTTTCCATAGATGACTTAACTAGTCTCCTTACCATTAAATTTAAGCCTACTTGGTAAGATTTTGTCTACAAGGACATGCAACATACAATGCTTGCTACAAGTAAGCCTAGGCCCAATACAACCTAGTTCTTTCCGTACATTAGGACTAAAGACTTTGTGAAAACACTTATTGTACTAACATAAGCAATATAGATTCCTCTTTCATGTTCCTTTACCCAAATATTAATGTTCTTTAATTCACAAAGAAATTAACAAATCATACATATACATTTTCTATAAACTAAAAATGTGAGATTTAATATAAATGGACTGAAATAGTTCAGACTTATACTTAAGTGAAGACTACTTACTCGTAGCTGAATTCGAAGCTTGGGTATTTCTTTCACTTTCTCCTCAAGTTCATCATTTTGATTTGTTAATTTAACTAGCTCTTCTGACATTATTGATCGAGTTTTTTCTAGATTGCAAATTTCTAGCTGAGAAACATTATGAAAAAAAGTTTAAATAAAAACATATCTTATTAAATATTCTTACTAACATGAGTTGGGAGGCAGAGGCAGATAGATCTCTGAGTTTGAGGCTAGCCTGCTAAACATACTGAATTCCAGACTAGCCAGTGCTACATAGTGAGACCCTAAAAGAACAAAGAAACAAAGAACCCATACACACAATGGGCTCCAAATTTCATCAGAAATGTACTATTTATAGAGTTTGCTATGCAAGAGAGCTAAGCAACTACAGAAAATTCAATGATTTGTCTGAAGAATGCAACCATAAGCTTTTCTCCAGTCTAGGGAAACAACATATGTTTCTGTTAACCTAGCACAAGTACTGGGCTATACGAAGCAATCTGTATTAAGACAATTATATGTTTGTTTGTTCCTTTACCCCCAATTCAAGTTTGTTCGTTCATTTGTTCTTTCCTTCCTTTCTTCCCCCCCGCCCCTACTCCAACCTCTTTCCCTGGCCTAACCTGGCCTAGAACTCACTATATAGACCATCCTGACCTGTAACTCACAGAGATCCACCTGCCTCTGCCTCCCAACTCTTGGAATTCAATGTGTGTGCCCATCACACCCACCCAGCAAATTCAAGATCTTCATCAAATGACTAATATTTCATATAACTACAACTAAAAGTATATAATGGGAATAAGAAGTATTCTTTTGGGGTGTATAAAGTAACACTGAAAACATGAAAAACGTTTTAATATTTCTCATCGCATAAAGTTTTAAAAACTATAAGATGTTCCCTCCCTATTCGAGTTGATTCCTTCTACATGATAAATCTTTCACTTTCTTCATTCCTTACAGTGGAAGTTAGAGCAACTTATCCTGTGGCATATATGGGAAAAATAAAATGAGCATGCTTGTTTAGCACTTCCTCTTCCTTGCTGAGAAAGCGCCACCAGAAAGGAGGTGGCTATCTCTGCTCTTAGATGCTCTTAAGTCCTCCTGGGGCAGCCCACAGTACCTGGGAAGGCCTGATCCGGTCCAGCATTTCCAGGGACAAAGCAGATCAATCTGCCTAATTCATTTGGCTCTAGCTTTAATTACAGTATACGTGACACACTTTGGGTTTTACATTTCACCAATTCAGCTTGTTTTTCAATGTGCTCAGAATTCAGGTGGAAATGAAGAGTCCTATTCATTGGGCCCCAAGATTTCACTGGCTTCTATAGCACACTTAATTTTTTCTAATACCTGTAAATGACTAATTTCTCCTTCCCTCAGCTTAAGTTGAGACTGTAGATTTTCAATAATGCTCGATCCTGCTCCCATCCTTACAGCATCATAAAGATTGTTTCCACTGGCTGATGCAGACATTGGTCCAAATGGATGTTCATGAGACTCATCCTATTTTAGTTCAAAGAATGTACATACAATTATGCAGTTATATACTACGTTCCAATATCAGGTTCAACACAAAATGATCTTGCTAATTCTTGCTCTGAAATGTCTATGAGTTTCTCAAAAGCAGAAAATTGTCTATACTGCTTCACTTCAATTAACACCATATTCAGATGAATTGTCTGTGGAATGGCAAGCCAATCTGCAAATGCATGTTCTCCTTACCAGTATTCAATTTATGAACTAAACACATGGGGTTGAGGAGATGGCTTAGAAGTTAAGAGTACTTGCTGCTCTTACAGAGGACCTGAGTTCAGTTCCCAGCACCCTCAGCAGGCAGCTCACAACAGTCTGTAACTCCAGTTTCAAAGTATCCGATGTCTTCTTCTGGCCTCCACAGTCACTGCATGCATGCACACAGTATACATGCATGCAGGTCAACACTCATATACATATATACACAAAAACAATACCTGAGACAGGAAAGATGTCTGTAGCCCTGCCATATCAACTCCACTTATTGAACTTGAGCGTGACATGGTGGGAGTACTAGAAACAGAAAATGGCTTGCGCTCCTTAGGGAGGAAAAAAAAATTTCCTTAAGTGAAAAATAGAAGCAAGAAAATTTTCTAGACTTAATGAAAACAAAGGCACTCTAATTTCTCCATGAAATGTTACAGATATGATTTCCTGAAGGTAGAAGTCTAAGAAGTCTAAAAATTATTTAAAACTAAAAGTTGGGCTGGTGAGATGGTTCTGAAGGCAAAGGTGCTTGCTGCCAAGTCTGATGACTTGAGTTCAATCCCCAGGACTCACGTGGTAAAAGGAAAGAAATGACTCTTGCAAGCTGCCCTTTGACCTCTACATACACACACGTGTACACACACATAACACAAAATAAATATCTGTTTAATTTTTAATAAAAATTAAAACCTACACTGATTCATTTTTATTACAAAACAATTTGTTGGGTCTACCTGTTTTTAATGGGTGGTTGAAATGCTTCGGTGGAAATGGCTGCAAAAGCTTACTCCATACACTACCAATTATTCTCACAACTGCTAAAATTTCTGACTTACCCATTTTATTCTTAGTATAATTTAAAAAAATGATCCAAATAAATTCAAAAGGTCATTTCTGTTTTTATATGCTTATTTTAGTGTATTATGCTAACTGAGTATGCTACAATCCTTTAGGTAGGGGAAATACACTTTGTAGAAACTTCATTTAGGAGGCGTGGAGACGGTATAGTGGATGAAGCTTGAGGACTGGAGCTCAGATCCCCAAATTCCTGTAAAAGGTCAGGCAAGGGTGGTGACTCCCTGTAATTCCAGCCCTTAGGAGGCAGAAATGGGCTCCCAGGGGCAAGTAAGCTAGCTACCTTAGCCAGAATCAGCTCATCCAGGTTCAGTAAGAGACTAGTTTCAATAAGAATAAATCTTCTTCAAGGAAGATACCCAGCACTAACTTTGGGCCTTCACATACATGCTCACATGTGTGTCCACACAAACACAAACACATATGCACACATACATATACACACAGGAAAAAAAAATCAAACAAAACCTTATTTTTATTAACCAGAGAGAACAGGCCGGTTCTATTCCCAAGGTACCTACCCATTGGCCAATTATTGTATTAGTTCCAATGAGATGTCACAAATTCATTTTTTGAAAGTGCAAGAGATTCTAAAATTCAAAACCAATCATGGATCTCCTGGAATGCACTCAAACTACTTCAGATCCATTATGAAGGAACACAATGATAATGCCACTAGAATTCATTAGTATAGTGATTTTAGACGACACAGATACTTCTAAGTTAGCATACTACAATTACAGTAACAATCAATGATCAATCCCAGCTTAGTTATACCTAAATCAAATAAAAACCAACACAATTCAGTACCTTTTCTTTTATTGCTTCTTGAGTGAAAATGGCTTTCTTCCTTTCTTGTTCAATTTTCATTTTTTCCATTTCTAACTGACTGCTCAACAGTATCTAGTGGATAGAGACGTTAGATAATTTCTGTGATACTAACCCATGGCATCATCATGATTAATTGCAAAGTTAAGAGCATGAAGTAAAAACTTCTGTTTCACTGGCAAAGACCAAGTTCCAAAAGCAGCGCATCACCCACTTCATCTCACCAGTTCGCTGCCATCCCCATCCATTCTTTAAATAAGCCCTGAGAAGGGAGCGAACACTAACAGAAATACCTTTTCTTTCCTTGTCTCTTCAAGTGTTCTTACATATTCATCTTTTAGGTTTTCTAATTCAACCTGGTACCTAGTAAACCAGAGGGAATTAAACAAAACAAAAAAGATGATAGTACAGACTATTAAAAACTCACTTCTTCTTAACTCCAGTCACATATTTAGTAGTCATTTTATTACCAGCTCAACATCAGTGATTTTCCAATGGATTATTCCAGATCACTTGTATTCCACTCAGCAGCGAAAAGGGCCACTTTTTTTTTTTAAACATTTTATTTACTGGTGCTCTGAGATTTTATTTAAAATGACATGTTTAAGCAGTAATTTTGAGTATCACCATTCCAAATCTGGCAAAAGCAGGGGTTCTGTGAAATGTTTACAAAAATTCACATATTTTATCTTTTTTTTTTGGTGGGGGGAGGTCTCTTTGTGACAGGGTCTCCCTGTAGCCCCAGCTGGCCTGGAACTCACTATGTAGACCAGGCTGGTTTTGAACTCACAGAGATCCACCTGTCTCTGCCTCTGGGGTGCTGGGATTAAAGGCATGCACCACCACGCCCAGCTTCATAAATCATTTTTACTTATCTATTTTTCCTAAAAATAAAATTTCCTTCAAAAGCCAAAGGCAAAAACATACTAGTTATAACCTTAATATAATTTCAAAGAGATGATTTTATAGCCCGTGGTTTCCAAAGAACCCAAATACTCAAATTTAGAACAACTAAATGCTGCTATAAAAATAACTCAGATGGGTAGTCTCTACCACACTTCCTTTCCTTCTCTCCTTTCGTCTCTCTCTTTCCTTTTTTCTTTCTCTCTGTTTTGTGGTATTAGACTCCTTTAAAGAACCATATTAAAGGCACAAATACTCTCCTTGGAACAATACACATACATACAAAAATCACCTAACTTCAAACCCTTTAGAAGTCCAATGGATTCCAGCGCTACCTTGATGTCTGTACTAATGGCTTGGACTTTAAATACCACAAAGAATTCACTTTTAGTTCTCAAAGCAGTAAAGATAAAAGCCAACAAATACACTTTTTAAAGTGCTTTAAAATGTCATGGAAGTACTCAGTATACCATATAAAAATTGACTCACCGATTGTTTTCATCCTCTAGTTTTGTTAACTTATTTTTCTCTGACTCTAGCTGGGCCTGAAGTCTACTATTTTCCTGTCGTAAGAGAGCATTCTGGGACTCCACTGAAGACATTTGGGTTTTGTTGGCAAGGAGTTCTTCTGTAGCTGCACGCTCTCTTTCAACTGCCGCTGCCAATGAAGTCTGAGATTCACCTGATTTTAGAATGGGAAGAAAAATCACACATATATAAGTCAAGGAGAAATCAGGATTCCACGTTGATTCTGACTTCATATTTCTAATGACTCAGATTTCTAATAACTAAAAAAAAAGTTCCTAATAACTGATTACTACTTATTGCCCAAAGAAAGACTACCAAACTTCTATAGGTGAAGAGAAAAAAAATCTCAACATAAATATCACACATAAAATTAACTCAAAATGGTTCATAGACATCAAAGATAATCTTCAAAATATAGGACTAGGCAAAGAATACTTAGGGTTGACATCAAAAACATGAACTACAGAAAGAAAAAAATATATCAGTAAATTGGATTCCTTCAAATCTTTAAATACTTGTTCCATGTGAAGAGGATGAAAAGACAAGCTTCGGGGCTAGGGATAGAGCTTAGTTGACTGTGTACTTGCATAGAACACAGGAGGCCAGGAGTGTAACCCCAGCACTGCATAAACTCAAGCCCATGCCTATCATCCCAGGACTTGGAGTCAGGAGATCAGAGAGTTCAGGGTCATCCTTGGTTACACAGTTTGAGGCCAGCCAGGGTCACATGAGACCCTTTCTAAAACAACTGAAAAAGACAACTGGGAAAGAAACCAAATGCAAGCCATGCATACAGGACTAGTACAACTCTCAAAACTCAAAAGTGAAAATACAAAAAACAATCTACTCATAAAATAGGCAAAAACCATGAATAGACAGTCACCCTAAAGGGTGTAAAAATGGAAAATGGACACATGAAATGATGTCCATTATCAGTTATCATTAAGGAAATGTGAATTAAAATTACAATGAGATGTAAGTATATACCTGTCTGAATGACTAAAAGAAAAAACAGAGATTAAAAATGCTAGCAAGGATGGGAATTAACTGGATTACTCTCACATATCAACACTGTTGAAGCAGTTTAGCACTTCCTCTAAAAACCAACCATGAACTTCCACTTGGCCAAGCAATTGCGTACCTAGGCCTTTAGCCATAAACATGAAAATTTGTGTCAACACTAAATCTTGTACATAAATGTTCCCTGCTGCATTATCTATAATAGTCAAAACTTGGGAACAACCCAGATGCCCTTCTCTCAAGCAAATGGTTAAAAACACGATGGTACACATTCCAGAGATTAGCACTTGACAACAAGACTAGAGTATTGAAACACCAATGTTTATGAACCTTCAGAAAATAATGATGAGTGAACAAGGCAATTTCAAAATGTCACTGTTCAATTCCATTAATTGAACATTATTTAAATGACAAAATTCTAGAAATGAAGGACAGACTAGTGATTTCCAGCGATGTGGGACAGGGAAGGAAGGGTTTGAGAGGTCTCTGTTTTTAAGAGCAAAAGGAATGAGGCTTGTGGTGCTGGGACTGTACAAAATGTTGAATACAGGGGTTGGAGAGATGGCTCAGTGGTTAAGAACACTGGTTGTTCTTGCAGAAGACCCAGGTTCAAATCCCAGAACCCACATGGCAGCTGACAACTGTAGGGATGAGGTACAGTTCCAGATAATGGTAGAATTCCAAGAGTGCAGGGAAGTCTGCAGAGGATCAAGATGAAATCCTCTAGGAGAGGTACTGTGGAGTTTTAAAACCATGTTTAAGTCTGCTGCCTTACAGATATGCCTCAAGTTGCCTTTCTGTACTCTTAATAAAGAAAAAAAATGTATTATTGCAGTCTGTTTCCCTTTGATCACAAGGAGGTAGTATACGTGTACTGGATCTTTAGAAGCTAGCACACTTGTGAAAAATTCATGTATGCTTTCTGTTTCTTAAAATACTTGTGTGTGATTTGAGAAATAGAGTGACAAAACAGACTTGAATGAGCGTCAGGAAATAGAAACTTGGTGCTCTTTTGTTTTAATTACACCTGCCAGCAAGGTGTGTTGGCATTTCTTAAAAGATTTGATCTGGAAAAAAACTATTCGTCCGCAAAAAATCAAAAACACCACAAAAAACACCTAACTAGACCTTCACATATATTTATTAATTTATAGATACAAATTTTAGGTTTGCTATCTATATAAATTTTTGAGACCACTGTGGTATGAAAAACAGTATTTGAAATTATGGTGATTGGGGAACAAAAGTAGGGCCTGTGCCTACTAGGTAAGTACTCTTCCACTAAGCTCCCCCCACCCTCAAGCCCCTGAAATTGATACCTAAACTGAATGCTTTTTTGACAATAAATAAAATAGCAATAAATAAAAGCTAAAAGTTAGTGCTTTTTGTGATTTTGAAATTGGAGCCTCAGGAATGTAACTGGAATACAGGGAAAGCCATAAGACAGTTAAATGTAAATAGTAAAATGTCATATAAAGGATACTAGGGTGTGAAATGTAACATAGAATATTGCTAGGTCTACTTTGGTGAGGGAAAGTAAGAGAATTAGTACTTTGGCCAAACCTCAGAACCTTAGCCACCACTCCACTGTTTTCATTGAAATTCTGTATTAATAATCAGGTCCCTTGCAGTTTTTCTATTTTGCCCAGATATTAGCATTTTGCATAATAAATACATAATACTACACTCATGTATTGTCATGAGTCTTTGCAGTTTTACTAGTTATATAGGTTCCTGTATACACTGTAATCAATATTTTTTAAAAAATTTTATTTATTTATTTTATTTTATATGATGCATGTATTGCCTGCATGTAGGTAAGTGCACCCATGTCGTGCAAACCTGTGGAGGTCAGAAGAGGCTGTCGGATCCCCCTGGAACTGGAGGTACGGACAGTTGTTAGCTGCCATGTGGGCACTGGGATTCAAACTAGACAATATAGAAAGGGGTCAGATGTTGCAATGAACAAGGGAAAAGAGACAGACCAGTGCAGTCATCTGTAAAAATACAAACAAACTGGGCCTCGGGAGATGACTCAGTCAACAAAGTGCTTGCTGTGCAAGTATGAGGACCTGAGTTGGGAGTTCCAGCATCCACATAAAAACAGGTACAGTAGTATGTACCCCTAATCCCAGACCTAGGGAAGACAAGACAGGAGGATGTGTGGGGCTTGTTGCCCCACCAATCTAGCCAAATCAGTGAGCTCTAGATTCAGTGAGAGACCCTGTCTCAAAAAAATATGTGGCAAAGCAATTGAGAAATGATACCTGACATCAACCTTTGGCCTCCACATGCAAGCACACATATGTGTACATAACCCCCCCATTTGTACATATAAATACACACACACACACACACACACACACACACACACACACACACATACACACATTCACAAACAGAAATAAATGAAATGGCAGGTAATATTTTAGAATCTGACATACTACAAAATGAAAAAAAATTCTTTCAAAGAGTCACAATTAAGGTATTAGATGCAAATATAAAATTCTACATGTTAGACACAAACTGTCACCCCTCTTCTGAAAGCAAGACAGAAAGACTCTTGCATTACAAGTAAAATACTAAAGGAGTTACCAAGTCTATCAGAAAGAGTCTTCTCTAACTTCTCCCATGATGATGTCTGTGACCCTAGAGTTGCTTGCAGATTTTCTATTTGTCGAAGCAATGGTCTTGTTGTTGATGAGACACTCTGACTCAGCTCTTGGTTTCGATTCTCTGCTTCCTGGAGTCTCTGAATCAAGAAATTCTCAAGTTATTACCACTGACAGCAACAGAAAACACTGAAACCATCAATAAACCTAAACCCTATTGAAATTTTGGGAAAAAATTATTTTTCTAAGAGAAATTAATTTGTTTTCTTACTGATTTTTTTCTAAATCCTTCAGGAAGAAGTTACAAAAAGTTTCTAAATTAGTGATTCTTTACACAGCATTTCTAAAATGGCCTTGGGTTATCTGAAGCTAGAACTCAGTAGCTGACTCTTCATCCAAATATTTTTGGATATTTGTAAAAGTAGAACTTACCTTCCCTCATTTTTCCTATGCATATTCACTGCTGTGCTGCTTAGCTTTTGTCCACTTGACACAAACTAGAGTCACTTGGGAAGAAAAAGCCTCAACTGAAAAAGTGCCCATATTACAGTGGCGTATCACATTTTCTTGACTGTTACTTGATATGAGGGCCCAGCCCACTGTGGGCAGTACCATCCTGGGCAGGTGGGCCTAGATTGCATAAGAAAGACAGCTGAGCAAGCCAGGGAGGGCAAGCCAGTAAGTAGCATTCTTCCATGAGTCTGCTTCAGTTTCTGCCTTTAGATTCCTACTCAGGTTCTGCCTCGACATCCCTTGATGATGGACTGTGATGTGGAAATGAAGGCCAAATAAACCCTTTCCTGCCCCCAAGTTGGTTTTGGAGAGTGTTTTATCATAGCAACAGAGAAACAAACTAGAATAATGGTCTAAAACTTAATAGAGTAGTAGTCCACAGAAACTGGACATGTTTTTTAAAAAGAAAAATCAATACTGGACACACAGTATATCACAATTAAAACTACTTTTACTTCCTTTAAAACCAAATTGGAGATTTTTTTCAGCTTATGATCACTTTGTTCACACAAGCTACAAAAATGTAGCAAATGGTAAAGTATAGTAAGTAATCCTTTAAAATCTATGAATATTATTCCAGTGAGTCATCATTTTACTTCTAGAAAGACTCATGCTTTGTGACCTCGGTCTAGGAACACTTTGATGACGATACCTGCTGAAGTTCACTGATCTCGTGGCGGAAGTAATCCTCTTTCCTGGCAGCTGCTTGCTCTGCACGTTGCAGGGCCAGCCTAAGGTCCCCCACCTGCAAGAGAAACAATACACCATCATAAACAATGCCAAAACATTATCCATAACCTCCTGATGACCACATAATTTCTGCTGAGTTTAAATATGTATGATATGTTATTCTAACCAATGAGCTTTTAGAGTATTAGCATATATCACATTCATCAAACAATGCCGAGGTTATAACTATATTTAATACCTACTTACCAGAGTACTCTGTCAGTCAAAGAAAAGCATATAAATATGTGTAAGGTACAGTCCTGCTATTTAATAAAAGAGGCAAGACATGAATCCATAAATGTTTGCCACAAAATAGGATGTGATAAGAACTAGATGAGCATGGGGCTGGAGAGATGGCTCAGCGGTTAAGAACACTGGTGTTCTTACAGAAGAGCCAGGTTTGAACCCCAGCACCCACATGGCAGCTAACAACTATCTGTAACTCCAGTTCAAGGGGATCTGGCAGCCTCTTCTGACCTCCACAGGCATTGCATGACATGGGTGCACTTACCTACATGCAGGCAATACATGCACACACATAAAATAAAAAAAACAACAAAAAAAAAGTAGATGAGCTATAAAAAGGAAAACAACAACAACAAAAAAAAATACTTAAACACAAAACTAGGTGTGGTAACACACATCTATAATCTTAGTAGGAGCATGTGAAGTTTCAGGTCAGCCTAGTCTATATAGCAGAGTTCAGACAGGTCTGTACTAGCTTAGTTTTATGTTAGTTTTTTTCCAAAAAAACTAACATAAAACTAAAAGTGCTAGCAGAGTGTGATGTGTGCCTATAGTCAAAACTACTTGAGAGACGGAGACAAAAGTTTGAGGGCAACCTGGATGACACAGCTAAGACCCTGCCTCAAAACACAAACTAAAGAATCAAGGTGCCATTGTCACATGCAGGCACACACATTATAAACTGCCACAGCTCCTTTGGAAATATTGTGGCATTATATTTAAAGGATCAGCATCTTTATCTGGTCATCCCAGCCTTAAAATTTACTCTACAGAGCTGGGCATGGTGGCACATATCTTTGATCCCAGCACTCAGGAGCTAGAGGCAGGCAGATCTCTGAGAGTTCAAGGTCAGCCTTGTCTACACTGTGAATTCCAGGCCAGCTGGGGCTATAGGGAGACCACATCTCAAAAAGAAAAAAGAAAAAAAAAAGGACCCTATGGAACAAACATAGATGCCTTATAGTATTAGCAAGACTAGCAAAAACAAACAAAACTAGAAATACCTTAAATACTCATCAGTACTGTAGTCTATATTTTCAAATGTTGAAACATGATTATAATAATAAAATTGTAATAAATGTGTAAATAAAAACCTATAATATCAATGGCTATCAATCATAAAAATACCTATATGGGAACAAAATAATACACAAAATCAACAATACTTGTAAAATATAGTGGAGATTTTTGGTCTTTTTTAAAACAGGGTCTCCCACAGGAGCCCAGCTGGCCTAGAACTTGCTATGTAGACCAACATGGCCTGGAACTCAGAGATCGCCTGCCTTTGCTTCCCAAGCGCTGGGATTAAAGGCGTGCGCCACCACACATGGTCAAATATAGTGGTTTTTATGAATGACAGCTCCATACACTATTCCTTATTCTCTCCATTTTACTATTGTGCTAATGTATTAACTTGATATTAATACTTTGCATATTTTTATGACAAAGTGACAGAAATACAGGGACAATGAACCATGGCATGATTTACAGTAACAAAATATTGGAAGCAACCCAAATCCATAAAAAATATAGCTGAAATATTTTACATAATGGAATGGTATAAAACTTCAAAAAGAAATTTTCTGAAAAGCTCTAAGTTCAACTATTATAAGATCATCAGACTACCTAACTAAATAAAGCAAGTGGTAATCTACCTTTCATGTAAGAAGGAAGGAGACACAAACATGTGCATAAGAGAATATGTATGTATACAAGTAACATGTGAATACACAGATACACATCTTTCCTGCGTTCATAATAGAAATACTGAGAAGATAAGCCAAAAACTAGTAAGTGGTCATACTGAGAAAAAGAGATGCAATGGAGAGGGGATTAATTAGAAACAAATGCTGTCTGAATATATTTTGTTACAAAGCTCTCATTTTAGAATCAAGTTAGTAATTCCTATCAAAATGTAAAATTAAACCAAAAGTAAATTGAGGTCACTGGAAAAATTTTCTTCAGCACAGATTCCAGATATCCATACACAGAAGAACTACTGTGGAATGGGATGTAGCTCAGCAGTATGGTGCTTTCCTAGGACACAAAAGGCCCTGGGTTAGATCCCAGCACTGAAAAAACAAACCTATGAATGCTTACAGCAGCATCGTTCATAACAGCCAAAAGGTGTAACTACCTCAAATGTCCAACAATGAATGATTTATAGGACAAAGCCTGCCAAATTTTGTTTTTCTTTCTTCATCAGCTGCAAGGACTGCAAGATGCTACAAATGCATCTAAAATACGTAACGTATGATTGGAGTTAAATACATAATGTTAAATATATATTGTATTCTCTTGAAACTGTACCTACAGATTATGAAGTGCATGGCACTTCTCTGGAAATAGGATGCCTAATTTTCCTTTTCCCCCTTTAGTAGATCTGGGGATTAAATCCAGAGTCCTCCACATATGAAAGGCTAGGACTCTACCACTAGCTACACCCCCAGCAACTATAAAATTATTAAATAGGTCTGAAATTCACACACACACACACACACACACACACACACACACACACACACACAAAATAATATCAAGGAATACTGGCACAGTGTATTAGTCACTTTAACAACAGTTTTAAAATATATACACACACAAGTAAGGTTTGTACAATCTAATACTCTCTATCACAGAAACCTAACACTGCCATCATGTAAGAAAAGATTTAAGTTTCTTAACACATTGTTTTAATTTGCAGAATTATACACAATAAGATAAGGTGATTTCAATCATCCACTGCTTACTTGGATTGCTAACGTTTCCTGCTGCTGACGGGCTTCTCCTTGGGCTTTCTCTAGTGCTGCAGAAAGCTCTTCTTTAGCTTTCATTTCACGACTCAGAGCGGCTTCTTGCACCTCACTATCCTTCGCAGCGTTGGCTTTGTGAAGATCGGTAAGTTCTCTTTAAAAAGTATATTGATAATTTTCATTTATAAATAAAAATATAATTATCTACATACCCAAGTCAATGCCATTTCTACATAACACAGAATCTACAGAATGAGAACAAGTTCACCCGACAATAATAACATTGACTTGCTTTGATTAACAAGTTCACTCACAGACAATTCTACAAATGTTGCCTGTCATCAATATTAGAAAAAGGACTTCAACATTCTGCTCTTACAACCGGTTCTACATGGGTTACGTATTTCTTCACTTTCTTACCTGTAAGCACTATCTAGGGCAGCCTGAGTACTTCGGTTCTTTTCTTCGAGTTCATCCATGTCTACTTGAAGTCGGTTAAGATCTTTCTCTTGGCGTTCTACCACAGAATTTAGTTTTTTAATATTTTCTCTATGCTGTTTCTCAACCTCTTCTTTGCAATCAAGGACCTATGTCATACAAACCAACAAGAACTCTTTTCAATAAATGACATCATGGAAGACAACTATATTCCAGCAATTCCATAACATTTGGTACATGAAATGTCCCCCACAGCTCATAGTTTGAACATCTGGTACTCAGCTGGTTGCTCATTTTTGGAAGGCTGTGGAACCTGTAGTTGGAGGACATGCATACTGGAGGACAGGCCTTGAGGGGTATATAGCCCAACCCCACTTCTAGCCTCAGTGCTCTCTCTACTTTCTGGTTGGCACCAAGTAACAAACAGCTGCCACACACTCTTGACATGTTAGGAGTCCTCTGTGACACCCTCCCCACCATGATGGGAGTCTCATCCTCTGAAACTCTGAGTCAAAATAAACCAGTCCTCCCTCAAGTTATATATGTCAGGTATTTGGTCACAGTGATATATAACTTAACCAACGTATTTATTTATTTAACTATTAGACGAAAACCTTTTCTTTGCATGACACATCCCGTGAAATCACTGCAAGTATTGCACAAACCAATTACAGGAAGTCAGAAGTTGTAGAGAACCAGGACTGCTGTTCACCTGTTTTAAGTGCTGCAACTCCTCTTCCAGGTCTTTAGCTTTTCTGTTCAGCTTTGCAATCATGTTTTCATTGTCTTTGTCTTTAATTCTTAATTTCTTAATGATGTTGGAATTATGTAGCTGCTGCTTTGAAAGTTTTTCTCCTGATGACGGTAAAAAAAAACACAGATGCAAATAACAATGATCTTCTAAGAATTTGCATAGAATGTTTTATCCAACCAGTCACACACAATGAGTTTTTTTTTAATGTCAGAATTTGTTAGTTTTTTGTTTTTCAAGACAGGGTCTCCCTATAGCCCCAGCTGTATGCAGACCAGGCTGGCCTTGATATCAGAGGTTAGTGCTAGTATTATAGGTGTGTGCTACCACACCCTGCTAATATCAGAATTTTTTAAACCTAGTGTTAAAACTCATTTGGACAGGAACAATCAATGAATGCTAAAATTATTAGATGAAAGGATTCTAGGAAACAGGCCACTGACAGGGTCTTCACTTGATCTTAGACAAAAGATTGAGAAACAATTTCAAACATTCTTTTTTTTTTTTTTTCGTAAGTTTTATTGAAATAAGGTCTCTTGTAGCTAAGGATGACCTTGAACTCTTGATCTTCCTGCCTCAGCTTCCCAAGTACTGTATTACAGGTATGCAACTTCATACCTAGCCATCCAAGTCTTAAAATCACATAACAAATTACAAAGAGGAGTATGTGCTTTTACAGGGAAATCTGTCAGTCACCACCTTCAGTGAGCATGCAGTTTGGGGACTGCCAACTGTGGAAGTAGTTGACATTAAGGTCTACTGATATGATTAGTGTGGGTGTACAATAATGGCTTTCCAGAAACTATAGACTGTATGACCAAAAAGAAAAGTGTTAAATTTCTACATATGAGAGGTTCTGTATGACAACTCTACAAAGTCTTTCATACTATAAAAAAAGAGAACTATCCAAGACTAGTAGAAGACTAAAGTACATAACAACCAAACAAAGCTGACATTCCTTGTATCTGAGGACAGGGAAAATGGTATACTATGAAAGCCATTTTTAGAGAAAAATGATGAAACATACAGTGGATTATACTTTTGAATTAATGCAGACATCTAAGGTATAATTATGGTATTATACCTGTGAAGGAAAATTTACTTGCCCTTGGGAGGAGTAGACTGAAGAATTTAGAAATGCAATGCAAATGATTTGATAAGAAGGTAGTGTTAGGTATACCCAGAGATGTATGGAAGAGATGAAACAAGATACTTGTCTTTAGTTTTTGTCTGGTGCTAAGGGCTAAACTCAATGCCTTGTGTTTGTTAGGCAAGAGTTCTATCTCTGAGCTAGACCCCCAGCCTGGCAGGATATCAGCAATCCAGTACCTACACTCCAGTTACCTAGGAAATGGAGGGACCAGGTAGTCCATGTACTGTGCATGCAGCCTAAGCTTTTCAGCTTCTGGGGTGTTGAGCTTTGAAAATATTTCTGGGGGATATGGAAGCAGTTTCAAACACTCCTGTTTTTGCTATATCCCATTTTCTCGATGATGTTTATTAAGCAAATGAAAACATCAGTCTACCTCCAAATTACTAAATTCCAAAGTTGCTACATTTGATAGTAATATTTTAAATATTTTTTAAAGTTATAAGTCATACATCTAGCTTTCCCATTAGTTTTTGAAACTATAAAAGTTGTTTTATCATCTCTTCCATGACTTGTTTATCTTAGTGCTTAAATTGTGGGATTTCATTGGTTGGCTGTTTGAAATAGGGTGTTGGTATGTAGTACAGGCTGGCCTCAAACTCAGGACCCTCCTGCCTCAGCCTCTCAAATGCTGGAATTGCAGGTATATACCGCCATACCCAGCTAACAGCTATAGTTGATAATTACCTTTGTCCCTATACTGCGTCCTCACTAAACTAGGCTCCTAAAAGACAGGAAATATGTCATGTCTAGTACTGTATCAAACAATATCTGATATACTAACTGCTCAAGGAAGTCACACGTGCTGGGGGTGGTGGTATACGCCTTTAATCCCAGCTGGTGGATCTCTGTGAGGTGAGCCTGGTCTACAGAGTGAATTCCAGGTCAGCTGACTGTCTCAAAAAGACCAAAAAAAAAAAGGCATATGAATCGGTGAAAAATAAACAGTTGGGTAAAAGTTAACTTTTTCAGATGAAGTAATTGCTGCCAGTTGTTCTCAAAGTCCACACTTTCTCTGAAATTCGTTTATGTTCCATGACTTACATATAGAAATGTTGGTCTCACATTTGTAGTATGAACATTTTAGATATAAAACATTTAGCATTAACAGCCAATAAAAAAAAAAAAAACAGTGCCTCATACAATGGACTTTAATAGAGCCATTAGTACACTATACAAAACATTTACCAGTACAGTGACATGTAAAGAAGAGTGCACACTGAATATATGATCTTAACTATTGTTTAAATGCACTGACAAAGATACACTGAAAAAGACTAGCACTTTCTAAGATAAATGAGCTTATTAAGCTCATTTTGAATTATTAATTCAAATATTAAAACATGAATACAATTATAAAGTCACTATTAAATGCTAAAGACATGCCACCCTACTCAAACTAGGGATTCAGAAACGTTATAGACCCTAAAATTACAACCTTTAAACCTTTGTTTAAAATGATGGGCTCTTTTAAGACTTGTTCTAAACTTTCGTAGACTAGCATACAAATTTCTGCCTAGTTTTTAAAGACTTGGGTTTTTAACCGCCCTAGAAACAAAAGCCACTACTATATTTCTCTCAATACATCTTAGTCCGTCCCCGCATCCTTCCATAAACCATCATGTGCCACTTCTACAGTTGAAGTCTAAACCATCCTTGCTTTCCCCTTTCCTTTCTCTTCCTGTCTCCCTCGTCTCCTTTTCTTCTTCTTTTTTTTTTTCATAAGAAGCACTACTATGTTCAAGTTTATCTTCACCTCCTTGACTCAGAAGGTCTTCCTGCCTCCCGTGTAGCTAGGTATGCACCACCACACTCAGTTAATACTTTAATTAGGAAACACATACTGCCTATTACATAGTAAATATTTTTTTTTTCTTAGAACATTTTTCATGATCAACAGAATACCCACCTTCTTCCATTAAACCTTGAATCTGCTCATCTTTCTCTTTCAAAAGGTCTGCAGTTTGACTACTATTTAATCTAGTGGCAAGTTCTTCTTTTATATTTTTCATTTCCTAATTAAAAAAAAATTATGGTTACCATAAAGAATTACTTTCATTCTAGGCAGAGTTTTTCTACTTTTTCTCTATCTGAAGAAGCCACCCACAATCACATAACCATATTAAATCTGTAAGTTCAGTTCACCTACTTACCTACACTAAGAGAAAGAAAATGGATTTGAATGTTACACACAAAGCTTGCACTTGGTTATATAAGCAGGGATGAATATGGAAATAGAAGTGAAAATAACATCCTCTGCCCTTATTCAGTGCCTCTATACTCATATGCTATAGGTTAAGAATTATATTTGGAACAGGGTAGAGGCAGGAAGCCATTTGTGGATTAGGTGTCTGTCATTATTGCTAGTGTCTGAACCCAGCTAAGCTTATTAAAGCCAAGCAGGTAACTTCCTCTAACAGTACACAGAGGGAGAGATGGTTTGGCAGGTTAAGAGCTCATGCATTTCTCGCAGAGGAATTGAGTTTAGTTCCAAGCAGCCCTCATGGTAACTCACAATGCCTGTAACTCCACCTCCAGGTACTCTGGGACCCTATTCTGAACTCAGCAGGTACCTACATTAATGTGCATATACCCATACACATAATTAAAAACAGTAAGAATAAATCTTTTAAAAGAACATACACAGAAAAATTATAAATTAACACTGATCAAAAAGTAGGAAAGAGGAGATGCATAAAGGTGCTTGCCACAAAATCTGACAACCCGAGTTCAATCTGCAGGACCCACATGGTGAAAGGAGAGAACTAACTCAACTACGAACTGTCCTCTGCTCTCCTAATGCATACTGTGCTGTATGTATATCTCACATGCACACACACACACACACACACACACACACACACACACACAAAACACAACACACAAATAGATAAAAAATTTTAAAGTAGTGAAGTATCTTAATTCCCAAAAGCCTAATGTAGAGAAAAAGTTTGTTAGTAAGAGCTAGGACTCAAGCAATAATAACCCTAGTTATTAATAGTTTCTGAAATGTGTAAGTGCTCCAAATTAGAAGTACTAAACAATGGTTCATAACCAGGAATGACTCTGCTCTCAAGGAGACATCTGGCAATCTGTGGCAACTAGGGTGGGGAAGGTTACTATTAGAATGACATGGAGAGGTCAGGGATACTGCTAACATATCCTACAACAAACACAAGAACTACCCCCACAGCAGAATCAGTCATCCCAAAGATTAATAGCATTGAGGATAACAAATCCTGTGTTAGGTCAGTATGATATCTACCAAAAGATAATCACTATGAGAAATTGTATTTTAAAATTACTTTGACTTAATGAAGTAATCCTTGAGACTAATGATTACTTTTTAAAATATAGTACTCTTTAAATTTAAGTGTTATTTATTCTGATAGAATTATCATTTATAAGTTATCTTAATGATCTTTACTATCTATCTTGCAAGGATTTATATATAAATTATACAAAAACATGTTTAGATTCTTAAAAATTCTGTGTATGGTATATGGACTTGTGTGTATGCAGGAGCATTTACACAAGCATGTACATGGATGTGGAGGCCATAGTAGACCAGGTGATTTCTATTATCTTTTCTTTGAACTTTCTATGAACTTTTCCACGTTATTTTTTAAGACTGTATCTGAAACTGGAGCTCAATGATTTGGCTACCTAGGCTCGCTGGCCAACAAGCTTTAGTGGTCCATCTGACTCTGCTCCCACCACCCCATCCCTCCACAGTATTGGGGTCACATACAAGCCATGATGCCTGTATTGACATGGTTCTGGAGACCCAAACTCAGGTCCTCTTCTTGTTCAACAGGTACTTCACCAAATGAGCAGTCTCTCAAGTCCCAAGATTTTTCAAGGTAACAGAACTCTATCAATTTTAATATACAAAAAAATCTACAATTCACTTAATACAGAACATGTATACTTTAAAAAAATTTTTGTTTATTTTTGTGTGTTTGAGTGTTCTGCCTGCATGTTTGTAAGTGCACCTGTGCCCTACAATGGCCACAGAGGCCAGAAGAAGGCATCAGATCCCATGGAACTGGAGTTACAGACAGTTGTTAGCTTTCATGTGGGTTCTGGGAACCGAACCCAGATCCTCTCTCTGCAAGAGCATCAGTGCTTTTAATCTCTGAGCCATCTCTCCAGCCTCTACATGTACATTTTCAAAAAAATATTTTATTATTTTTAATTTATGTGTATGAGTGTATTGCCTGCATGTAAGTGAGTGAATCCATGTTGTGCAATGCCGCAGAGGTCAGAAGAGGGCTTTAGATTCGCCTGGAACTGGGGTTAAGGACGGTTCGCAGGAATGTGGGTGCTGGGAATGGAACCCGGGTCCTCTGCAAGAGCAGTCAGTGCTCTCAACTGCTGAACCATCTCTCCAGCCCCTACATGTATGTTTTTAATCTTCACTTTTTCCTAATACCAAAATCTTCACTCATTCATTGGACTAGGCAGAGTTTAATATTTAGTTTCAATTACCTTTTTAGCAGCATCTCTCTCTTTGCAGGCTAGCTGAACTTTCTTTTCTGCTTCTGCAATTCTTTGGGTGAACTCTTCTTTCAGGGAAGAAATGCTATTGCTTTCTTCTTTTACTCTGAACATTTCACTAAATTTAAAATATGCAAGAATGTAGGCACTTTATATAGTCCAAAGGTAATAAGCTCAGTTCACACAGTGAAGGTAGTATTTTCTCTAATATATGCCATATTGAAACAGATCAATTTGAGGCTTATTAACTTCAGTTTTGTTTTGTTTTTTTAAGACAGGGTCTTGTTATGTGCCACAGCTGATCTGTTTAATTCATGATCGTCCTGTCTCTATTCCTCAAGTGCAGGGATTACAGGTATGTGCCACCATGCCTGGCCAGCTTATTAACTTTTAAAAGAAAAATCACTTAGTAAATTTACTTTATTTATTGGTGGTATATGCTAGGAAAATGCTCTATTACAGAGCTATATCCCCAGTCTTACTAAATTTATTTTAAAACAAAACCCACTGGTGAAAATGTCATCATGAGTAGATGAGCAAAAATAAGACAAAGGTAAATGTTTGAATTTTGAATCTTCTTGTGCCACACTTCCCCAATCACTGCCTTAAACCAATTCAGTGTGTTTTTAACTATAATATTACCATTTTCATTAAATACATGCTTAAATCTAAAACAATAACAACAATAATGAAGACTATTGTTTTTACAAAACATCTCTCTTTAATGCCAAAGATAATACGGTAAAGATAATTTAGGAAGAAAAACTATCTTTATGTATGGTTGTGATTGAAATACCTTTCAATTTACAGTTACTACAAACAAGTTCAACTACAAAGCATTTTAATTTCAAACTATTTTTTTGTTTTGTTTTTAGGAAAGGGTCTCCCTATAGCCCCACCTGGCTTAGAACATACTATGTAGACCAGGCTGGCCTTGATCTCACAGATACCTGTCTGTGCCTGCCTTCTGAGTGCTGGGATTAAAGGAGTATGCCACTACACCTGGCCTTCAAAACACTCTTAAAAACAACAAAGTAAAGGGGCCTCCAAGTACAGTATAAAATTATGTACATTTTGAATATACTTACTCTTTCAGGTTATCATAAGCTTCTTCTAGACGTGCTTTTTCTTTACTAAGAGATAATAACTGAGCCTCCCTTTTTTCCAGTTTCTCATTCAGAAATTCAACTGTCTAGATAAAGAGAACATATAAAGTCAAACATTTAACTATTCTGAGGACATTTGTTCATGCAGGTAAGGAATTACAAAGGTAACCCAAATATAAAAGCAATGTTAAGAACATGGTGGATAAGAACAACTACTCTTTATAACCAGTAGTAGAGTACAAATTACAGCAGCCATATAGCTGGTGGGAGTATAAATTCAAAAGTCACCTTGAGAAACAACTGGGAAGTATCTAGTTGAATGTCTATTTCTACATCTTAGATGTACAAAAATTGTACTTCTAGGTATACTTTACCTTAGAAAAGTCATGGTAAATATACTAGATGATATATGTAAGAACATTATAGCAGTTTGTTTCTAAAAGAAACAGAAAAAGATCTAGGCTAATCTGAATAGCCCCTAAAGAAGGAAAAGAGATAATAAATATTTTTTTAAGAAGAGCTTTTAAGATTCTTGTAATGTTTTGTATGTTATCTTAGTGATATCTAATATATATATATTTTATATCTATATATAAAATATGACTATATTGTTATTACTTAACCTAAACATGTAACTTCTTTATTATGTACCATATCTAAAAAATAAATTTTAAAAATCCCATAGTCATGTAACTTAAAAATGTCTAGAACATATCAGTACAAAGCTAGCAAACAATAACTCTTAGAATATCTTATTCCTTGGGTCCTGCTGAAGCAGTGATAAGTCTGCATGGGAAGAAAAGTGCCTTTCGGGCTTAAAAGAAGTAGTTTTATCTAAGTTAGATATAGGAATCACTTACCTTCTTAGAAACATTGAAAACATTGACAATAACTAGCGCTGGTTTTCAGGAATTCAAAATCTTAGTATATATTTTATGGGATATTGTTATTACTAATTGGAAAAGTATGGTGTGGCATTCTTGTTTGTGAATATTATTAAATTCAGGTAACAGAATTTGGAGCTTTCAAAAAAGGTTAAGGAATCCAATATTTAGCACTTACAGTACATTTCTTCAAGACATGCTATATCTCAGAAGTCTATTAAGGTGTCAGATCCAGTTCAATTTCTCTATCTAAGAATCACAGGAAAAACAAAGCTGTGACTTAATGCTAAAAAAAAAAAGTTACACCACTTTCCTTTACATATTAGGTACAAATAATTTGTTATTCCTAAGTAATATCTTCATTCCTTGGGCGTTTCCTTTTCTCATTCATGTAAGAGCTATCAAAAATAACAAAGAGAAATCAAACTAAAACACTGTAAGGAATATTCTCCTTATGCATCAAAGGAGACATTAATGTTAGAATATTAATCACAGGAAAGTATCGATAATATTCATATAAAGTCTAAATAAAAAACTAAAACTAAAATTTCCCATCAGGGGCTGGAGAGATAGCTCAGTGGTTAAGAGCACTGGCCACTCTTGCAGAAGACCTAGGTTCAATTCTCAGCACCCACATAGTGGCTAACAATTGTACATAACTCTGATACCCTCTATCTTTGCAGGCATTTCATGTCACAGGTACACGTACATACATGCAGGCAATACACTCATACACATAAAATAAACTAATAAAATATACAACTTCTCATTGATACTGTGAACACACGAAACATTTTGATACATGAAAAAGGATAATATTTAGGTTTATTTAATGTCTATTGTCAGAAGAGTCGAAGATGCATGTACCATAAACAAAGAGACCTTTGTAAACTGACATACATGCTCAGAGCATAAAAGTTTTAAAGGGATAAGGAATCAACAATAAAGATGTGAGATGGAAACTATGCTTTTTTATAATGAAATATCTACTTAAGCTACTATAGTTACCTTGGAGAAACTCAATTAATATAAATATTCATTTTGAGGTCCTTAATGCTACAGTAAAATGACCAAAATCAGAACAAATCATTACACATCATGGAAAACATTTTTAAAACATTCTTATCTCTGAAATACACCCAACAATCCTTTTCTGCTTCGTACAATTACCTTGCAAACGTCTTCTTTCTCAGAAGGAACTTCTGGCTGACCGTCAGCAGCTGTGACTTCAGACTGCTCAGCCACCTTGTCTGAGACAGAAGGGCCTCCGTTTATTGGTGTAGAAGAAAACAGTGTGTCTGGCTGATCACAGTTAACAGGAGTTGCACTTCGTCCACTTTCCTCTAATTCTGCTTCCTCAGAAGGTACAATTAATGTCTCATTCACTTCTTCTTCTTCAGCTTTCCCTTCAATAGATTCTACTATGTTAGTTTTGGGAGTTGAAGGATTAACTACAATAGGCACTAAAGCATACCCCTTGCCTGGCAATTCATCATCTGAATTGATCTCGCTTACACTCCGGCTATCTAAAGACTGCACACTAAACGAGTCTATCCTTTCAAAAGCATCAGATGAGCAGCCACTCTCATTGAGCTTTTGGAAGTCATCTAAGCGACTGTACTCAGGACAGGTGGATGCAGAGAGAAGCTGAAATGATGTCTGCATGAGGTGAAGATTTGCTTTTGTATCTGTCGTCTCTTGTCTTGAGCTCGCAGAGCTCTCACTGATCACACTTTCATGATCTAAAACTTCAATGTCACTGGTGGTAGAAGTACCTGACGAGAAGGCACTAACAGGAGGAGAAGGAGTGTTGCTCTGTCTGTCCTCAGGTTTGGGTTCTTTGGGTTCCAAAGCCGTGTCCTTCGTCTCTGCTGTGAGAGACTGACTGGTAGACACACCTTCCACAGTTGCTTTTGTGTTCACTACATTTTCAGACACTTTCAACTGTACAGTTGTCACCTTCACCTCGGATTCTTTACTAGCAATTTCTTCATGTTGGCCTTCAGTTACAAATGATGGCACACTCACTGCCAGAGTGTCTCCTGATACACACAGAGCATCTCTCACTTCTGAGTCAGTTGTTTCTGTAGTTCTTGACTGCCCAGGGGACAAGGATTCATGCAAGCTGCTTTTTACTTCTTCTTCCGGCCTCTGTGATTTAGCCGGAGGTTTTGACACCACTGGACTCTTCTGAATATTCTGGACATCTGATGGAGAGAGAAAGGCACTGAAGAAATTCTCAGATTCATCCACTACGGTCCTTCGAACTGGCTTTGTAATTGCTTTAGGAGAGGCTGTCGGTGGACTTTGAGGTTCTGTGCTTGATTTCAACCCCCAGGTTGAAGTATCCCATCCTCCACTCACAGTGGGGCCTACTCCTTTGACAAAAATAAACACATAAATAAAATATATATTGCATCAACATTTCAATCATTATTATAAATATGAATTTATAGAAAAGAAAGCCTATAGAATATAACCTGTAACCTTGAAGCAGTTAGACACTTGGCTTACAGCATCATTAATTAGTTTCCAGGTTAACTTTAGGCCTTAAGGAATATAACCAGCGTAGGCCTGCCAGAGAAGAATGAGGAGCACAAGAAAAGAGCAGACTGGGCTTGGACTTGCAAAAGCAAGTATTATCCCATCCTGAAACAATTTTTAAAAGTAATGATATTTGTTTTATAGCCCATGTTAAGCCCAAGAAACACCCCAATGCATCTCACAAAAAGTATCCTCACTAACAGGTCACATGTAGTTGGCAGTACTGTTCGTCACACATTCATTTCATTCTCGTAGCATCCAATATTAAACCTAATTAGAACCTGAACAGATGGCAACATGCAAAACGGAATCCAACATAGTGGAGATATGCTCTTTTCTGGAAACCATCATTAAACTGATGGGAACAGTAAGTTCTAGTGAATAGATTCACTTTATGTACTTAATGACCAATCTCCAAGTCCCCTTCTCTATTCAGACTCAATGTAAGAGACAGTTTTGTTCTCTTAGAATTTGTTTCCAAGTTTCAAATTTATTCCATCAATTAGAAGGACATTGTGGATTTCAGATACGCGCATTTTCAGAAACACTGCATTTTGATACTAAAAGTATGACACTATAATTTTTTTAAAAACACTACAAAGAGCTAGGTGTGGTGGTGCAAGCCTTTAATCCCAGGACTCGGGAGGCAGAGGAAGGTGGATCTCTGTGAGTTCAAGGCCAGCCTGGTCTACATAGTGAGTTCCAGGATAGCTGGGGCTACAGGGAGACCCTGTCTCAAAAAGACAAAAAAAATGTTCCTTTCTATCGGATTTTACCCTTAATATACATTTTAACCTCCAGCCTTTTACCAATTTTAGTAATTTCAGGGATAGAAAGTGAGGCCCCCCAAAGTCAGGTGCTGAAAGGCAGTATGGAGTTAAGGGCCTTCTGTCGAAGGGACAGTTCTTGGGGCCATCTGTGGTGTATTGTTCTCTACCTCGGTCCAATACCACCTCCTTTGGACAAATAATAAAACAATAAAGAAAATAACCATTCTAGAGAAAAAGTTAATTTCACAAGAGTCATAGAAACAGCAATTACTAAGAACCCTATGAACAACCAAAAAAGGGGAAATATTTGCTAAAATATTTTAAGTATTTCTTCAAATATTTTTCCATGAATTACAAATCTATAAGCAACATACCACAAATTGTGTGCAATTAAGTAATTAAAAGTTATGGAGAGGACACAAATAACCAAGGGCTTCTTGAAAAACCAACAAGCCCTACAGCAAAATCTACCCTTTAGTAAGATTTCAAAGCTAACTGGAATAAAGAGTGTTTAGGAAACTGAATTGAGGGATATAGTTTTACATTCATTTGTTCAATGTATGAAAATCAGAAAACAAAAATTAGAGCAAGATTAGGTCTGCTGACTGACTAGTTTATCAGCATCCTAATACATGGTATATTTAAATTTGCCTCTTGGTAAATGCTTTTTTGTAATCACAGAGTTAGCTCACATCTATTTAAACTCCCTTTTTGTTTGTTTTGTTTTGTTTTATGGTCTTTTTGAGAAAGGTCTCCCTGTAGCCCCAGCTGGCCTGGAACTCATTACATAGATCAGGCTGGTCTTGGACTCACAGAGATCTGCCAGCCTCTGCCTTCCAATTGCTGGGATTAAAGGCGTGTGCCACCATACCCGCCTTAAATTCCATTTTTAAGACTATGATCTTTTGTAATCTAAAACATAGCAGGTGATCAGTGAACATGGCATTTTATGAAAACCTGAGTTCGTTTCAGATAACCTGCCTTTTAAAGTAAATTATATAGCATGATTCATGCCTTAGATTTCAGGAAAAAAAAAAAGACTATCTTTGCATTAGAGATGTATGATGTCAAGTTTAGTAAAGCAAACTCTGGAGTCTAGTCACAAAAAGAAAGGTGAGCAGGGTCAAACAACAACAACTAGAAAGATCATGAAGATCATGACACACACACACATACACGCATACAGAAATGAAATTACCCTAAAATGAGATAGTTGAAACTTAAGCCTTGAGTGTTCAACAGTAGAAAGTCGTCTTTTCACCCAGAAGGTATCCAATCCTTGAGCCTACAAATCTTTGCTGCACACCTCAAAATGCTAAATTATCCCTCAGACTTAAAGACACAAATAACTGAAGTCTTGAAAGATTAATTTCAGCCAATCTGACGGAAAAGGCAGAAAATGAGACAATTTGGAATTTCTGGGCCACATATCTGATCCACTGGTAAGAGCTCCTGCATACTCTGCACTGCACAGGGAACAAGTTACTCAAGCGTCTCCTTCCTCTTCTCTAAGAAGCAGGTGCTAACAAACCTAACTCGAGTTATTTTGATGATGAGAAAGCTTTAAAAAAGAAGTCTCTATGCTACGAGGCACAAAGTACTCATTAAATGCCAAGTGCTGGACGACCTGTCCTCGAATGTATATACTTCCCACTGGGGAGCCAATTGAGGAAGCACCCGCAAGGAGTCTGCTCCTGGCCCTGGAGGGGGCCTGAGGGACATGACCTGACCGCGCGCGCGGGAGGTTGGGGGGCAGAGACCTGGGGATGCAGGAGGGCCGGGGAGCGAGGACCGGGGACGAGGTCTGGGGTCAGCAGGGCCGGGGGCGAGGACTGGGGTGGTAGCAGGGCCGGGGGCGAGGTCTGGGGGGACAGCAGGGCCGGGGAGAGCGAGGTCTGGAGGACAGCAGGACCGGGGAGGGGAGGGTCTGGGGGAACAGCAGGGCCGGGGAGAGCGAGGTCTGGTGGGGCAGCAGGGCCAGGGAGAGCGAGGTCTGGGGGGACAGCAGGGCCGGGGAGAGCGAAGTCTGGGGGGACAGCAGGGCATGGGAGGGCGAGGTCTGGGGGGAGCAGCAGGGCCAGTGGCGAGGTTGAGGGGGAGCAGCAGGGCCTGGGTACGAGGTCTGGGGGAGCAGCAGGGCCAGGGGAGAGGTTGGTGGGGGACCAGCAGGGCCGGGGGGCGAGGTCGGGGGTGGGGCTGCAGGGCCTCGGCCCGCTTACCCGGCTCTCCGTACGGGATGGTGTCGGCCCAGGCGCTCGGCTCCTCCTCCTGGATGTCCAGGACCCTGTCGATGGACTTCTGGGCCTGGGACAGGGCCTGCTTGGCGAAGCTGGACAGCTGCGAGGCATTGAACCAGCTCATCGCCCCTCCTCAGCTGGGCGGCGGCTCCGGGCGGGGAAGGCCAAGGGCAGGCCGGCTGGGGCCGGCTGAGGCCCGGGTCGCCGCGTCCTGTCCCGGCTCGGTGGGCCGTTAGCGGGCTGCCATGGCCCACCACTTCCCACAGCCAGGATCGAGGCCCCTCAGCACTTCCCGCACAGCTGAGCCTGGCCAGGCTGCGCATGCGCCAGCGCCTTCCACGTACACAACCACCGGATCCTCGGAGCCGATTTTCACCACGGAAGAACAGAGGGCTGGTCGTGACGTCACATCCGGGAGCTACGCGTTGCTGGTAGTTACCCAGCAACGCCTGGTCAGTTTTTGTTGGCACTCTGGGCTCTTGGCAGTAGTTCTCAGCCAAGGAGAGATTGTGGTAGCAAAAGAGGTGCACGGCAAATTCTTCCGGAAATTATGTCATGTGCTCAGAGCTAGCCCCGGGTCTGCGCTAACTGTAAACATAGGGAACGCTGGGCCCGACATTTTTCTTAGCGCTTTAAAATATTCAACCAGAGGCTGGAGAGATGGCTCAGCGGAGCTATGGCTGCTCTTGCAGAGGGCCCGGATTCGAAATTCAGCACCCATATGGCGGCTACAACCATCCGTAACTCCAATTCCACTGGATCCGATGCTCTCTACTGACCTCGGTGCACTTACATGCAAGCAAAATACACACATAATGATTTTTTAAAAAATATATTTAGTTCTTTTAGGAAATTTAAAATTAAGCAAAATGGGGAGTCCGTTTGGGTCACCAAAACATGAGCAGCTTGTATCTACGCATTCCTTCTAACATACCTTCTATCATGTTTCTGTGCTGAATTGATAAAGTAAATTAACAGTAAGTGGAGGGCAGATAGGAGCAAAAACAAAACAACAAAATAAATATTGAAACGAGTCCTGTTGGGTCTTCAAGAGAAACTGGTTGACTTGGCCCGAGTTTATGGACACTGTGCCCACATCCTAGAACATGTACAGAAGAAACAGTATCATTGCCCCACTTAAAACAAATCTAGTACTGTGATCTGAATGTCTGTAGCCAGTACACTCACATCCACACTCTTGTAAAGATGTGAAGGCCTTTAAGAACCTATTGGGTCATGAGCTGGAGCCTTTGGAAATGGAATAGTGTCCTTATAAGAAGTCTCACAGTGCCTTTCCCTCTTTCCAAGCATGAAGACATAGTGCATCCATGCCATACATGAACCAGAAGAGAACCCTCATCTGAAAGAGCTGCATTGACCTTGGGCCTCCTAGTCTCTAGAACTGTAAAAACCAAATTTCTGTTGTCCATGAGCCACCCCTTTAGGGCAATTTGTGTTAACAGTTCAAAGGGAGTTAAGAGACTTGGAAAGCAATAAAATAGTAACTTGTCAGTATGTATTATACATACTGCTTAAAATTGAACATGCATATACTCTCCCACACTTGCCTGTGGGAAGAAATTTAAAATTTGATGGCCCTTTTTATCTAGACAGTAGTGTTTTGGTAAGGGTCCAATAATGTTAAAAACAAAATTCTACCAAATTTAAAAGCTAGATCTCATCTAAAAATCCAAAGTTATGGCTTCTTATGAACAAATTATCACAGAATAGTCAGCTGGAATGGTCACGTCTTTGGTTAACTATTTTCACACACTAGTTTTTCCATCTATCTGATCACTCATTTTAAGGACTTTCCTTGATCTGTTTAACTCATTATCTGCCTGTACTTACTTCACTGCAAGGAACTACACTATAAGGAGATTTTTTTTTTTTTCATTTTAAGAAAGCAGATCAGGGCCAGTGAGATGGCTCAGTGGGTAGAAGTGCTTGATGCTCTATGATGCAAGCCTGGTGACCTGAGTTCAGTCCCTGGAACCCACACAAGGTGGAAGAAAAGAACTGACTCCACAAAGTTGTCCTCTGACTTCCATACGCATGCTGTGGAACACATGTCCTCACACAAACATCATACACATCACACACAATTTTTTTTTTAAGAACTTAGATCAAATCGATGACCTTAAGTTATGATCTTTCAATAATTTTACCCTGCTACATTCTATTTTTGCATGTGTAAGAAGATGCCTTGGCTGGCAGGCTAGTGGCTAGAGGCTACTTCTGTGATACCCTGATAGTATAAGGCCAGTCCTAACTCCTGAGGAAGAGCAAGCAGCCTGCTCAGAATCCTTCCAGGACAGAAAAGGCAGAGGAAACTCTGACATGGAAAAACTAGTGAAAATGAAGAAAACCTGGAAAACTAGGGAAAGCCAGAAGACAAAGCAGAGCTTGAAGGCGAAAGGAAGCCAGGCAAAGAGAAAACCCTGAACATCACTGAAGGGAAGCCAGTACTCAGGGACTAGCTAGAGGGCAAGAAATAGCCAGACAACGAACAACAAACAGAAGATGAGAAGCCAGAAAAGCAGGGAAGGCCACAAGGTGAGGGCAAGCCAGAATCAAAGGTGAAGCCAGCAAGAAGGCTGAAAATTGCCTAGTGCCAATATTATAGGCTTAAGAAGAGCTAAGGGGAAAAAAAGGTGGTTTTCATTGTCTTCAACAATAAAACTTGTGCAAGACATGTTGTCCCAAAAGGTAAAGATGATGTCAAGGGAGTAAAAGGGGAGGGACCAAAAGGGGCTTATATAATATTCTGTTTTTTAATGCCTTTGTCCTTGAATTCTGACCTCTCTGATGAAAAAGAGTATCTCTGGCCTTGCTGACCTTGGTGGATCTTTGAAGGCCTAAGTTTTCACTCTAGGTGTCACTATCCTTAGCAGCAGCCTTGTGATCCAACACTTTATCTTTCACTACAGTGTTTTGACCCATGTGAACATGTATTATAAAACATCAGAAAGTTTGCAGATCCACAGGGAACACTGCCTCTGCATGTCATACTCATACAGTTAATTATATGAAGTCAGACTAAATAATGCAATTCCATTTAAGCAGTTCAGTTTAGCTAGCTGTACAAGGATATTTGGGGCACATCAGACATCTTATCTCAACACTTCTAAATGCAGTGTTGGGCAAATGACACAAACTTTCTAAAACTATAATCTCAGTTCTCTGATGGAAACGTTGCCTTTTTTATAACTTTACTTTGGTGAAAATTATTACAGCACCTCTATAAAGGATATATTCAATGTTCAGGGTCTTCACCTTCAAAAATGTTTGCTTTGTGGCTCATACCTATAATCCCAGTCCAGAAGGCAGAGGCAGGAGGATCAAAAGTTCAAGGCCAGTCTAGATTACACAATGAGACTCTGTCTTAAAAACAATTAGGCTAGGCTGGGGATACTGTTTAGTGATAGAATACTGGCCAACCAATGTCTGATCCTGGGAATAACTAAAAAGAAAATGATAAATCTTTAACATTTTAGGTGAAATATACATAACTATACCTGTATTTTATCATAGAACTGAATTTGTCAATATGAAGCTAGAAAGAAGAATAAAGGATATAGTTCAGTGATAAAGCACTTCACTAGCATGTGGGAGATCCGAGGTTCCATCCCTGAACCATTAAAAAAGAAAAGAACGATGTCATCTACTAATATTCTACAAACTTTCTGAATAAGAACTAGCAACTAAACACAGCTTTTGAAAAGACCCTGACAACTAAGTCAAAAGCAAAGCATGAGAAGAACGAACACATGTAGTGCACATTCCCTTATTAAATACAACCCAAACTGTTCAGTTTTTGTGCTTAATTTGGTTTTAGTCTTTCTGAAGACAAAAAAAGCACGTTAAGAGATCGTAATATAAAAACTGAATTATACCACTTTATTACGTTAGAGCAAGTTAAACTGCTAAATCTTTTTTTTTTTTTTTTTTTTTTTTTTTTTTTTGAAAACAGGGTTTTACAATACAGCCTCCGCTGGCCTCAAACTCACAGTGGTTTGCCTACCTCTGCCACCCAAATGCTGGGATTGAAGGTGTGCACCAACTATGCCAGTCCAAACCAGTAGAAATCACTGTAGTACAAATATTAATTCAAGTACAATCAAAATTTGGTCATAAGTCTATTAAACATTTAAAAATTATTCCCATATCACTATGGAACTATTTGCTATCATTAATATACTTAAAAAATTTCAGTGAAAAAAGTAGACAATGTACAATTTTATTAATAAATAGTGCAAAAGCAAGGGTGATAACTGTTTTAACATTAGTTTTTTTTTTAAAACAGCCATGTCTTAGTTTAAACTTGTGCACACTGGCATTGCAAGTAACACATGAAAATATTTACTATTTTCATGCACAGGTATTCAGCTATAATACTGTTCACATATTATTATGGACAAGTTTACTCTGCAATAATTAACATACATTTGGACAGCCACAATCATATGAATAACAAGTGAAGAAACAGCCTATGTTTGATATGCTCTAGATGTCAGATTATAGGATTTATTGTTTTTAAAACTGAATTCCTCATTTCCATGAAAGGACACATTTCTGTACATGTGGATGCTCAAATGAAAGCTGAAGAATGCATTCTTTGACCATAATAACAAAACTCACACAAAAGAGAGTGTTTGTCCTCTGCTTTAAAGAAGCAGTGCATCTGTTCATAATCTTTCTCTCCAGGCATCATTTCCCATATTACTAATGAAAATGCCTACCACAATCCCAAAATTCAGTCTCCAAGAGAAAGTTATAAAGTTAAAAAAGAGCAGTTCATTATATAATATATATATATATATGTATGTATGTCAAATTCTAGCAACACTAATGCTAAAAATGACATTGATTAAATTTCCTTTTTGGGGAATCCCCTCTGCCCCACCTTCCCCACCCTTCAGTTAAATTTCTTAGCATTCATAAAGTATATTATTCCTATGCCTTTTCAACTTGTGCAAATTTATTTTCCTTAAGAAGTAAAATGAAGTTTGAATAGTACAGTCTGCGGTGTGGTGACATCAGCAACGGCCAGTTCTTGTCCATCAACAAGTCCCAATTCTAAAATAGAAAAGAGCGTCACCAACTCAAGCCTCTCTGCAAAAACTCAGTGAAAAGGATAATACATATATAAACAAATCATAGAGTTTTATGGTTCAGGTAAGTCTCAAAATTCAATTCTCTTTAAGCAATATATTTAATTTCTTGGATATTTTCAATTTTTCTACTGAAAGAGCAATCAATTCTACTATTTTTATAGATATAAGTAATTATGACCTCATACATTAAGAGCAAGCCTAAATTCAAAGCTAGCCTGGATGCATAGCAACTTCAAGGTCTGAGTTATATTAGAGATCCTATCTCAAAATACCAAGAGCTATGGATGCAGCAAAGTGCTAAGTCACTTGCTTAGCATATATAAAGGCCTAAGTTTGATCCTAGAAAATGAGGGTGGGGTGGGGGAGGTAGTGGGACTCTAGAACAAACATTTAATATTTCTACCAAACTATTAATACATATGTTACTTAAAATACCTTTCAATGTCTTGGAAAGATTTGGCCTTGTTCGCTCTTCAATAGAGGTTACTGACTAGAAAACAACATCATTTTAATGTACAGCACATCAAAATAAAATTAAAATATGAATGTTTTCTGAAAAAATATAGTACTATTCACCTGTAAGTAAAGTGTTCTATTTTTCCCCTCTAATGTGGCTGTGATAGCTGGAGACTTCATTTGCCTAAATATAGTAGAGGAAAAGAAACTATTTAAAATATAATTTTTGGTTTTTGTCTTTGGTTGTATGTGTGTCTGTGTGTCTGTGTGTGTCTTTTTGAGACAGGTTCTCCCTATAGCTCCAGCTAGCCTGGTATGTAGACCAGGCTGGCTTTGATTTCAGAGATCCACCTGCCTCTACCTCCTGAGTGCTGGGACTAAAGGTGTTCGTCACTATACCTGTCTGCCTTTATATATTTAAAAAATGATTTTCACAGGCTGTAGATATGGCTCAGCAGTTGAGAGCACTGGCTATCTTTGCAGAGGCCCAGGGTTCAGTTCGCAGCAACACATGATGGATAAGATCCATCTCTAACTACAGTTCCAGGAGATCCAATGCCCTTTTCTGGCCTCTGCAGGCATTGCATGCGCATGGTGTTACTTATATACATGCAATCAAAACACTTGTACAAGTAAAATAAAAATAAAAATTTTTCAAAAATTATTTTTACAGGACTGGGCATGGTGGTGCACACCTTTACTCCTAGCACTCAGGAGGCTGAGGTAGTCTACATAGTGAGTTCCAGTCCAGGTGGGGCCACAGGGGGACCCTGTCTCAAAAAGACCAAAAGAAAATTTAATCTTACAATGTAACAATACACTTACAGAGATGCACTATTGGTTAGATAATCCAAAACCTCCTGTAGCTTAGCTGATGGAGAAAACTGAATGTTTTGAGGAAGCTGACTACATGCTGGGCAGTTTTCCTACAAACATAAAAGACAATAAATAAATTACAGTGGCACATGAACTAACGTTAGCCTCTTTTTCAACAACAAAAAAAGGGAAATCAAGCTGTTTTATAATCATGCATATTCCCTAGGAAAATTGTTTCTGCCTTAAAAGTCTGCTTTCATAATGGAGAACTTCTAAGTTATTCTGCTTATAGTATTTACAGTCTATCCAACAAAAGATATGTAATAAGCATTTTGGTAGTTAGGAAACAAAATTTCCACATTATTTAGAATATGGAAAAGTCTGTTCAAATTTCTAGCTAATAACTAATATTTCAAAAGCAAAAGACGCATAGCAAAACTGTCTTCATTATTTGACTACTACTACTAACCTTTCTCTCTGCTTCAAATGTGTATGTGTAGAGTCCGTCTACATCATTGAATACCAAGTAATTATTAAGGGGAATGTATGCACTGTAATGGAAAAAAAATGTCCATTTTAAACTAATTGAACCAGGTTACAACATGGATTTACATACACTTTAAAAATAATCCCATCCCCACCCCCCAAAAAAACCATTACCTTGTGGCTATTTTAAAAACCTCAGTGGCACACACAGCTAAAGAGAAGAGAAAATAAAAGCATTTTAATTCAATGAAAATTAGATACTCAGAAAATCAGTTACAAATCAGAACAAGTAAATTTCTAATTGCTACAGATGAAAAATAGATTTAAAAACAATATTTAAAGCTGGGGCAGCCAAAAAAAGGAAAAGAAAAGAAAAGAAAAGTAAAGAAAAGAAAAGAAAAGAAAAGAAAAGAAAAGAAAAGAAAAGAAAAGAAAAGAAAAGAAAAAAAAGAAAAAAGAAGCTGGGTATGGTGGCACACACCTTTAATCTCAGTGCTTGGGAGGCAGTCCAAGGCAGATCTCTGTGCGTTCCAGGCCAGCCTGGTCTACAGAGTGAGTTCCAAGCCAGCTGGGGCTACAGGGAAACCCTGTCTAAAACACAGCAACAGCAGCAACAGCAAAAAAGCTGGGACAGAAGGGCTAGAGAGATGCCTCAGTGGTTAAGAGCACTAGTCATTCTTGTAGAGGACCCTGGTTTGGTTCCTGGTATCCACCAAGTCAGTTAATATTGTGTTCCAGGGGATCCAACACCTTCTTCTGGACTCTGCAGGCACTACATGACACCGGTGCACTTACCATACATGCAGGCAAAATACTCAAACACACAAAATAAAAAGGATGGGACAGTAACAAATTTTATGCTTTCTGTAATCCAAGTAATACATGTTTCTCCTCTTCTTTGGACAGCTCAGTATGTGATGAAAAAATACAGCATTAAAATGTCCCTTTACTGTGAGCACTTTACCTAAGACACAATATGATACAAGAAATGCACAGAGGACCAGTAGCTTGTTTGGTTTGGGTAATTATATATCTCACCTAAGAACACAAGTAGTTACAGAAACACCAATTTAGATGTTAAGTCAAAAAACCAAAGAAAAGGGGCTCAAGAGATGGCTCAGTGGTCAAGAGCACTGGCTGCTCTTGCAGAGGACCCAGGTCGATTCCCAGCACCCACATGGCAGCTAACAATCATGTGTAGCTCCAGTTCCAGGGGATCTGACACCCTCTTCTGACCTCTGTGGGCACTGCATGACATGGGTGCACTTACATGCAGGCAACACACTCAGACACATAAAAATAAAAATAATAATTAAAAAAAATTTTTAAAAAAAGGAAAAAACTAAACAAAACAAGAAGTGCCCTTGTTTCCTTACCCGCAATGACTGCATTTGTGGAGGCCACTGCAGGAATGATTCGTTTTACTACCCCTGAAAGGAATGAAGCAAATAAAAGTGGTCATTTCTTTAAAAAAAGGTTAGCTTAAATTAAAATGATTCATTCAATCATTTACAGTATGATTATTAAATACCATTTTCTGAAATTTGATTTTTTTCCAAGCTTTCAAGTCAAGAAACAAACTTCAACATAGTCAGGTATGGTGGTCTGTACCTATAATCCCAGCATCTGGGAGCCGGATGCAGGAGAATCATAAGTTTGAGGCCAGCCTGGGCTACATAGAGACCTTATCATAAAATAAAAAATAATGAAAAGGTTAAACTAAACATGACTATCTTCTTTCACATTCCCAATCTTCTGTAATGATATAATGTGCTAAAAATCTTCAGCAATGACATTGAAATAAATTCTTAAGTTTTACATAAAGATAAAGCAATAGCATTATAAGTGTTTTGTTGGATTCTAGGCAGAGTTCAAGATTAAATACCATTTAATGTTTCTAATTTCATGACGCTAGCCAATTTAGGATACTTCCTTGTGGTGGTTTGAACGAAAATGTCCCCCAGAGGCTCCAAGCATTTGGACATTTTGTCCCCAGTTGGTGCTGCTGTTTTGGGAGGTCTTAGAAGGTGTGGCAGTGCTGGAGAAAGCATGTCACTTGGGGGCGGACTTAAAGAGTTCTTAAGTCTTGCCTGATCTCCAGTTGTTCTCTTGCTTCCTGTGCCTGCTTGAAGATGTAGAGCCTAGCTCCTCCAGCCACCTCTGCCACCATGCCTCCCCACCATGTGGACTCTTCTCCCTTTGGAACTGTAAGCGCAAATAAACTCTTCCTTCTATAAGTTGCTTTGGGCAGTGTTTCTATCACAGCAGCAGAAAAGTAACTAATGCATTCCTCATTTTAACAATAAGGAAAGTAAGAACTGAGATATTAAATATCATCTATAACTCTTCACCTAGGAAGTGGTAGGAAAGGTTTATGTCCTAGTGCCCACAAGCATAGTGCTCACACGTGGTACTATACTCAGAAAAGCTTGAGTAAGTATGAAGAAAAAGTTACCTTATTATTCTTAACATACTTCAGGCCACTTGATTCACAAAAAGTCACAATAAAAAAAGAAACCAGCCTTTTATAAAGTATCTTTTACTCCATAATCCTAGATCACTTAAATACCAAGCATAGCTCTCTTAGTTCAACTCCTCACTTTTTACTTTGGTATTCACTTAAGGAATGAACAAAGCCCAATCCAGAACCATTTCTTCCAGGAAAAAATAAACACAATTATATTTGAATTGTTTATTTCAGAAATAAAAAACTATACTATCTTGGATGGTGAGGGAGCATTGCAAAACATGTCCAAAACTCCAGCAGTAGGAACAGCACTGTAGAAGGAGGGTGGAGAAAAAAAGCAATAGGTATGAATGAAAATTTTAAGTGACATTTCTAAAACAGTAAATAAAAGGAAATGATCACAGAAGAGAAATGGCGGATTTGCAAAAAGAAAAAAAGGCTCGTTCTGGTGAACGTGGCAAATGTCCAGAAGAAATGAACTGTACCTGGCCAGGAACTTGCTCACAGTGACTGAGCATTATTGCTTACTGAGATAAGGCATGCTGGACGAGCCTCATTCAGTGACTGACTAAACCAGCAACTCAGAGAATTTGGAAGATAGAGTGATCAGGTTTCAGTGAAGCACCTGGAAAGATCTTTCAAGGCATCCTTGTGAAGACAGAACAAAAACAAAAAGAAAAAGCTGAAGGGCTCAAGAAGGTCTGATTATGAAGCCAGGCGTGGTGGCGCACACCTGTAGTCCCAGCACTTGGGAGGCAAAGGCAGGTGGATCTCTCTGAGTTCAAGGACACCTAGGGCTACAGGGAGACCCTGTTTCAAAAAGACCGAAAAAAAAATAAGGGTATGATTAACAGAATGAGAGACAAACTGAAGGGTCTGATCAGAGGTATGATTCAGGTAGCTGTTCTCAGTTCATTCTAGTTAAAACAGTAATCAATTATTTGGAAAATAAAAAACAATTATGAAAACAAAATCATATGAAATTTGCAGAACAATTTATGCAGAAAGAAAACAGTGGGTTGAATCGAAATATATATATATATAAACAAATATATCCACAGGGTCTGGAGAGATAGCTCAGGAGTTAAGAGCACTGGTTGCTCTTACACAGGACCTGGGTTCAGTTCCCAGCATCCATAGGGTGCCTAGCAACCATCTATAACTCCAATTCTAGGGGATCTGCTACTCTCTTCTGGTCTCCACAGGTACTGCATGGACAGGAGCACTTATATATAGGCAATATACTCACACACATAAAATGAAAACAAATTATTTTTTTAAAAAAGAATAAATCTGTACAGTGCAGTGGTAAAACATTCACCTAGCATATGCCAAGGACCTGGGCTTGAGTTCTAGCACAAAATAAAATAAATCTGAACAAAAACACACTCCAGAATACAAATTCTGTGAGCGATGTGGTTTAGCAACTGCACTGATGGATAAACCACCACATTTTAACAGTCATGTAGAATGGAAGTGCAGCATCAATGCAAACCAACAACAGCAGCATATGATCTTCTCTAAGACTATCAGAGGGCTGATCTCAGTAAGAACAAGCCTAGAACATCAGACTCTGTCCCCTCAGTAAGCCAAAGAAGCATGGAATTTGGTCAGAGAAGTACACAGGAACCGGAAGCCTTGCAATGCAATGTGTCAAAAGTTAAAGAATTTGGGAGATTTAAGAGTGATCAAAATTAAAACTGCGGAGAAAGTGTGATCACTGTGCTCAATACATTAAAAGCTAGTATTTAAAAAGGAATTTGATTATATAAAGACCAGACAAAATTCAAACCAAACAAGACAGACTTCTGCTCAAGATATAGAGTAATTGTCTAACAATATTATGCAAATTAGAAATAAGACAGCTCCCCAGAGGGAATGAACTCCTTACCAGTAAGTGATAAAATGAATAGTTGAAAGACAGGGACTTTTTCAGTTGTATGTAAATATGAGTCAATGATTTCATAAACTACCACCTAGCAGGGACGGAGTATGTAGTCTGCTCAACTCAGTTCCCTCCCACCCTGTAGTAACCTGGGAACTGTTGCTTCCCCAGCTCCTTAACTGAACATGAAATGGATGGCATTCCAAAATCACTGAACATGTATTTAACACATATCCCCCTGGAGCATCCCCAATGATCCCATAATCATGACTAACTCACCTTGAGTGAGTCTATATGTAACACCCCTAATGTTATATTGTGAGGCTCTCTCTACAGATTTTTGGAAAATCCACTGAATATGTTCAGGATCATCGCCATCTAATGGAACCCCATCTGTTGAGAGGGAAAAAAGAGAGCTATATATAATCACAAGGCAATTTTTACATAAAAGTTTCCAAATGAATAGAGAAGAATATGTATTTTTATGTAAGTCTGGGTTATTAAATGTATTACCTCCAAAAGGCTGCTCTTTAGGCCACTGCAACATCCTTACATATTCAATACAATGTTCTGGTAACCTGGGCATAGATGCAATAGTGCACATGGGGAAGTTGACCTAAAACCAAAGGTGTGTTTTTTAATAACATTTAAATGATGAATTAATTTAAAACACAATTACAGTTATGGTCTGGATTGTAACATTCATCTCAGCTCTCCAATTAAATAAGCAAAACACTGTAAACAAGTAATGCAACCAGTAATAAAACTATCAAACTAAAAGGAGAAACTGGAGTCATCAGGTTGACCTGCCTGTAAAGACAGGTTTGTCCTACATTTTTAGGACACATAAATTTAAGTTCTGTTAAGACAATGAGAAGTACTAAACAGACTCTCAAATATGAATAACCTAGGCTTACCTGGTACTTAATGTGAAGGTATAAAAAAAAAAGAGAATACTGAAAGCTGCAAAAGAAAAACAACAAGTCATATATAAAGGAAAACCCATCAGAATTACAGCTGACTTTTCAGTGCAAACAATCAGCGTTAAATCAGTTCTAAGTTAATTCTCATAGTTGATGATATTTACAAATCAAAAGTTCAATTACCTTTTAAAATGAGCAATTATATTAAAGAGCGCCATGTCTAGAAAGATCTTTCTTATTCCTAGTATTAAATTCTTTTTTTCTTAGGCAGTGCTCACTATGTAGCACTGGCTTGGCTAGACCTCACTACGTAGACCAGGCCTGCCTCTGTCACCCAAGTGCTAGATTCAAGGTGTATGCTACCACATCTAGCACACCTAGCACTCTTGTTTTTTATTACATTTATTTATTTTTTATGTGTATATGTGGAAATGCCCCTGCCACAATGTGCACATGCAAGGTCAGACGACAATGTGCAGGAGTCAACTGTCTCCTTCCACCATTTGGGTCCTAGGATCAAAATCAGGTTTGGCAGCAAGTACCTTTATCCACTAAGCCATTTCATTGGCCCTTTTCCTAGTACTTTTAGTCTCTGAACTAATTATAATAGCCCTTCCTGGTCCACGGAAGGTATTTTCCAAGACCCCAACAGATATCTGAACTATAAATTATATCAAACCCTGTAAACACATATTTTATCTTAAAGTGTAATGGAATTAGGCACTCTAGTAAGAGATCAATAAAAATAACTACTGATTAAAAATAAAAACAATTCAGGTATACTGGAATATGGAATACAAATTTCATGACACTACCCAGAACTGAATATAATATTTGGGGGAATAATTTTAAACTTATATATTATTTCTGTAATTTTCTATTTAATATTCTTTGCCAATAGGCAACTAAAACCACGAAAGTAAAACTACTGACGAAGGGTAGGTACATGGGAAGCAAGGCAGACTATGATTCTACCCAACACATAGCTTTGGAATTTCCTTAAATAAAAAATTAATACAAATGAAGTATGAAACCATAAAAACACCAGAACTGATATCCAGTTAGCATCTTCTCTCAAATGGTACAGAATGCCCTACTTTTCTTTCCTCTTAGCATAATTTATGTTTTGAAATTTGCTTTTGTTTTGGTGTTAAAGTGGTAGGACAAACCTCATTCTGGTCAAGCACTCACCTATACTCCCAGCCCGTAGCATAACTTTAATATATGTCACAATTAACAAACCCCAAACACTGATTAAATGTAATAATCAACCACAATTACAACCTACAATGCTATGAAAGAAATGAGGGCACTTTTTCATTACCTGTGGTGGATAAAGTTCTAGCGTACACTCAATACAAGCAGACATCCCAGGCAAAATCACCCGAGCATTTCCTTTAAAGCCTTCTGTCCCCCCATCTATCAAAGGGATGATGGAGCTTGGATCTAACACACCATCTTCATAATTCAGCAGAGATATCTAGGAAAACGTTTTAAAGGGCTTAAAAGGAGATAAGAACTAAAAAAAAAAAAAAAAAAAAAGGAAACAGTATGCTTCCAGCACATTCTAAGAGTCAGTTTGGTACTGAATAATAATATATCAGAATCAAGAAACTATATTGCTAACAATAAATGTATTCTCACCTGAAAACCAATGGTTAGCAATAACGGTGAAGTATACCTACTTAATTTTAAATTAAATATTTTCAAAATGACATACAATTCTGATTAGAGGAAAAAGCAACTGCAAGGATCCCAAGAGAGTTGTAACACTAGAGTCCTTACCAGCATGCCGTTTATCCATCTTCTGGCTATGATAGAATCCAGTCCACACACAATAATATGAAACTCTATGAGAAAAAAAAAAAAAATACATGCTTAGTGTTTTTGTTTTGTTTTCACAGAGTTTTGCTTTGTGGTCCAGGCTAGCCTTACATTCTCCATCTTCTTGCCTCACCCTCCCTAGTGCTGACCCCAACACATCCACTAAGTTTAGTGTTTAACAAATGCAGTTACAACAAAGCTTTGGTGTAGGTTCATGAACCTGAAACAGGTCTACCACTAGTCTGTGGGGTGTTGACAGCAAGGAAGGCTCTTTGTGGGAGGGGACAGGAAACTATACGAGAGTGCTCTACTTTCCATTCAGTTTTGCTGTGACTTTATAAAACTGCTCTAAAAACATTTTAAATAAAGGCAGTTATGCAAAATAATTCACTTTCTAAGAAAAAGAAAGGTACTACCCTGTCTTCTAATCCTTCAGCAATTCTCACTGAATTGAGTATAGAAAAATACAGTTAGTGGTGACTACTAGAAATCAGCACAGGGGGCTGGAGAGATGGCTCTGAGGTTCAGAGTGCTTGCTGCTCTTCCAGAGGACTTGAGTTCAGTTCCTAGGATCTACATTGGGCGTACCTCACAACAGCCTATAACTCTTAGCTCCAGGGGATCTGACAGTCTCTTCTGGCCTCCTCAGCCCCCTGCATACACATAGCATACATTCACAAAGACATATACACATAAGTAATAAAAATAAATATTAAAAAATCAGTACAGGGGCACTTCAGTTGGTCAACAAGCTTGCTTAAAATACAACAAAGAGGAAACAAACCAAGGAAATGGACTTTAAGATAGCCAGAATGAAAAAAGTAAGACAATGAAAATTAAATTCAAGGAACTTACGTCGGTAGAAAGTGTCATTAAAATCTTGAATCTTTTTGAAATGTCTGAACACAAGTAAAGGAACTTAGGAAGCTAAGTTTTTAATTTCTGTAATGAACTTAAAACCATAAGGAACAAAGTATAAATGTATATTTAAAGCAAGTAATCAATGTTTGGGCCCAAAACAAGGAATCTGATAAAATGAACACTACCCTACTTTCTGACAAAATTTAAAAAACTAAGTTTTTTAAATTACATGTTATTTACTTTGTGTGTATATGGGGCGGAGGTGCACACATGTAGAGGTTGTCAGATGACAACTTGTGAGAGTAAATTCTCTTCCTCCATCACGAGAGAGTCCCAGGGATCAAACTCAAGGTTTCAGTCAGGCTTGGCAGCAGTCATTTTTATACACTAGGTCATCTTTCTGGCCCCCAGAATTCTTTTCTACCATTTCTCCTCTAACTAGGCAGTTTTCCCATCCTGAACCCCCATGTCATATTTACATCCTTGCTCAGAAGTCTACTTTCTACTTTGTTTTACTTATTACACAAAGCCCTTAGCCTCAGCTAAGCAGTATGTGTGTGTCTTTAAACATCAGCACCAAGAAAACACTGTACTTACTGAAGGGAACAAGCCCATTATATGACCTGTTTGGCTGGGTGACTTTAGAAATAACTGTACACACACACACACACACACACACACACACACACACACAAATATGTACTAAGCGAAGTAACACAGACTCAGAAAAACAAGTGACCTATGCTCTCTTTATCTGTGGATCCTAGCTCCAAATTCTTAGATACACCACTCATCAAAGAAACTTCTTTTGCCAACAGATGGATACTATTATAAAGTTCCACAACTGGTCAAAAAGAGTTGTCTGTGAGGTACCCCATAGTAAGTGGAACATATACAATGTAGCTTCTATGCCTAAGGTTCAGAGAACACAGCAGAATAGGGGGCTAATAATACATCTCTCAACTCTCACCAATAAAGCTTCCTCATGCTACAGGTGGTGATTAACCCAGAAAGTCACAACTGGCTAAAGTGCAGAGAATAAGAGACTGCAGAATGCATATCCTTGAATACGACACCTGTATCAAACCTCTGCCACCCAGGGCTCATGGACCACTGCAGAAGAGGGGGTGGAAAGACTGTTAAGATTCAGAGGTGGTGGATAACCACAAGGAAACTGTTACCCAGATAGCTGGGAAGTTACTCATATGAACACACAGCTATGGTGACAGCATGTGCAAGATCCATACAAACTCAAGAAAGACAAAATCCCAGCCTAGAAGTGGGGAAGAAGTGCCAACCATACCTGAGGACCAACTGATAACCAACAACTGCTGGGAGAGGGAGAGTCAGTTTTCTTTAAGAGTATGATGATAGATCGGCTAACCAGGCTCTAATGAACCACCACCAAAGAACATTTGGGGACTTAAATTTGACTTGATAGACCTAGACCTTAACATGTGTGATAGAGTACATGAAATTTGGTGGAGGGGGTGCTTTAAGAGGAGTGCAGATAGGGGAGGAGGTCTAAATATAATCAAAATACATTGTATAAAATTCACAAAATTAGCCAGGTGTGGTGGCGCACGCCTTTCATCCCAGCACTCGGGAGGCAGAGGCAGGCAGATCTCTGTGAGTTCAAGGCCAGCCTGGTCTACATAGTGAGTTCCAGGACAGCTGGGGCTACAGGGAGACCCTGTCTCAAAAAGACCAAAAAAAAAAAAAAAATCACAAAATTCAGTAAAATCAATACAGAAAATTTCCACAGCTTTTGCAGTTGCTAGTATAGTTGGGTTTGTTGGGTTTTAGGGGAGTTGAAGGCCTAGGAGAAAAGCATGAATTCTTCCTGCCTTCTATCAAAGAGCTTTAGGTCTCTTTCTCCCAACTGGAAACTATTGGTCTTCCTAGGCCCACTGGCTGGCTGCACAGGGAACTCTTTTCTAATGGCTATGGGAATCAGTCAATCACAGCACTTAATATTTTAGTAGTACACATGCTTAATTTTAACTAAAATGTTTTAAATTTATCTAATAAAGGAATTTTTGCACAAAAAATGACACAACTTCTCTCAATAGTCCACTGTATTTTCAAAAGCAACATGGCAAAGGGGGTGATATTCTCACTCGACTTTTAATTTCTGCCTAAACTCATTTCTAACCATCACCCATTCAGATCTCTATTCCTCTTGAACGCTAGGCAAACAGGACCCCAAGTCACAGGGAGAGCAAGGTTAAAAAAAAAGACAAAATGGTAGAAGAACAGCAATGGGAACCAGGAGCTAGCCAAGAAACTCTCTGATTTCTGTAATGTACTAGTTTCCCAGACTTAAATAATTGAGCTAGATGGAGTGAGAATGCTCCCATTTCTCTTCCTTTTTCCATAGAGAGGCCTATATTTTCAGTTTTAAACACGTTTACTTTGAAACAGTATCAATTCACAAGAAGCTCTAAAAGTGGTATAGAGAAGTCGGGGTGCCTTTCAGTCACTACTGACAGATGTATGAGATCAGCCCATGAATAACAGTGGAATAATGTACAAATGGTCCATCACACATATGTACATTTGTGTGACCAGTACCCCAACCAAGACACACAACTGTTCTACCACCATAAACAACTCATTTTGTGTGGTTTTGTTTTTTTTACATTTTATTTATCTATGTGAGGGATGTGCATGTCACAGCGGGCATGTGGAAGTCAGAGGACAACTTCTGAGAGTCAACTCTCTTTCTCTAATATGTGGGTTCTGGGGATGCTTGGCAGCAAGCACCTACTGAACCACCTTGTTAGCCCTGTTTGTTTTGAGACAGTCTCACTACGCAGCCTGACTGGCCTGGAACTCTCTATGTAGACCAGGGAGGCCTCAAACTTGCAGAGATCCTCCTCCCTCTGCCTCCCATGGAATAGGATTATGGGTGTGACGAACAGACTAAAATCTCTCACCTGTAATCAAACCTACTCTCAAATCCTAAATGTATTCCTTAGTGATTCCTAATCTATTCTTCATCTTTTTGTGTCATTTTAAGAATTTTATATAGATGGAATCATAAATACATGACCTTTTGAGACTGGCAACTTTTTATCAGCATAATGCACTTGAGATCCACCCCAGGTGATATGCAGTAAGTTATTCCTCTTTACAGCATAACAGTACTCTTAGTAGCACTATAGTTTATAGCACTATAGTAGCACTTAGTAGCACTTAGTAGCACCACTGAGGCAACTTCTGGTTGCTCCCATTTGGGGCTTCTACAAATAAAGTTGCTATGAATAATGTGCACTGAAATTAACAGAGATACAAATATTAATATCACTGAGATAAGTGCCCAGAAACGAACCAGTTGGGTGGTGTGGTTAAATGAAGGCTTCAGTTTTTAAGAAATGGCCAGGGGCTAGAGAGATGGCTCAGCAGTTAGGAGCACGATGGCTCTTGTATAGGACACAGGTTCAGTTCCCAGCACCAACTGTAACTCCAGTTCCAGGGTATCCAACACCCGCTTCTGGCCCCTGCAGACATTGCACATACGTGAGGTACTTACATATATGCAGACAAAACACTCATGCATAAAAAATTTTTAAATTAAAAAAAACAACAAAAAAAGAAATGGCCAAATGATTTTCCAGATGGCTATATCATTTCATATTCTATGAACAGTAAGTGATCTTATCTTTTATTCTGCAGTATTAGATATTGCTACTACTGTGTTAACTACCCTAACAGGTAAGCATCATCTTACTGTAAACATTGGGATTTTTTGGTGAAGATTGAACCTAGGGCCTCATGCAGCCTAGGCAAGTACTCTACAATTAAGCTACATCCCCAACTCTTTTTACTTTTTTTGACAAAGGATCTCATTAGGTTGTCCAGACTAACTTTGAACTCACTCTGCTACCCTGGCAGGCCTTACACTTAAACTCTGTCAGTCTCCCAATTAACTGAGTCACCATAATCTTACTTTGATGATAGCTTTTTGTCATCTTTTCAGTGAACTATCCTTTTGCAATGATAGTCCATTTTTAATTTTTTTTAACTGCTAAGATTCATAAAATATTTTTTTTTTGGTCTTTTTGAGACAGGGTCTCCCTGTAGCCCCAGGTGGTGTGGAACTTGTAGATCAGGCTGGCCTTGAACTCACAGAGTTCCACCTGCATCTGCCTCCCAAGTGCTGGGATTAAAGGCATGCACCACACCTGGCCCGAGATTCATAAATTCTTTAAAAATATAGAATTCTCTATATCTGAGGGTTCTCCATGCATAGATTCAACTAACTCTTGGTCAAAAAGGAGAAAAAGAACAATAATGGAAAGTAGAAGCAGATGATGAGACACATAAAATTAAGTTAATTTAAAAGTCAAGTCCAAAAACATGTATATAACTATAAAGAAAAGATTAGAATACAAAGTATTATATACTTTATATTATGCCATCAGAAGTTACATCTATAATACATTTACTGCTGCTGATAGCAATTTTTTCTTTTTTTCTTTTTCAATCTTATTCTCTGTTAAGTGACTCTTTTATAATTAGGGAGAAAAGCTTTAAAGAATTAAGACATTTTTCAGTTGAAAGGATACGGAGTAACGTTACAGTTAGGAACTCTGTCATTCAGGAATTCCGCAGCAACTTCGGCCTTCGGTCTTCCAACATCTTTAGGCCTATAGGAGAAGTTATATTGGTATTCATGACAACTTGGAATATGCTTTGCCTAAGTATTTTTAGATATTTTAATCCTTTGAAAGTTTTATACATTTATGCAATGTACTTTGATCATATCCATCTACTACCACCTCCCTTCAATTGTCCCTAGTGTCCCCTGCATCCCTCCCAACTTTGTGTCTTGTTTTCTAATTGTAATTAAATAACCACCAAATCCAATTAGTATTTTTATATCAGTAATAAGTCAGATTAAATGAATACTCAATGCTTACTGACAGTCCAAATTAATATGACAAGTCTTATTACGTAACTAAGTGAAAATCTGAAATATGAATATATTTTTTCCCCACATAAAGCAAAATAACAGCATATTTCCTAGCAAATTCCAACCATGACATTTCCTAGTGTAGGAAACATTATAGACCCACCTTCCAAGTATCCCTGAATCCCAGAATCTTAATGTGCTATTTGGGGTTTGTTTTGTTTTGCTTTGTTTCTTGAGACAGGGTCTCCCTGTAGCCCCAGTATGTAGCACAGTCTTACCTCACTCTATGCAATCCTTCTGCCTCAACCTCCCTTATGCTGGAATTACAGGCAAGCCACCATGCCCTACTTCAATGTGTTTATATGTAGGTTTTGTTAAAAGATATGGAGAGGTTCATTCTAGGGATAAAAGAACCTCTAGTTGTCACCTCTTCCTGTGTGTGCTGATTAAGTAGGAATTACAGGGTCCCTAACACACGGTGGGGTTTGTTCACTTGCTGTTTTCTTTTTTGTTGTTCATTTGCCTGATAAGTGTCACTACATTGCCCAAGCTGGCCTAGATCTTCCTGACCTAGCTGTGTGCTGTAATTACCAGTACCTAACACTGGCCCAGCTTCTCTAATCATATTTCAAAGGGAATGATTTCAAAGGCATTATCAACGTTTTCATGCAGCTAAAAATACAAAGTCTAGAAACATTATTTCTTGATAATAATCAGATATAAAGACAAAAGGACACAAACTGTCTCTTCCAATCACATAAATGGTATTTTCTTTCTTAATATTTCCTCATGGAATTAAACCATCCTTCCATCCTTCAAGTATTCATGTATACAGAGTAAGTGCCTCATTGTGGCTTTTCTTTTCTCTTTTTTTTAAAAAAAATATTTTTTTAACATTTTATTTATTATTTTTATTTTATGTGTATGAGTATATTGCCTGCATGTATGTGAGTGCACCTGAGTCATGCAGTGCCATGGAGTGGGAATCGAACCCGGGTCCTCTGCAAGAGCAGTCAGTGCTCTTAAGTGCTGAGCCATCTCTCCAAGACAGGGTATCCCTATGGCCCCTGGCCTGGAACTCGCTATGTAGACCAGGTTGGCCTCAAACTCACAGAGATCTGCCTGCCTCTGCCTCCTGAGTGCTGGGATTAAAGGCGTGCACCACCACACCCAGCTCGTTGTGACTTATCATAACACACACAGACCCTAGATACTGAATCCTTACTCTTTTTACTGTATCCCTTTGTATCCTTCATATCAAGCAGAGTGGTTAGGGATATGGGGAGGATCTGGGAGAAAATAGAAGTGAATATGATCAAAATATACAGTATGGAATTCACAAAGAATTAATAAAAATATATTTTTAAAAATACTTAAAAACAGGGGCTGGAGTGATAGCTCAGCGGTTAAGAACACTGGTTGTTCTTGCAGAAGACCTGGGTTTGAATCCCAGCACCCACATGACAGCCTCCAATCCCAGGGGATCCAACAGCCTCGTCTGACCTCTGCGGGCATTGCACAACAAGGGTGCACTTACCTACATGCAAGCAATACACGTATACACATAAAATAAATATAATAAATTTTAAAAAATACTTAAAAACAAACCAATTGTATTTTATTTAAAACTAGAATTTCAAAGAAAAATACATTAACAGGTTGATCTCTCTTCTATAAATGATTATTCTTTTTGTATTCAAAAACTGTTAAGTTTTATTCTCACTTTGTCCCTACTTGCAGAGAGTAGTATAAATTCAAGGCCTTGATTTAAGTACTACATTCAAGTACTCAGTAGAGAGAGCTCTTTACATATACAAGAGGAAACGGGGGGCTGGAGAGATGACTCAGTGGTTAAGACCACTGACTATTCTTGCAGAGGACCTGGGTTCGATTCCCAGCACCCACATGGCGGCTACGAACTGTCCTTAACTCCAGTTCCACAGGAATCTGAAGCCCTTTTCTGACCTCTGCGGCATTGCACGACACAGATGCACTCACATACATGCAGGCAATGCACTCACACACATAAAATAAAAATAATAGTCTAAAAAATTTAAAAAAAAAAAAGAAATGGTAGACTTCCAAAATGCTTCTAAATGTATTTTTTGTTCTTTTACAGTCTCACACAAAAGAACTCCAACATGGTTTCAATGAAGTCTGCTATGCAAATCTATAGCATGGGGGACCTGATTGCTGCACCTAAGACTGTGCCTTAAATAAAGTGACCTGTTATACACATCATCCTTCCTGGGTCTCATGCCCAAATTATTTACCTCTGAAAGCAAGTATTTAGCTTATACACAGATGTGTAAATGTGTGTGTGTGTGTGTGTGTGTGTGTGTGTATGAAAGTACTTAGCATATCATAAACACTCAATAAACATTGAGTATTATTACTTTAACCAGTGTGTGTGTGTGTGTGTGTGTGTATATATGTGTGTGTGTGTGTGTGTGTGTGTGTCTTAGCATATCATAAACACTCAATAAACATTGAGTATTATTATTACTTTAACCACACTAGTTATAAATTAAAAAGCATGACCTGTTATCAATAACCAATCATTTCAGTCTTTTTCAAAACAATAATGCAGTAAAAACTTGTTGGAATGGAAGATGATTTCCACAAAATCATATATATTTGCTTATTTTCCACTGAATACTCAAAATGTACTTTAAATTTTTTACCTAAATCTGAATGGTAGTTCTTTTTTTAAAAAAAATAAAATTAGTGTTGGACTCTCAGTAATTATTAAACTGCAACGTATACAAGTTCTAATGTTTATCAGAATTTTAAAAATATTAACTTACCTGAATAAAAACTGTCTATTTAGATTGGAAACATCTATAGTATCCATGTCTATAACATGAATCTTTCTAAAACCAGACAATGCCTGTGGAAAGAAAAGCAATCCAATTACGCAGGAATCTCACAATCACTGAAAATGTACCATATATTTTCAATGTAGTCCTAAACCCACACATTTTCAGTAATAATTCTACATAACTATTCTTTGGTTAAAAACAAAAAGTCTTTACAAAGCATATTAAATTCAAGATTTTTGCTAAAGGTCAAAAATATACAACCTCATAGTTTTTTTTGTTTTTGTTTATTTATTTATTTTGAGACAGGGTCTCCCTGTAGCCCCAGCTGTCCTGGAACTCACTATGTAGACCAGGCTGGCCTTGAACTCACAGAGATCCACCTGCCTCTGCCTCCAGAGTCCTGGGATTAAAGGTGTGTACCACCACGCCTGGCTTACAACTACTTAGTTTTAAATAGTCTATAACCAACAAAGAATTCAAATTTTCTATAGCTTTTGCAGCCATTGTTCCCTCTGACAACACTTTTCTTCCAGACATTTTCCTAGCATACCGCTCACCCCTTTACTCAAACAGTGCCTTTTCAAAGGCCCTTTCCCTCACCACCTGACTGCCTATTTTCATCCTTCCTTTCTTCACAGCATTTATTACTACCTGACATACTACATACTTTGTCTTTTCTTTCAAAGACACTTTGAGTTCATAAACAAAACATATGTCCACATTGCTCCATTCTCTGTCTTTATCTCTTAAAACGGTGCTTGTCATATTCCAAGAGAAGGCTCAATAAGCAATTAGTGTCATTAGTGGCATATTCTTTCTTTCATAAAGGATGAGCCTTTACGGGGCTTACAGCCCCCCAAAACGAAGAGACAACAAAGCCATGCATTCTTAGGTGCTTATGTCTTAAGAGGAGCAAAGCAACAAATGGTGAAAGTGAAGTCCTACATGTGTGCTATAATGCAGCATAATGCAGCAAATTACTAACAGAACCACCCCTTTAGCTGCTTGATGACTGATGAGTCTCAGATCCAATTGTTAATGACTGCATATTTAAAAGTCTATATGTATTACATTAGCAAATCATGGCTTCAAAATGGAAAAAGTTAAGCTTTGGGGGATTTATACATGCATAGTGCCTAACAGGAACAATGCCTGAACTCTGTGAACCCTTCCCTCCTAGAAGTGTTTGGTTTTCACACTGCTAGAGCAAGTCTGATAAGGTATGTCCTTTTGGGACATCCCCCTATTTCATATATACTGTTATTTACATGAGGCTTGTCTCCCTGAACTTCAGATTCACTGCAGGCAGACTATGGTAACCTACAATTCCTATAGAATTGTAGCACTAATTGCGTACCTTTACCAGGAGTAACATTAATGCTCCCTAGCACGTCACTGTAGCTATGCTGCTCTTTGAGTTTCAACTGTTGTGGCTGGCTATTTGGGTCCCCATCTGGCTGGCATCTACATGATCTTCAGAGTTCCACTGTTCTACACACTTGTACGAAGCCTGACGTACAACAGCTACAAGTCAATTCCCTCTATCTACATTTTTGTTACACTGACAAAAGCTTCTAAAAAACTACTTCACGGTTCTAAGAAATCCATGAAACCAATTAAACCACAAGGATGTGTTTCCAAATACTAAGTGCAAAGAGCTTCACTAAAGGCTTTGCTGTGCCGAATCTTGGGCATTTACTGCCATATGCTGATCAAGACTCGCCATCTACCAGGTCTTTTCACCTATACTTCAGTGAAAAAGAGCAATTCAGGAAGGGCTAATGACCCCAATTAGATTTCAGGCCTCTTACTATGATCCAGAAAAACCTGAGCAAGACTTCTAATTTCTCTGAACCTCAATGTTTCCTTTTGCGTAAAATGATACAATAACTCATGTACAGGACTTATTTGGAGAAGCAAATGAAATAAGAAATTATTTGAAATCACACATTAAAATATGAACTACCTATTCTGTCATTTACTTCAATGGAATAAAGTTAGCACTTGGCAAAAGGAAGCATCAAAATTTGTTTAAGAGCAGAGAAGAAATAGAAAAAAATGACTTCATATTTGAGACTTTTAGAGTCACAAAAAAAGCTGCAAAATTCTAACATTATGTATTTTAATTTCTGTCTAGGATTTGACCTGCTAAACTTACTCTAACAAAGGTTCAAGAGAAAAAGCTAATAATCATGAAATACAGATATTCCTAAAATGACAGAAAAGCAAAAGGATTCACTTATCGCAAAGGAGAACATTTTACATATGAATATATTACCAGATTTTTCAGGAGCTCACATCCTAAGCCACCAGCTCCAATGACTAGAACTTTACATGTATCTAACAAAAACTGGAGAGACTGTAAAGAATGGAAAGGCATATTAAAATCTAGGTGATCACAAGTACCACTAATAAGCAACAAACCATAAGACAGTTGCTGATATAGGCATGAAAAATGCAATCAACAGTAATAAGCACACTTGGCATGTCATCAATTATTTTAAATTATGGACAAGATATAATTGGAAATTTTAAAATCCTAAGGATTTCAGAGTTTCAGTTTCAATGCTTTTAAATAGTCTTGTATGAAATTGAAAGGCTATTTCTAATGAGAAAAACTACCCCTAGTTATTTTTATCTTTTTTTCAATGGTTATTCATGGATAATATAACAACTTCACAATGATAGTTTCTATTTTCCTTTTCCCATTTTTTATGTTTATTTTTTCTTAATTTGTAAAAAGTAGGGAAGACATCAGTTACTTAACTGAGCTGTAGAAAGAGAAGTTTTAAATGAAAAACAGGATCAAAGAGCACAGGTGTTTAAAGGACTTAAAAATGAGGCAAGAACAGTAGCAACTGCCTTTGAACACAAGTAAAACTTACAAAACATAAGAAATTCAGAAAACCACAGATCAGCAGAAATATGATTTGGGGAGAAAAATCACTTAAATGAAGGGACAATCTTAAGCTATCACATGAAAATACTTTGAAAGAAAATATGATTATTATGTAAATATATACTCCAAAGAAAGAATTAATACTGTGAATTCTGCCCAACATTAAAGGAAGAAATGAGACACCGAACCAAGTTTAGGAGTTTACACAATGATTTTTAGGAGCAGCATCTCTATTTTAAAACATCTCTTCATGAACACAAAAGGACACAAAACAAACTATAAAGAATACTCTTTTCAGGGCTGGAGAGATGGCTCAGCAGTTAAGAACACTAGTAAACGCTGCTAACAGTGCTCTTGCAGAGGACCCAGGTTTGGTTTCCAGCACCCACTGACGCTAACAACCATCTTTAACTCTAGTTCTAGGGGATGTGACTCTATCTTCTGGCCTCCGTGGGCATTATACGCACTCACATACATGCAACCAAAACACTCATACACATGAACAATAAAAAAAACCTTTTTTCTAATTTGCAATAACAAGTTTTATCTAACCAAATATTTGCTTTAAGTCAGA